CTCGTGCTTGCAGTCTGTCGACCCGCTTTGCGTGTCCTGCTTCGGTCTGCTGCTTTTGGTGGCCCTGTTGCTCTCGCCTTGGTCGAGACGCTGCCGCCGCTCTATTCGCTCGCACTATCGCCGTGATGTGCACTTGTTTTAAGGGTGTTCTTTCATCAACTTGCTACTTCATAGACGTAACAATTTCAGAGGGAATGCAAGGCCAAGCTAAGCAAATCACCCAAGTCATGAAGATGATGAAAAGCTACTACTAATGGTTGCCAATCAGTGCCGAACCGAAAAAGCTGCATGGCGAGGAGTACGGGGCATTGGGTATGGACCAGGCAGAAAAGGACGGCGAGTCCAGCGCATGAGATTCGGCAAGAAACATGATACTGAACGTGAGGAAGGAATAGTTCATAGGTGTTATCTTCGTAGATATACGATGTGGAAGATATTCTTAGATGTTAGTGGTCCAAAGACATTCTTAGATGTTACTGCACCAAATTACGAGGCACAGAACTTCTTACTTAGTCAGAATCATAAGTCGAGTATGTTTATGTATATATAAAATACACTTGTCTTATTTTCTTCCTCCTTAGCATACATTCTCTCCATCTTCCTATCATCCTCCTGTACAAAACTTAAAGCGACTACCTACACAAGAGGAAATTTATGGCCATGAATGCAACATGACAATGGTCATAGTAAGTACATGATTCAACTTTGTCCACATTCACTGCATCTTGATCTTCTTCAGGAGTATCCTTCTTACTTATTGTCATTCAGAACGTTCAACATCGAATCTAATCCGTCTATTTCTTCCTCCTGCTTATTATTGTCATTCTTCATCATCAACATATTATAAGCACTCGCTTCTATTCACAATAATAACATCCGCCACACACATGATTGACCTCCAGAATATTATTTATATGTACTATCTCGCAAAATCAAGTCAAACACCATCGCAACACAAGACGACAAGGAAACCATATTGTGGGTGATCTAGCGAAGGCTGCCAGAAATGTGGAGTCCCATGCTTCTCTTTCTTGTGTCTTATCCGTATCCGTGTTCCACACTGAAGCAGGCTGCCGCCTAAAATTTTCTTTCTGTCCGTGTCGAACTTCTGTGCTACCTTTTGCTTGCGCGTCGCTGTTGTTGAGGCTCGTGGCTTGGGTTTGAGTGAGTAGAAAAATAGCATCTGTACTGAAGCTTCTGGGGGTGTAAAGCGTAAACTTTGAGTACAAAAGCATGACGAGGTGAGTTGAATTAGTGGCTTAACCTTATTAAGCAGCGAAAAAACAAAAAATCCCTCTGATGAATATTTAAGTAACCTCCTCCCATAGCAGGAGCTTGGTAACTTTCCCCTGCGGAAACACCCTGCGGAGTTGATTCGGAAGGAGCGGTCGCCTTGGTAACACCGGCGGAGTTGGTAACACTCTCCCATAGCAGGGGGTGCTGCAAATCTTGCTTGGCTTCTTCCTCTTTATAAGGATGAGGCTTAGAAGGCCCAGCGACGCTTAAGGCACAAAAGTAGAGCAACCGGCTAGCTTTTCCGCTATCCTTAGGCCTATTCCTTCAAACAATGCGTATAGGGCACAGTTGTCATTCTATCTCTCTCTTCCGTCGTTGGGAGCCTGACTCTGGTTGAAAACGAAAAAAACTGAAACAGCAGATGAAGGTGAAGCTTCTAGTGTTCCTCGACAAACGGTTGGAGAGACATATGGCGAAGACCGTATCTCACCTGAACTTGGAGACGTCGACTTTTTTGAAGGAGAGAAAGAAATAGGGAAGTTGCAGTTTAGGCATATAAAATAGCAATGGTCATGGTCATGTAATTTCAGGTCTAACCCTCCCTGGTCAAGTTTGACACAACAGGGAAGTCGCATTTACTCATGCAAGGCAGAGGACACAATGACTTTATGAGTTTTTCGTGTGCGATCGCAGAATGATCCTCATCTTGCTACTCTTCGTCACTCAAACAACTACCACGAAGGAACGAAGGAAGGTTCAGTACCAGGAGATCTCTTAGTACATCTTCCTCTCCGGATGTCAGAAGCCGGAAGGTGAAGGACGAGGAGATCTCTCTGATGATCCGGCTTCTGATCATCTTCTTTCTAGTCCTCATGATATACTTGTGCCTGCAGTGTTGAAGAATGATAATCGGATGATTCTCGAGAACTAATGACTTGATCTGATAATTTGATCTGATGAGACGGCAATGTTCGCCGAGTCGAAATTATGCACCCACCATGTGATGGCAGGTTTTTGGAAAGAAATAACATTTATGTCGATCATATTGAAACCGAAAGAGCTATGTCGAGAACCCGCAAGAACTTGTAGTAGTTCTAATAGCAGACGGCTGAAATGAGATAGAGTTGGACACCACACCAGAGTGAACGATCAAACTAGCGCTGGGACGATTCGTTATAGTATTAATAACTATCATTGAAAGAAAGACTTTTTCATGAGTTGATCGAGCTACTTTTGAGTGTATATAACACGATAAGTTTAAGTACATTACATAGTTGATTTTGAAAATGGGTGGAGTAGCTTCGACTGGGACGAGTGAAGACAATGGACTTTGTCCGGGCAGAACTGATGCGCCAGCCGCCACTCTCGCTCTTGTTCCGGATAAGGCGACCTTGGCGACTCTCAAAACCCTGGAGGAGCTAGCTGTTGCCGCAGGAGCACTGACGAAGTCTCCAACTCCAAGGTCGTCTCCAACTACAAGTGCGGGTGACTGTCCAACAACAACGTCGTCTTCATCTTCGCAAGGTGAAGATAACTGTGGGACGAATTACAATTGTAATTATTGTGTGGAGTTGTTACGCTTAGTGGGACGTAGTAGCTACTTTTCTTCCAAGAGTGATGCTGACGTTTTGGTGGGGGTGTTGCGGCAGTGTGCGGAAAGTGTGGGTTTTGCGAGATCTGGGATATTGACTACGGAAAAAAGCAAGATTGACTTCTCTCCGCTATGTCAAATCGGGAATGCTGCGGTTTTGGTTGTATCAGGAGATGAGTGCGTTAGCACGTCTAGTACGGCTCAAGAGCACGGTGGACTGATGTGCAGTGATTTGCACAAGCAAGTGGTTGACGCCTGTACCCGAGCTTTTTCTGAGCAGTTTGAAGTTTCTGCGGTAGAGATGCCTATGTTGAAAGTTGCTGAGTTTCCGACGACTGCTGCGTGCAGGGCCTTTGTCGAATCTTGCCCACCGCTGCGAGTCAGTACTACGTTGGAGTGTGTGACAGTATTGCGGGTTCCTCCCGGCAGCGGCAACGGGGTGGAGGGGGAGCCGGCTAGTACCACTGTGCAGGTTGAGGAAAGCCGTATATTTTTCTGTGGTGAAAGGATGGGCACAGTGGAGCACGCCGCAGATGGCCAGTTTCCAAGCGATAATGGTATTTTTACGGAAGATGGCGAGCACGAAGATGGAGAAGGTGGCTCTACTGATGATGCACCCGGTAAAAAAAGGAGTAGCTCGAACTTTTTTCAGTACGATCCACAGAGCTCAACGATGAGAGTGGTCTTCCGAGTTCGCAAGGACGAGCTGTCTTCGGGTTTGGAGAAACGTATTCTCTTCGTAATTGACCGATCCGGATCCATGGGTGGGCAACCTTATTTACAAGTCAAAGACGCCATTCGCTACATGTCTCGCTGCAAGAACATCAACATCAAAGAGATAGCGTTCATCCTCTACGACACTAAAGCTCGCATCGTCCGAGACCCTGAGGAGGTGTTGAAAAGCACTGTGGGCGCGGCGACCGCTTTCGAGTCCGCGTTTCTGAAAATCGAGGAGTACGTGAGGGAAATCGCGAAATATTATGGTCCTGGAGGTGGACTGTCTTCCTCTTCGAGCAGCAATAAAGGATCCGCACCACCCTCTTCTTCGACCAAAACCAACCACCAAAACAAACGTGGACCACAGCAGGCCTTAGACATCATATTCATGACAGACGGTCATGATAACCGCTCGCAAGATTTACCCTTTGCGAAAAGAAGACTGCAGGACTTCTTAAAACGGGCTGCTGTGGGAGAAGCTGGAGAAACTCTGAACTGCTTCGGCATTGAATCTTGCACAGCTTCAGACCCCTCAACCACTTCTCTAGTGAAATCCCGCATGCACTGTATCGGGTTTTCACAAGCGCATAACCGGCAATTGTTGGAGGACTTGACTCAGATTGGTTCGACGGGACCTGGAATGTATCGATACTGTGACTACAATAGTGGTAATAGTGCTGGTAGTGCTAGATCATTTGGTGGTGGAGGCGCTGGAGGACAGCAAGAGACCTTGGAAACCCGGTTCGCAGAGATGTTTGATTTTGTAGACTTGAATGTCACTACAGAAGTACGGTTCGAATTCGGAGAGCATCAGCTTTTTTGCGGAGAGCAGTTAGGAGGGCAGGACAATGACAAAGGAACTCTGGTACCTATTGTTCCATCAGTTTCCGGTGCATATGATGCAGAAGATCTTGGAGATGGTAACGTAAAATTCGATGTCATGATTCCGAAATTGGTACTGCGGCAGGGACGAGATGGTAGTGCTGTGGAGATGGACAAAGAAGTCGTGGCCTTCTCTGACGCAGGTACTGGAGGTGGTGCTGTTGGCGGAGAGCAAGAAAAAGACGCTGAGGGCAAAAACAAAAGTTGCCCTGTAACTCCTCCGCAAAAAGTGGAACAGCTAGAAAGTGGGATCCAGTTTGACGGTGAGGTCCGTGCGACGATCTTGAATTCCAGTGGTGCTGTAATCCGTCTGAGGCATAAAAACGTGGATGCTTTTTTCATGGTTCGTTTAGTTGAGGAAGCAGAAATTTCCTCAGTCGCCGACTTGGAGAGAGTTCAATTGCTGTTGAACACCTCCAGCTCTCGACACCTCGAGAAGCAGACCAAAGGGAATCGAGCTTCTAAGCTTTCCCGACAACAGTTCCACGAGGCACGAATGGTAGCACAAGCTCGGTTGGATAAATATCACAATTTGTTTGCAAACCAAGCGAGAGAAGCATTTGTTTTTGCTGGAAGTGGAAACTCTCCAAAAGACACTTCCAGTAGTACGTTGGCGACAGAGCTCTGCAGTTTGAGACACGAGGCGGCTTTTTCTCAGGCGCGAAGGGCGAGGGCGATGGCTCGACGCGCTACGGGCAACGCTGCTGCATTTTTGGGTATGACGGATGCACTGTTGCGTGCTTTACCACGTGTGAAGGAAGAAGAGGCAACGGAGATGGTCAGAGACATTGTTGCCGTGCCAGGGAAAGGCTCAATTGTTGCCGGTAGCTCAACTGCGAAGATGCCCGTCAACGCAGAACAATTTGAGTGTGCTTTGTCCGGCGACACCTTCGTCGACGTGATGGTTGACTCCCACAAGGATTTCTTCGTGTTTGGACTTCAAGTTGGTCGCAGTGAAGCTGTTGTCGAAGCGCCTACACTCTTGCAGGTACACGGCGTTTTAGCAGGACACTATTCTCATGACGCTTTCTTCATGCTACTAGACCACGCAATCAAGAGTCGGGGTGGAGCTAAGGCGCATGGCGGGTACCAAACTGCATGTAGATCAACGGCTGGAGGAAGTAACACTAGCCACACCAAAGGTCTGCACGAAGACGTAGGACTCTTCAAGGGCCCCGATGGGCGTTTGATGAACGCCTGTTTACCTCTCTACCTCAACGAAGCGCATTTTCGACGTGTTTTACTGCAGATCAAGCCTGTTTTGGGGTACTTTTTCACTCTAGACCCACTTGGCTACAGTGGGGAGCAGCTGGTCGCACTGTATGGGATTTTAGGGGAGATGCTGGTGATGCGAGCAGAGTCCTCCTCGAAAAGTCATGATACTAGCGGTGGCCAGTCTTCAAGTACTAGGTGGTTCGGTGGGGATTTTGCGGATTGGCTGATTTGCGATTTTGCCAAGCTGTGTGGTGGCTTGATCCCCTTGACACTCGATTTCTTGCAAGCAAAGGCTGACAAAGCCGGCTCGAAAGGAGAAGACTTCGTGGATGACTTCAATGTGTATAGGCGGCTCCGAATGCGTGCTAATAGAAGAAGGGGGAAACAACAAACTTCCTCAAAAACTGAAGCTCAAGATGCTACTTCCGAGGACAACATAGATAGTTTGGACTTGTTAGAGGCCTTTCTAGCAGGCCCCAAAGGACGCACCAAGGAACGTCTGCCGACAATGCAAGTTTTGATTGGTTGGGCAGTAGCAAAAGCAGCGAAAGAAGGCACAAGCGAAGATCATATCAGGGTCGAAAGTTTGCTCGCTTTCGCGAGGGACGAGAGATTTCGTATAGCCTTTGAGGAAGAGCTTTGCAGACGCGCGGTTGGCAATGTCTATCGCGGCAGCACTCGGAAACTAGTGACACAGGTCCTAGAAGAGTTCATGTATGGACTGGATGCCGTTTTGTGTCCTCGGGTAGACGACTACGAGGCACTGCAGAGAGAGTTGAAAAAGGAGGACAACGACGACGGAGGCTCTTCGAAGAAAAACCTCGGAGCTGCTTCCAGTCGTTCGGAAGAAAAAGCTTTTGCACTCTATGGCCGTTATTGTTTGGGGGATTTGTCAACAAAGGAAGCTGCACGAGTCGCGAAACTGCCAGTACCACAAGTCACAACAGGCCTAAGAGACGCTACAGAGGAATTTCAGCCTCGTTCAATTGCATGCTACACAAGAACGACAGGACGAGAGGACGAGACTTGTTACACTTACAACGCAGAGGAGAATACTGTTCACACAACAGGAAAGCAGCATACAGTAGGGCACACTTCATCAGAGCAGAAAAATACTGATCACACCTCCTTCTTTGATCGTCTAATGCAGCAAGAAGACTCTAAAGTGCGCAAATACATGCGACCTTTGATGTCCGTGCTTTCCTATGCGGCCAAGACTAGTAGGGGAGATGAAAACAGATCTGACGGCGCTCATCAAAACGAGAAAGACAAGAACCTCCTCAAACGTCTCATGTGGATTCAAGCTTTCCAGTTTGTATGGACTTCTGACATGACGCGAGCAGCGGAATCAGGGGAATATCTGGACACCTGGAGAGTACTTCGAAATTTTGTGAACTCTGGTGCTGGTGCTTCTTTTCTAGGTCAAGAGCAATCTATTCTCTTCTCAATCTGTGGGCCCATCCACGAACGCTTTGAGCAGAAGAGAAAGGAGAAATTGGCACACACGATTCAGACACGCAACAGTCGGCGCATCGCAGAGCTAATGTGCCTTTCCGCTGATCCACATGCCTTTCTTGGGCGGTTGTTTGCCGCTTGTCCGACTCGCGGAGGAGACGTTTTTCAGGAGTTGATTGCTATGATCACTGGAGAAGGAGATCAAGCTCTCTCATTCCCCCTCCTCAAGTTCAAGCTCTTCGTTTTGCTCACAGGAAGAGCACCGCATTTGTTGGTCAATAACATGTGTGGGGGGAAGATGGGAAGCGATATTAAGGAGGATGGCCTCAGTTACATGTTGACTTCTTCTAGCAGTTGTACTGAGATGAACCAGACGTCCACATCCGACCATCTCTTCATTTCCATTTCCTGTATAGAGGATATGGCTTCAGCACCAGCAGCGATTGCTGGTGGGACTAGTTGGGTACACTGTCAAGCCAATATCGCTGAGAAGTTTGAGAAGATTCTAGGTGTGGACACTTTTTCGCAGATTGAGCTCTGCATGCGAGGAAAAGCAGGATGGGTTTACAGGGAATCAGACATCCCCAACCGTCACGGACATTGTAACAGTCATCCGAATAAGTCGTTGTTTATGGATTTCTCGGGGTTTTCCTTTAGGCAGGAAGGGAGGAAGAAGAAGCAGAAGTAGTAGGAGACGTAGGAGGGAATTAAGTAGAAAGAAAGAAGGGAATTATAAAGAAAGAAGAAGATTTCAATTTGAAAGACTCACGAACAAGATCTCATAGTCATAAAAAAGAACGAACACCGTTTTAACGGAGTGTAGAAGAACTGTCCACATAAGCAGATAGTGCTGGTTGCGTTTATTTTCGTCCAGGCAGGACAAATGGGTATCACAGAAATCGGCAGTAGAAATATGGCAAGCCTCCGTAGTCTGCACCTGGGTAAACGAGTACTGACAGAAGGACGCCTATAAACAAGTACTGGGTCGTGTGCGCTCGTATGAACGGAACAAGAGAAATATCGAACACTATCTTGGCAAACCGTAAGAACTACAAAATTCTCTATCCAGTTACACTACTACTAGAAAAATGTACCACGAATTACAGTAAATAACATTATATTCGTTAATACAGCAGACAGCACACAATTCTTCATTTGTACAGGACATCATGGAATTGTTTTCTTCCATGAAAAATGTCATGGAATCAAATAAAATTTGGACTCGAATATGTTTCGTTTTCTTTACAAAAGACCGTGTTGATAATGGTATGAAGAGTAACTTTTCTGGTACTAACTTTGTCTGTCTTGCACAACAAGGTCCCTACCTCAGGGTAGTACCTAAGCCCTTTTTTCCGCAATCTCTTCCGACTACCACGATGGGAAATTAGTACAACGCACCAGGATATTAATATAGACTAGCTAGGTGGTATCGGTATGCTGTTAAACTCATCTGACCCTCGAAGGGACTGATGTGAGTTGACGCAAGGGATCTGTAATAAAGAGGAGTGAAGATAGATAAGACTTGATTTGAGAGATCGAGATGCTGAATGTTTTCAGGAGCAGTTCTGGTTTCTGTGCTGGAGCGTCTTTCGTTGGCGTGCGATCAGCTTTGCTTGCCGCATCTCGTTCTGTATTTGCACTCCCTCCAGGGTCGTCGAATTGAATTTTTCTGATCCATCATATCGAGTCTTTCCAAGTGCAGATATAAAATTTTTTTGAATTTTTCTGATCCATCATATCGAGTCTTTCCAAGTGCAGATTTAAGATTTTTTGAAGTCCTCCTCGTGACGTTTCTGGCCTCCTTGGTTCTCTCGCTTACTTCTTGTTTCATTTTCTGCGTATCCTTCAACTCCTCTTTCGCCTCTTTCGCCCTCTCTTCCTTTACCTTCCTGGTGAGACCTCGGGGGGCAGAAGTGTGGCAAGTCTCAGCTAGAGATAGTTCATGATCTAATAGTCTCTCCAAGTGAAGATTTAGGATTTTTTGTTGCTGCAATGTAGTTTAATGTTGCTGCAATCAGTGAGTTCGTGATTTGGTCTTGTACAACTAGTTTGATGTAACCAACACGGAAAAAAAAAGGATGGCGCGGACGCGGCATCTCGAGGGACCCACTACGTGGCCGTGTGCAAGATTGGTGGGGGCGGTGCTGTTATGCTTATACATGGATCAAAAAAATATGGTGAAAGGGGCGCGCTTACTCCTACCAAAAGCGGCGACACAGCAGTCGCAGCTGCCGGAGCACGTAGAGTTCGAGGCAGACGCGGAGGCAGGGGGTTTTTTTCAGATCTCGACGCCCTCCTTGGCAAAACTCTTGCCTACTTTTGGCGTTTTCACTACGTGCAGTTTATTCACAGCGATGCAAGGTTCATCTATAGCCTCTGGGAGCATGGGGGTGAGAATTTGTAACGATGGAACCCTTGCTCTCCTAGGGCAATACACTGCGACTTTGGATTCATGTTCGGTCGAATGCAGAGTCTTCGAAGGCGCTGGACAGCACAAGAAAGCGACTGGTGGTCTCCACGAGGATGGTCTCTTTTGTATAGACGGTACGACCGGGCTTCCCCGGTCTATCCATGAAGAGACAGCTAGACTTCTGTCCTGTCAGGAAGTGGACCTTGATGTGTGGGGCTCCATCTCTATGTCCAAGAGGACCGAGCAAGAACATCAGGATAGTACAAAAAACTGCTATTTCACCCAGCTACAGATGTGCACTGAAGTAGATGCTGGAGGTCGAAAAGGTGATGATTATGCAGAGACAGCACCAGAGCAGGACGAGGATAAGCACAGTACTATACCATACAGTCCTCTGACGGATGAATCTGATGATGATATAATTGCTGCGTCAAAGGAAGATGCTGTCCCAGCACTCCCACGGGAGTTATTGCTAGAGCCGCGTCCATTGAATACGGTTCTCCCGAGTAAAGCATTCTCGGGGGGCATGGTCGAGTTTCCGCCTAACTATCAGGCACATTCGAAACAGCACGATGCCTTGATATCAGAGCGGAAGATGAAAGCAAAGAGAGAACTTCAAGCTGGTGCTGGACCTCTTCTAGAAGACGAAGAGGACGCTGCTAAAGAATTGACTTCATCTTCTACTCCCAGCATTAAGAAGATGATCAAGCCAATGACATCTTCTACTAAAAACATTGAAATCGGAGGCCAGTCTAGTGATTTAGGGTTACTAGGCCATTTGGGATTGAAGGATCTGAAATCGTTCCACCACGCATTCGAAGTTCTGAATACGGACTATGTGCCTGAGGAGTTCGAGAAAACGAAAGTCGGGCAAGAATTTCGCAGCAAGACTGATGACGAATTATTAGCAGCTATGATTAAAAGTAGTAGTGGTCCTTCAGCAAATGGAAATGGTGGTCGTGCACTAGTGGAAAAACTTGAAACTGTGACAGTGGAGTACAAGCCTATAAAGTCTGCCTTGCAGAAGGTGTTACCCTCCGATGTCTTGCGACGAGATTTCTACAGGCGCACCTCACCAGAACAAGATCCTGCAAGTCAGGAACCAGAACACCAATCGTTCTATGAGGTAGCATCCTCCGACAAAACGTTGGGGATTCGGGTTTTTCTATACGATCTGCAGTATCTGGAAAGCGCACAAAATGTTTTACTTTCTGCATCACTAATGCTTTTAAGGCAACTGACTTTGACCGACAAAAAAGTTGTACCCTACCTACCCACGTACCTACCTACCTACCTACCCACGCACCTACCTACCCAAGGTAACTTAGACTTTCTACAGAAGCAACTGCATGCTAGTATGCGTAAAATAAAGAGGGCTCCTACTGTATCTATTGAACTACTTATAATTATCATCTCTTGCTGTTGCTTTACCTTGACCTTCTAATGTTCTCCTTTGGAGCTGCCGGCGAGATGTTCGAGAAGTACAAGGAGTTGTATCCAGGACGGGAGTTGTTGATCTCGTTGGATCCGCATTGTGAGGGTGGTCGAAGCTCGTGTGCAGATGCAAGTTCTTTTTTCGCGGGGATGCCAGAAGGGAAGAGAATCCAAGAATTGGAGCTCAGTTCTCCCTTTGGGCCCTACGTTGCGTTAAAAGGAGGCTTAAAGACTGCTGTAGCTTCCTTGCACCATGAGTTGGGGCATTTTGTCGATCGACTGATGCGCGTGGTTTATCCGCTATCGGAGTCCGAGGTGTGTTACACTCAAAAAGGCCAACAAGAAATTGAGAAACGTGCTGTGAAAGAGAAAGAAAAAGGGGAGAGGGATGCGCTGAGTGCCATTACGAAGGACGTTGAACAATGGGTGGGTGGGGAGTTGTACGCACCAGCGTCATCGAATGTCCACAGTGCGTTGGCTGAGACAAGTCGAAAACTAGAGGATGCCAATCCTGTGTCTCGTCATTATGATGCTGAGGACTTCAACCTTGTTCCTCGTCAGGGTCATGCTGGGGAAGAGGACTACGACCCGATGCCTATCTCTGTTTACCCTAGGTCTGTTCTGCAAAACACTTATGATAAGCTGCAAGAGATCAAGTTGGCAATAGAGCAGTTTGGGGAAGATGTGGCTAATTTCTGCCCATACTCATCTGTAGCTCAGGGAGCACACGACAAGAAGCGTACATCCGTAGTCGTACTTCCAGAGCTAGAAGCGTTTCAGCCTTTGGTAGAAAACTTTGTCAGGTGGAGCAAAAACTTCCTGAATGATGTCAAGGTGTATCAGTTCCCAGGCGATACAAACACTGAAGATGCCAAATACCAAAAGCATATTACTAGTAGAACTTTTACACCGCTTCCTATCAACGGGCGTGAAGTTACAGAGACACTCAGAGACGTTGCCAAAAACATAGAAACAAAAGCAGAGCAATTTTTGTCCCACTTGGTCGAGGATATGGACAGACTGACGGACACGCATTACTTCCCTTCTTGGGATGCGGATAACCCGACCCCGCCTCCGTTACAGGAGTGCCCCGTGCTGGTGCCAGGAACGTTTGGTGATGGTGCGCCTCCGAGCGCGTTGCCGATAGGGGGAGGGGGTACTTTGCCGAGTACGCCTCTAGGAGGGGGTGCATCTTCTGCGAGTAAGCCTCAAGGAGGGGGTCTAGGTGCGAGCATGCCAGGAGTACTAGGGAGTCACTTCGCGACTCATCTGCCGCGAGAAACAATTTTGCCGCTAGGTTCAAGTGAAGCTTCAGCGGTAGAAGCAGGAACAGGCTTGCTACGCGAGCCTAGCCTCTTGCTGCCAGAGAAACGAAGACAATTGAGCTTGATACTTTACGGCAAAGACTAGATTTGGGTATTCACAGGACTACACTCGTATTTACAGATTTTAATCCTTCAGGAGATAGAAATGCAAATTCAAATTCTTCAAATGCATTTCCTTAAAGGTAGTAGGCAACCAAAGACACTCAATCTTATTTGTGAGTACTTATGGTCATGGGTCCTGCCACCCAGTAAGCTGAGGCTCTCCACGCAATATCATTTTGCGACGATATAAGACTATAACAGAAACTGTTCCACCTCTAAAGCATAGGCCGCACCACCGAAGAGAAAAGACAAGTACAAATAGGCCGTGTCTACCCCGCACTGGTGGACGAAGCGGAAGCTCTATTCGACAATTACAAGTCTCTTCTTCTCCATGGCCCACAAAAAGGACAGCCCGTCAACTACTACGCTGCCATCAAAACCGCAGCTACCTTTGGCGGAAGAAAGTTGCTGGATGCATTCTTAGGGGAAGAACGGGAAGTGGAGAAAGGAGTATCACAAGAAGGGCAGGAACTGGAGAAAGGAGTATCACAAGAAGGACCGCATGCTTTGGCTTTGGAGAAAAAAGGAGAGAAAAGAGTAGGTGGTCTTCTTTTTGCAGATCGTATGATTTCGAGTCCGTATATGAACGAAAGGGATCTACTTTCTTCACGTTCACCGGAGAAGATCAGGAAAGACAAAGAGAAGGATCTAGAAGAAGATCTTAATCTTTCACCAGGAGGAGAAGCCAATGCCAATAATCCTGAAGTTACTCTTACTACAAGAACAGAGCAAGATATTGTGCTTGGGATCAAAGAGTTTCTGTCTATTTTTTCAGCCGCGATATTCAGTACTGAACTGCGCGCCGACAAGGATGATGTGTTTGTTGGCGCGGCTACAGGAGATGAACTACATCCGAAGCATAGACTCTCCAGTTTCGATAATGAACTTGATACTTCTCGCTCAGCAAGAAACGGCATTGGTGCGCAGTTGGACGCTTTGATCATAGGAGATGCCAAGAAAGGCTCCTCCTTAGAACAAGGTCCTAAAGTTAACAAGGACCTGGCGAAGAAATTTGCACGATTGCTAGAGCACAAAAGTTTGCGACCCGTGACGAATCGGCAAGATGTTGCGCTGATCTATCCAGCGGTGGCTAGATTTCTGCGGAAACTGTATCCTTTGTCTTACGACTGGACGCCGGAACGAATTCGGGGATTGTCAAGGAGAATCTTCAGACCTACATGTAGAAGTCCTAGTCCGACACGGAGTCGTGGTGAAGAAGGTGAAGGTGAAGACACTGATAAAAAGGTTCTTGGAGTAGATATGGGCTCACTGGCAGATCAGTTCAAGAAGTGTGCTGGGGTCTTTGAGTTTCGACTCAATGTAGAGGCATTGTCAAAGCCCTAGAAGTTTGGATTTCGGAGTGGGCGCCGAACTTTGGGAGTTTTGGACAGACTAGAAGGAGTTGGCAGTGGAGTTTTACTCCTGATGAAATCAGATTTTAGTACACTGCAATATGCTATATTCGATTGATTTTCCAATTCCATCCAAGCACACCAACACTCTTTGTTACTGTTTCATGTACTTTAACTTTATAGTTAGGTGTTGAATGGAATGGCATTTCGAATTTGTGAAAAAGCAATGGATAGAGAAGGACAGATGCGAACATCATTCATTTTCAAAACTGTTGAGACGAATCTCTTGCATGATATACACAGAATTAAGCAGACCATTGCAAAGCAAAGACCCTTATCACAAAAGAAAAAGCCGGGAACTGTGGCAGGCATGCAATGAGAAGGTATCAGAAAGGTAGGACTGTGTTGTCAATCTAGTAACGACTCTCTTCGTGAGACTCTTAATGACCTGAATTAAAGCTCAGCACTCAATGGTCACTGACTCTGAAAGAAATGGGCCCCATGCCTCTCCCTTTGCTTTTCCTTCATTTTCCCCTGTTCTCTCAAGAGGGATCTCAGTGACCAACCCCAATGACCATTGAAGGCTGAGCCTTAACTGAAGGAGTGTGATTCGGCATCTGACCTCTGGGTGATCTCCATTTATGCTTGTGCATTACAGGGTATCCATTGGCATTACTCAGCCACCTTCATTTTCATGATCAGCATTGACAACTACTTAGTAGTTCTGACTTGAACTATGAATGACTAATTCATTGATTTAATTGTGTCCGAATTGATGTTTTACCAGTGTTGTAACGACGGGGAAATGCTTAACAGTTCACAGCTTGTTCTTTTTGGATCAAAATTTTTTTTTGCTGACTTGAGTACTACCATCATCACCAGGAAAAAAAAATGAATAAGCTAGAAACCATGGCGTCGCCCTTTATCTTGGCACGGGAGTCTGGCGGCTTCTTTCACCGAGTAAAGGGTCTGCATCTGCAGGACCACAGGATCTCGGTGCCTCTCGATTACTCGAAGACAACTACTACATCTATTGGTGATCATGGTATCATCCCCGACAACTCTAGATCTACCTCTATAACTATCAGCATATATGCTCGAGAAGTCCGGAAGGCGAGTGACGTTCCTGTTTCGACGAGCAGGGCTAGCGAGGCGGAGACGGTTGTCGCAAGCAGTAAAGAGACAAAATTATGGCATCTAGTTGTACCAAAATAAATCCATTTTCTAGAAGAATAACATCTTGGTGATGTCCCGTTTTATTTCACGAGAAAAGATGCACCGAGATCATGCTCTTGAGGATCAATTCTTTTCATAGGCAAAAGAATGAATGAATGAATCCATTGATATGCACTCGGCCTTGGGCATGGATTTCTGTGCACGACGGACAGGTCTAATCAAAGAAGACAAGAAGAGCTACCTTCTGTACCTCCAAGGCGGTCCAGGGTATCGCGCTGGGCGACCGACTGGGCCAGGAGGATGGATCAGTGCTGCATTGGATGCGGGTTTTCGAGTCATTTTGCTTGACCAACGTGGCACGGGACAGTCAACTAGAGCTAGTATTGGCCTTCTCAAATTAAGGGCTGAAGCATCTCACTTGTTCTACAAAGCACTATTCACTTCTACTCTAGAACAAGCGTTTTTGTTTTTCACTTTTTAGTATTCCTAAATAATGTTTTGGTCTTGACTCTTGAGTTTGAAAAGTGAAGTGGTTCAAACACAATCTTTAATCAAGCGTATGAAGGATAAAAAAGGGGAGGACGCGGTCGCAGATTATCTAGCAAATTTTCGAGCAGATAGCATCGTGCGTGATGCAGAACGGCTGCGATTGCACTTGGGGATAGAAAAGTGGACACTACTCTTACGGCCCATGCTCATACTTTTATCATTTTCACAGATCATTAGTTGTAACTTGTCCCAGTACAGTTTTCTTCCCAACGAACTCTGAGAGTATGAAGAACTTTTTGGATTCTGACTCTGAGAGTATGAAAATGATCTTATTTAATTGAAAGGGCAACTACACCAACTAATGAAGATACTGTGAGCTCTAACACTCGGGCAGAGTTTTGGTGGTTTCTGCAGTGTTCAGTATTTGAGCATGTATCCGGAGTCGCTACGTGAGGTGTTGATTACAGGAGGACTTCCGCCATGCGTCGCACTGCCATGCGCAGCGGAGACAGTGTATCAGAAGCTCTTCGAACGTGTCAAGGTTCAGAACGCGAAATACTATCAGAGGTTTCCCCAAGACGTGGACGCAGTTAGGGAGATCGCTATTTATCTACATTGCTGTACGTTTCAGGAGAACTACAAGAAGGAGAGAGTGCAGATGCCGAAAGGGGGCATCCTCACAATGCAAGGTTTTCAGGCACTGGGGATTCTGTTCGGCCTGCAAGACGGATTCGAACTGGTGCACTACCTGATAGAAGACGCCTGGGACGCTGATGGAGGCCCACACACATCTCCTCTCCTGGAAGAATGGCATCTAAGTTTAAGAGTAGGTTAAAGGTGCTTTTCTTACCGCTTTTTATGCCTCTCCCAAGGGAGAAAGGCATAACAAGCGGGGTAAGCGAGCACCAAAAGCCTACCTCTAATAAGTCACGAGTTTCTCGCCGGTGTAGAGAAGATTATATCTCTGGACGAGGCCCCGCTCTACCTCTTGTTGCACGAGTCCATCTACTGCAGTGGTGGCGTTAGCAATTGGGCCTGTGAACGAGTTCGATCTAGTGACAGACTCGTGAAGTTGTTCGACGCCGACTATGCTATAGACATGCGTCATGTTGCGGCCAGGAGAACACCAAAATTAGATAAATCTTAAGGTAGCCCAATGGCTACGGATTCGAATGATGTACTTCATCACTCTCAGCGATGTCGCCCCTGTCCTGTGAACTAGTCCTAATCTGCACAAGCACAGGATAAATTTGAGAAGGCAAAACATCTGGCTTCTGTTGTTTTTAAGTACGAAGATCCCTGGGGCTTAGTGCCTTTCATCTGCCTAAGCTAACTAGATCCGGGCCAACTATTTAACTCGTCAACTTGTTACTTGCTGCACACGTTTAAGACCTTAAGACTTTGGTCTTGATGTTGATGCTGATGATGTTGTTGATCTTGATGGTGTTGATCTTCGTGTTGCTGTCGTTATGATTTTCTTGTTCTTGTTGTTTCCTTGATCATGATGTTCGTAAGTCTTTAAGTTGTTGACTTCCGTACTGGTAGGATGATCTTCATGCTCATGCTTGAGTTGATTCATAGTTTGGGGATCGACACGTCAGCCAGTTCTCTTCACTGGGGAGATGATGTTCCCTTGGATGGCCAAGACCCTCGGTGGCGGATTGGAGTGCCTCGATGGAGTTGCCAACAAGCTCGCCAAACGCAAAGTAGGGCCTGTTCGACATGACGTAGAGTTACTGACTTCTTTATTGATGCGCTCCTACAGTAATATGTTTCTATAGCGTGGTGAGCTTGTCCTTGTTGTGCGAGGGCTTGTTGTCAGATACTGTTATTGAATGAGGATTGGTCTAGTCATTGAATGACCATGGGTCTAGGGAAACTCAAGGTCAAGAAGCTCCTTCTGTATGCGTGGTGTGGCTTTTCTGCTCTTTCTTCAACCTTCTAAAAATTTGGCCCAAGTTGTACGATGTGGAGAAATTGAAACGGGTTGACGTTCCGGTGGCTGCCGCAACATACGTGGAAGATATGTTTGTGGACTTCGATCTGGCACGAGAAACTGCGAAGTTGATCGGTGCGGAAGCCGGCGCGCCGATGCTACTAGGAGCATCTACTTCTTCTTCCGCAACATCGAACGGCTCGCCAGCAGCAAAGAAACAAAAAAAAGGAGACGAATTTGAAGACAGGCAGCGTAAGACCAACTTCAAGAAACCAAAGCAACTTGGTGGAGAGCATGTACGACAACTGATGACATCTGCGTACAACCATTCCGGGTTACGCGAAGATGGTGCTACGATCTTCAAGGAGTTGCTGGCCATGGTACGAGACGAACATCCGGTGAGGTGAAAATGTGAGGTGTAAGCGCTGTGAGGTGTACGAGCTGGGCGATCCGAGGATGAAGGATTCTAAGGTGAGGGGAAGAGATTGAACGCTTTGATGCGCCTAGATTTTTTCAAAAGCAAGTCGGCGGTTGGTGTTGACTGGCAGGTCGACAAAGATAAAAGATTTGGCACAACAACTTGCTAGAAGACTAAAAAAGCTTGCGAACAAGTCCTTTCGACCCAGAAAAACTATGATTTTCATTCGAAGATTCAAGATTTCCGTTCGATCATCTTGGTCCTCCCAGGCTGGTTACCATCCAATCTCAAGTGGAAGCTGTGCTCGTACGAGAGAGATGGCGACGGAGCCCTCGGAGGTGTCCTGGGGGAAAAGGGTAAATCAGCATCATTAGGAGAGAGAGAGAAGATTTTGGAGATCATTTGGAAAAGAAGGCGCGAGAGGTGAGGCCGGGCGCCTTGAAGCAGTATGTGCTCATCTACAGACGAGACCACAATGAGCGGGATAACGATGAGAGTGAGGTTGTAAGTTCCAACAATACGTTAGACGCGTCACGCGGCTGTTCAAGTAGAGTGGCGTCGAGAACACCTGCAGACTAACACCTGATGGCGGCAGTGCCATGAGATAAGGCACGATTATATACAGGTGAGATAATGTGCTTGTTTCAACATTTTGCGCAGCGTACTATACTGTCGACGAGAGTCTCTACATGAAGATTCTGGTTCGACCTCTGGGCTGGCTCATCTTCTGTACAGTATGTCAGCATTTCATTGGCATCATCAAACCACATGCGCATTCATTATCAGCATTGATACCTAAAAAGTCAAGCAAGTGTTCTTCAACAGTCACAATTAGTTCTTCTCGTTTTCTGCTCGGTCATTCACTGTAATTTGCAGAGCCTAATTTCAAACGCGATCCTGTTGCTCTCCTTCGCCACCTTGCGCCACATCTTCACTCTTTGCTTCCGTGTGTTGTACAACGTTATCTGTTACTTCCTCTTCCTTTCTCCCAGCCGCAGCAGCTGCACCATTGCTACTACTCGACCCCGCGGCGCGTTTCCTTGCGACCATTACAGCGTGCAGGTATGCCAGCAACAGCACTAAAAACATGCCTCCGCCGATTAGTACTACTTGCCGGTTCCAACCGATAAAGTAGTCGTCGCGATCTGGGTCCACTTGGATTTTTGATAACCTCTTGCCGTTGAAGGTGAAGGGCGAACCGCTAGTCGGATATTGCTGCTTGTATTAGAGGTGGAAGCTGTATGAATCATTCTAACTATTTTCTTCTTCAGTGCACATCTCAAAAAGGTCCTTACTCCTTCTTCTTCTTGTTCGCGGTCAACATTATAAAGTAGTTTTGTCTACTAGCATGGTGTTTTTTTAGAGAGGTAGGTCTTTGGTGTTCGTGAGTTCTCCCGCTTGTTATGGCTGTCCCTCTTAGGAGAGCCATAACAAACGGTAACAAAAGCACCTTAAGCCTACCCTTAATCTACTTCTTCAATGTACGTCTCGAAATGCTGAGCGTGCAAAAGTGAACCTTAATTGTAGGTCTGTAACGCATTCCCGTTAAAATGGTTTTCCAAGTCGGTGGACAGACACTCATCCCAAGCCGCCATCGCGCCACAGTAGCCACTGATTACAAAGAGCCCACCGAGAAAGAGCAAAACGTGAGGTAGAGCCTTCAGGTTCAGGTTCTTGGTTTGCTCTTTACTATCAGTTGCTAGTTCTGGTGCTTCAGCGTCTGTTAAAGCTCAGCCTTCAATGGTCACTAACTCTGAACGGAAGGGACCCCCTTCAAAGCTCTCCCCTTTCCCTTCGTTTTCCCCTGTTCTCTCAAGGGGTCGCCTCTTCGATCTCAGTGACCAACCCCAATGACCACTGAAAGCTGAGCCGTAAGTCTGGCATGTTAGAGATTCAATTTCAGCAGGGTCGCCTCTCCTGGTACGTAGTTTCCCCCTTCGAAGCTGAATATTCTGACGCTTCAGCTTCTCAAGATCATGAGTCATGTCCTTAATTGAAGGTGGAGTCTGCTTCGACGATGGCGCAGGTGCCACTGGCAAAAACGTCCAGTATACTTTCCCCGTTTCTCTGCGCCGGTACCAGAAATGCAGGTCTGCCTGGAATTTTGCCCATGTGAGCTTAAACGCGATGAAAATTACGACCGGCACCCACGCAAAGATCGCCACTATGTGCGCAAACCACTGCGAGTTGCGCGCTCTGCCGCAGGACTCGAATTTCTCGTAGATGTCTTCAATCGGCGTAAAGAGGAAATTAAGCGCCAACTGCGTTCCGGGTTCTAAACTCAAAGACATCACGGCTGGACTCGGTCGCTTATCGGAAGATGGCATCAGATCCGCTGAACGTGATTCGACTTGCACATAGCCATTGAAATGGTATAAACGAACACGCAAGTAAGCATCTGTGTTGACGTAGTCACATGTCACACCTGCTGTGCCACAAGAACCACCAAAAGAACAAGGAACTCGATTCGCAGGATTGTTGTTCCATGTCTGTTGCTCGGACACAGTGAGACCTGCAGGAGCTGGGAAATATTCGTAAGAGTAATAAGGCGAATACTGCGAAGCGGACGACAGAGAGCGACGAGGAGGAAATTCATGAACAGCAAGATCCTCTGGAAGCCTCGAGTGGAGCTGCTCAACAGCGTCAGCGGACTCCTCCATCGCGGAACTTGATGTCTTCCGCAGTAGACTACTAGCTCCATAGTTGTATGTCACAGAAGTCCGGGTGGCTCTGTCGTACCGAGCCGAAGACGGCGGCGTAAGCACCGCGTTGTCGTTCCCGCAGAGATAGTTTGTACTTGCGTTTCGTGCATCCTGCGATCCCAGGAAAGAAATGTGGCACAAATCCACGTATTGGCCGCTCTCGTTTATTTGAGATGCGATCCAAAATAGGAAGGACTTCCTGATACGTAGAAGATGTGCTGAGCGCGTTGCATGGATGGCGAACTTCGTTGAGAACACGGCTCCAGGTTGTGAAAGAAGACCATCTGGTTGTGATAAAACATAATCCACTGCGGGCGAAGGTTGTATAGCCTAGTAAGTGTATCTTGTTGGGTGTGATGTCTTTTCACATGGGCTACATGAGAACGGGAAAAGTCTGCCTTCTGTGCATTGTTTTTTTAGCATTTTCTGTCTGGAGACAAGGCATTGGCATCTTCATCAGACGATATTCATTATCGGCATTGATTGATAAGTTTCTAGTCTTTCTTTGTTAGAAGTTTTCGATTAAGGTTAAGGTCTAGTAAATTGCTCTTTGCATCTTTTTGAAGATGTCATCTGGACAGAAAGTTTGGGCTTTTGCAGCGTTACTTGGCTAAAATTGTATCCAGTACTTGTCAACAGTGTGATGTGATTTAATCGAAATTTGCTTTTGGCATCCATGATATCGAAATTTAAATCTATGAGACAGCGAAACTCATTCTCATATTTTGCCAGTCGGGAAATAAAAACAATGCTTGATAGTCAACGTTCTATTTGGACATTTAGCTCTCGTATCCATATAGAAGAGTAAAGTATCAGTGAGTGGAAATAGACCAACGATCAGCCCAATAGATCCACGAACATCCAGGCGCTGACGCCCCATCGCTTCTCGTCAACCCCTACGTCCGTGCTCGACGAGTCTCGGATAATCGCCTAGTGAAAGCTGAGAAGCCTCAGAGCGATGCAGAGACGACGGACTCTCTCCGTTATCTTCACACTTTCGAGTGAAGACGCATACGCTTCCGGCTTATCCAGGCACATGGGAGGTTAGAAGAAGAAGGCGCAAATGGAACGAGTAGGGAACTTCAGGTTAGTCACACATCAATTTCTTTCACCTCGTGTGGTACCTCTAACACGCAGTAGCTTAATCACTTTCACATTGATTCAGATTCACTCAATGATCAGTTAAACGAATCGCAGAAATCCCATAAATCAATGTTGCGTGGGTCTGCACTGGTTCAAAGTTGGGCTTCAGGTCTGTGCCATGGACAAAGCAGACCTTGTCTGTACCGTTGGTCAGCGCAGTCTTGTAATCGCCGTCATTGTCAACATCGAATGGACTATGCGCATCGAATGCACGGTTCTCTCGTGTTGGGCTATGAAAGAGGCTGTTGATCATGTTTGTGGGGAATCAATACAGTGTTGGCACAATGAGCTCAAGAAATTCGTTGTACTGGAAGTCGACCAGCTAGAAGTAAGTAGTGGGAGTAGGAGCCGTAGTAGTAGCGTGCCCATTCATGGAGTATAGGCGACTACTTAATTATTATTTTTGACATATAGTGTGAAGAATGCGCTTATTCCTTGTTTCTCATAACGAAAGCATGCTTGATTTGGCGGCAGTTTTCGATTGTGGTTGCTGAAGACGACGTCGTTGCGGAGACAGATGGAACTAAGATCGCTATAAGCCTTAGTCTCCATGGCAAGGTCCTTCATCTTGCAATAATCCCCAAGCTCGTCTTCTTCTTCGGGGAGGAGGTTGAGACCTGTGTTGGTCTGGTGGAGTATTGAGAGATGATCACATCAATGGGAATTTGAGACCTGTGTTGGTCTGGTGGAGTATTGAGAGATGACCATATCAATGGGAATTACATATACATACAAAGGTCCTCACTGGTATCGACCGTGTAAGTACTTACTTGCGAAGATGAAATTCAATGACCCGACAATGAGGAATTCTATGCTGTATTTTTGGACATACACAGAAGAAGATAGTACCGCACTGCCTCAAGTCCAGAAGCAATTGTATTGGGTCATGGTAGATTTTTCGCTTCCTCTCCTGCATTTCTTCCTCACTGTCCTCTGGCAGTGGCGGCGCATCTCCGTCAAAGAGGATGGCGCCCATTAACTCCGGCAATGCTGGTCCCAACATGCAAATTCCTTCCCGTTAGAGAGGACAAGTAGACTACATCACTAACTAATCTGCCCGATCCCTTCTGCTTGTCGTAGGGCCGCTCACGGTGCTAGTACAACATGATCTTCAAGATAATTTCCAAGAACAAGTGTAACGAAACATGACGACCATCTTCACGACCATAATCGTTGTTTATCCGAAACAGCACCTCGAAACGTGTCGTCTTTAGCTGAAGCTCCACGTCACCCAGTGCTTTTGGCCTGCAGAGCCAATAGCTGTATGGAAAGTCTAGTGTCTTCGGCTGCGTGATACTAAAAATGCCGAGTCGCAGTGTGTAGAAGGAGATTTTCCTCGTGTCTTCGTAGAATTAGAAGAGCAATCTGGTGATTATAAAGAGAGAAATCGACCTGCTTCTATGCTACATGTTGAATCTCGTGAAGCTTCTGTTGCTGAGACTGAGGCTGAATCTCCCGCATCGTCGTTCTTTTTCAATGTGATGACAACCTGCCACAGCTGCCGGAATATGCTGACAAAAACCTTCAATACTAGAACAAAACTCCTTCTTGCGGCCATACTCAAAGTTGATATCCGATATGTGCTCCTGGCTCCAATTATGCTCTCCAGCATCCCATATGCTTACTACCGGACTATCCACTTCTATAACGCTGCGCTCTGGAACCTTGTATTCCACCTTCACTGGTTGCAGGTTTGCTAAGTTGAGCCCCCCCTCAGCGTTCGGATACTGCAGTCGCTTCAGTCGAAGAGTTCCCTCTGGAGGAATCACCCGCATGATCCATCCGCCTGTTCGTTAGAGACCACATGCTCCTCTACCACGCACTAGTCTCACTCCTGCGAACATGATTCAGGATGAAGACGAACATGTGATTGAGGATGATCATACGAACATGCTGCAAAACAAGTAGCCCACCTTAACTTGGATATACCTTGGGTCTAAAAGGTATTGATAGGACCTCTACCCGACACACACCGCCCACGCTCAACATCCTTGTTGCATTCATGGAGACGTTGTCGAATGTCGTGTACCTGTGATTGATTTTTGGAGCGACTGACGTATGTCTTATTGGTCAGTGAAGAGGCAAAGTTTTGTCAGTGAAGATAGAAGGTACTATGCAATTCCATCGAATCTTGTACCTCAGACAATTTCAACTTGCTTCCCGCATTTAAAAAGCTGAAACTGTACATCGAAGAGGAAAGTACAATGATCGCACCCCGATCTGCACGTGGCTATGCCCGCTGGCTACACTCTTTGGCAACTCGAGAAGTACCCCCATCTTATACTGGTCCACTACTTTAGCCCGAAATTTGCTTGCTGGCGCTATTGATCCCCAAAAGCCTACCCGTATGTCGCTTTTGTTGTCGCCCCACCTGTTGAAAGGCATTACGGAAGTTAGATTCCCATGGCCATAATTTTTCTACCTGATAGTATAGACAAGAGTATAGACAGAACCTTCCTTGCAGAGTCATGATCACACATCGAGGACAAAGAGGAGTTCTTGTTAAAGTTCCGGTAAAATCTCGGCGTACACGTCCTGCACTTCTTGCCTCGCGTTGATTTGCTTGCTTTCGATATGCCCCAGAAAGTAGGCCATGGACTGGTCTAACTTTGCCAACTCCAGATCCCGCAACACGTTGATAAACTTCGTACACCATGCCATCTTGGTGAAGTTATTGTGCCCCTTTGCCTCGCAATAGACCGTTTGTAGGTCTTTCACTATGATCTCGGACATGACCCCGGCATCGAGTGCCTTTCTGCAGTCGATGATCTCCCTCTCCGACAGGCCGGTTTCATAGCCAGCGATTTGGGCTTCAAACCTGGTGTTGGATTTGTAGATGAGGTGCTCACTGGTGCAGGAGTGGTCTAGTACGATAAAAGACATCACTGTTTGTCGTGAAGAAGTAGAAGATGTAGATATCATTCATTCTATTATGTGTATTTCACAATTGAAATTGATACCGAACATCCGGCTTTGTTTCACACTTGAGGTAGGCGTCCCATTCGTTCGCGTGCCTCAATTTCTCCAGTTCATAGTGCAGGTTTTCTTGGTGATCTTTCAGGAATTGCACGGCCTGTTAGTAGTTTTGTGTGCCAACACATTCATTGTAACAAGAATCTTCCTTGTTATACGAGTAGAATAGACTACTTCTACCTACTAGGAGAGTCTATTTGCCACCCACGACTACATCTACAAGCAACGATCCAAACAACGGAAGTAAGATTTGAACGAAAGTATACCTTCGGCGCCTCCTCCTCTAGTCTTTGCTTCTCTTCTTCTTGCGCTTGTGCCTCCTCCTGCGCTCTTAGAGTCTCTGCTTCTGCTCTCGCTTTCTCCTCGACTTCTCTTCGAGCGGCTTCTTCTTGCACGAGTTAGAAAGGGTAGAGGTAGAGTAAGACACTTCAGTCTAGGAAAATAGGTGCACGTGGTAGAGGTAGAGTACAAGACACAGCTTCTAGTACTTCTGTATTCTCGTGAAATACAAGGTAAAAGGGGTCAAGATGCCGAGAATGATGGAAAAAAGCTGAGCATAACATTTGTCAGTACTAGAAGCTGTGTCTTACTCTACCTCTACCACATGAATCTAGAGAGAGACAGCTTCTAGTACTGACAAATGAATTTGTCCCGTCTTAATCGAAAGCGACTTGCTCCTCTTGCGCTTTCAGCAATTCCTCCTCTAATTGCTTCCGCGACTTCTTGCCTGAAATTTTGGAGGAGAAAGAGTAGTCATAGAGTTGGAAGTAGAATGAAAGTACGCACGTTCTTGCAGGTAAGTATACGTCCTGTGCTTACGTTACAAGGCAGGCAATACCTTTCTTTCCCATCTTCGCTGATCAGAGTGGTAGCTCGGTTTTGAGCGGTGTCTCTTTTCTCGAAAGTCCTACTGTACTAAATAACCGACGTGGTGGTACATCGGTTATAACAAAGCATTTCCTTGTTTTTGTTGATTCGTCTGACAACTTTTTTTGGAAGGAATTTAGTGTACTAAGTCCATCAATATGTTAGCCGCGAACTGTCCGTCAGCCTCAACACCCTCTGATTTCGATTTGGTTGTGGGCTGTCGCCTTTCTAATGCTTTCTCATGGAAAAGATACGCTTTTTACGGCTTAGCTTCTCCCTTTTTGAGGACTAAAAGTAGCAGCTTTTCGTTTTTCTGTATTTGCAGTTTGCATGTTGACTGGGAGTGTTTTCGGGTTGTTTGCCTTCCATTTTTTCATGTGCCTTTTTTCTTCTTGCAACCATTTTCCTCTCGACCACTCATCTCTCTCTGCACTTTCAAACTACTGCCAACGTCAGTCTTTATGAAAAGAGCGTTCTATCCACAAATGCCTCCTAGTATTTGCAATACTTCACGGTGCCACCTCCCCACTGAAGACATTTTTCAGGTGCTTTTCCCATGAATCGCACTCATGTTGTGTCTGAGTATATCCATCGGCTGTGAAGTAGCTTGTGCGTTTTTATGAGTGAAAAACATGAGCATACACCAGTAATGGAAACAGCGGTTGCGCGTTTTATGTCATCTGGTCTGGTGATCGATGACATATAACAAAATCAAAATGACTGTAGTTCATCTAGAAGTCCCTATTCAGATCGAAGAAAAAGTTGAAGATATGCAGGAAAGAAACGTCTAAATTGTAAAAATCTATACTTTCTTCAAAGATTCTTTCTATCTGCCTTGCGGCTATTCTTGGAACTGTTCACTGTAACTTGTACTATGGTCGTTTTGGTTTAGATAGTGTTTTTGGTTTAAAGTAAATCGAAAAAGAAGGTTGATCTTGATAATTTGTTGGTGTTTGAACTTGAAATCAATAGTGGTATTTTTACTCGTATTGAAGCAGTACTAGTACATTTTATGTGTTTGTTTCCAGAGGACTTGTTGTACTCACCTCTGCACTAGACTTGACGGGGATACCTAAAAATCAATATGCGGACGCGTTGTGTTATTCTTCTTCACCGGCGAGTCTTCTGCTTACACGATCCTCACCGCGAAAACCCTATTGCGTTGCGCATTGATCCTGATTTCCCTGTCCTCCTTGATTAGAGACCAGCATCTTTTGGTTTTCACCAGAGAAATACACCTACAATGACTACCTACTACTGTTGAATTCTAGTGAGTATTCCTTTCATCCATACCTCGTCTTGGATCGCCGCCAGCCGCTTGCTCCGCTCGTTTCCTTTCCTTTCTTTCTTTACGACGCCGTTTCTCTTCTTTGTGTTTCGCACGCTCCAGCTCTGTCATAGCCGGTGACGGCATCAAAGCCTTGCTTCCGGAACTAATGTTGAGCGCTAGATTTTGATGTTGTGCTTCCGGTGGAGCTTGTTGAGGTCTTGTAACCTCGTGAGGAGCTTGTTGATGATGTTTTCCTGCAGTTCTAGAAGCGGACACTGCAGACGACGCAGAGCTCGCCACAACCGAGGATGGTGGAACTATCCCTCCAGTGCTGTCAAACAGGAAACCCATGTGTGCGTCGCTAGGTACAGACGTGGCCACGCTCGTCACGGACTTACCGTCGAGGAGGTCTGGGTGTTAGAGGGGTTCAACTTCAGGTATTAAGTTGGATACTACAGTAGTATCTATAAGATTAGAATTACATCACATGTTTCAACGAGAGCAGAGGGGGAGAGAAATAACAAGAACAGCAATAACAATAGCCATAACGCTCCTCGTTGATGTAGCTTCTGCTTTGGTCTATGTGCTGGATAGAGCTCTGGTCCAGCTCGTCGTCGCCCATGGGATGACGCCGGGGTGCTTTTTTAGAGGGCGAACATGAAGATGCTCAGAGGAAAATCAGAATATACAATGCCTTGATAGGAAGAAAAATGCAGAGGCTCAAACTTTCGAACAGCACCATCAGTGAAGGAGAAGTATAGTCTACATCTACATCTAAATTGTTCTTCACAAGCCATAGGACCACCAAAACCTGCCCCATTGTACTCCGCAGGGTTGTAGGCGTTAACACTAGGCGTTGCTTTCGGCATCATTCTCGCGAATTCCTCTCGACGGCTCTGCAGGTCAATATCATGCAAGGCAGCCTCTTGTTCGGCTATTCTCTTCAGTGTAGCAATCTCTTCCTCTCGATGTCTCAGTTTTTTCTTCAACAAGACATTCTCTTTCGCATCGAACTTGTGCAGTTCTGCTTGCTCTCCCGATAGCCTAAGCTGTTTGTCAGCATCTGCTAGGCGTTGCTCAAGACCTTTGATGGTCTTCTCCATGTTGGCGGCATATTCCTCAGACTTTTTGATTGCCGTGGAGGAAGAGGAAGAAGTTCTTGTTTCTTCGGATGCGCCTGAAGTTAGAGGTGTCAGTTACGAGATTTACGAGACTTAGACTTACTCACGTCTTCAACTCCTGTGTGGACAATTCTCTTCCACCAGTTGATTTTAACCAGTCGGTGTCTCAGTCTTAACAAAGCAAGCTGCTCTTGCAAGGATTCTAGTCGGCTTTTTAACTGTGTACGCTCACTGCTCATTTCCGATAGCTCTTTTTCTGCGCGTGCCACTTCTTCCCGCATCTTTGTTGTTTCCAATTTTTTGGATGAACGGAACTAGGGTCATAAAGACTGTGACAATTGGGAGACTCAAGCAAGCAATAGGTCCATCTGCTGTCACATACACGAAAAGAAAACAAAACCATATCCCTGTTAAGTAAAAGTGATAGTGAGGTAGTCGAAAATCTTAGTGAAGATTCTTCCATATCTGTGCAGCCACAGCGTCTGCGCCCTCCTGTTTCACATCGTCCACCAGGGCCTCTAGACGTTTGATCGCAGCCTGATGCGCTATTAACTCGGTGTCCATCTTCTGTTGCAGTTTACTCCTCAAGTCGCTGACTTCGGCTTCGTGGTCCGCTCGCTCCCTTTCCCGCTGTCTAGCATGCTGTTCGTGGGCTGCGGTTTGCAACGTTGTAGCCGCTTCATCTAGTGCTGCGGCTGATCGCGGGACTGTATCTTCTAGTTGCTGCAGCAGCGAATCTATGTGAGCCTCCTTCATTTGGCGTATCTTGGTGGCCTCAGCCACTTGCTGATGCAGACTCTCGTTGCACCTCTTCATGTCCTCGATTGGAATTAGAATTTGGAGGGGATAACAATGGCGATGTAGAAATGTATTCGGGGTAAAGTCAATGCCTTAACTCCAACTGTTTCCCTCTCCTCAGCTCTTCCAGACTTAGCGCTGCTTCTTCACTGCTCCGTTCCAATCGCCTGTGAGCATCCGCTAATTGTGTTGCTATTTGCTTCACTTCCCCATCTTTCTGCTTCTTGTCTGCTTGGGCCTGCTCGGTTTGCCGTCTGGCCTCAGCCACTTGTTGTTCCAGACTTTGCCTAGCGGACTCTAGTTCAGTCCTCAGTCGCCTCTCAGTTTCCTCGGCTTTTTTTCTACTCTCGGCCAGTGCGTCCTCACTTTCCGCCAGGGCCTGTACCGCACTGGCAACTCGTTCGTTAGCTTCGTGCTTCTCGCTCGTAACTGCCTCTTGCCTCTCCTTGCCTTGCGCTTCGAGCTTTGCTAGCATCTCTGAATTGATAGTTGCTAGTTCCGCACTGGTCTCTTTGTAGCTCTCAGTCTGCAATAAAGCTTTCTCTAGTCTGGATTGCAAGTCACTGCGATCAGCCATCTCCCCTTGCAACTGCGACTGCAGTTTTTGCACTTGCGTCTCAAGAGTTCTTAGCGACGCAGACGCTTGTGTCGCTTCAGCCGTAAGTTCTTCGTATCTCGATCTCCAGGACTGTGAGGGTTAGAAGAGCTGTTGGAGGGTAGACGCGTTGTCAAACACAATCTAGGTGCCAAGAACAGTGGCCTCTGTTGAGTGGTTATTTCAGGATATTACACCCCCCAACACATGCGCAAGATGTCACAATAGACATAAGAAGGGCCTTAAATTTCAGTAGCATGCACAGCCTGTAGATCCGCCATCTGCATTTTGAATGCCCCGAGATCGCGGGCCCTTTCACTCCTCTCTGCTTCGTACCGTCCACGCTCTGCTTCGTAGCGAGACTTTTCTGCGTCTAGTTTTGTTTTTTCGGCTGGGATTAGAAAAATGTTAAAAGGAAGAATCACAGAAGTATACTACAAGGTGGACAAAGCAATACTCATTACAAAACCGATTCCTTTTCCCTCTTAACTCTATCGTCTCCGTCGTTTCTGCCTTTAACTTCTCCAACCCCTTACACATTTCCGCCGCTTGCGTCTGAAATCTTTGTACGTCGCTCTCCAGACGCCTTTTATCTGACTCTAGTTTCCGTATTGAGTCCTCACTCTCCTCAACCGCGGTGCGACTCTTGGCTAGCTCGGTCCGCAACCGTGATATCTGCGCTTCTTGCTGCCTACTCTGCGCATCGAGATCAGAGCTCAATTGGTCATTCTGCTTTTGTTGTGCTGCTTCAAGGTTAGCTATAGTTTCGTGGAGGGTGCTGATCTTATCTCGCTGGCGAACTATGTCGGCTTTTGCGGCATGTAGTTCCAACTCCATCGACGTCTCCTGCTGAAATTTTGCCTCTTTCTCACGCTGAAAAGCAGAGGTGACAGCTTCTAGTTCGGTTTCGCGTTCGGTGATTAGAGAAGTGAACAAGAGATAGAAATAGTAACATTTGGGCGAGAGCAAAGCAGTTCATAGAGCAACAAATAACCACAGATCATCATCATCATGTACAACATGTGTTAAGTAGAAAGGTTGAGGTTTTTCTTCGTAACTGCAAATCCCTCCTCGCTGTCTGCAATTCCCCTTGAAGCTCACCCACCCTCTGTGCCGTCTTTCGTGAATCGGCCTCCGAACTCTGCTGCAAAGCTTGCATTGCTGTAGTGAGTGCTTCACGATCTTTAGTTGCTGTCTGTAACTCGCTCTTGAAGTCGGCTGCTTCTTCTCTAGAAAGCTTCGCCTCTGCTCTGGCGATCTCGGCATCCTCTTGTGCCGATGAAAAGGCCTTCTTCAGCGTCGCCACCTGTTCTTGCGCCTTTTTGACGTTGTCCAATGCACTTCTTGCTTGCTCCGATGTTCTGTTCGCCTGCTCCGCTGCGCTTTTTGCTTGTTCTTTTGCCGCCCTAGCTTCTTCTCTCGCGCTCTTCGTTTCTTCTTTCGCAGTCTTGGCTTCTTCCAAAGCAGTGAAAGCCTCTTCCCTAGCCTCATCGCGCTCCGCCTTTGCTTGTTTTACTACCCGCTCAGTATCGCTTGATGTAGCAGAAGAACTCGCGCGGACTGCCTCAAGCGCTGCAACCGCATTAGAGAGCTCTTCATCTTTCGCGTCTAGTGTCCGCTCTAGCCATTTCAGTCGCTCCTCGAAGACAGAGTTTTCCGCCGTCGCCTTTCGTCGAATCTCGGCTTTCTCTTCGGCTGTATCTTCCTCTATCCGCCTGAGAAGTGCATCCTTGTCGGCAAGTCGCTCTATTGTGCGCCGTTGAATGTCCTGTGCAAAACGGAGTAGTGCTTTCCTCATAAAACATGTGGAAATCTGCTCAGTGATCAGGGATTCTAGCGGCAAAAATGAAAACTAAGTCTGTCATAATAAAAAAAAGCAAACCATCGACAACAATCTCAATCACAAACTTCCATTACAGTCAAATACCTCAATCTCAGCTCGTGCATTTTCGAGCTTTCTCTCTGCAGCTTCGGTTTGTTGCTTCGCGGTCGCAAGGTCCTCTTCTAGGCTGATCGTGGTGTCCGCTGACTGCCTAAACGCATCCAATTTCGCATGGAGCTTCTCAATTAAGCCAGTATTCTCACGCTCGCGGCGGAAGGAAGCTGAGGGAAGGAGAGATGAAAGAAAAAAGAGATTTGATTCACCTGAAGAAAACAAGGGAAAGAAAAACAAAGCAACTGAAGTATCTAGAAAGACGATGTGTGGGCATAGCTTCTACACTATGAATAATCTACTACCATCCTGCTCCTTCTGCAACGCTTCCCCAATCCTTCCCACCTCTTTCCTAGTCTCATCCAAGTCGGTTCGAGCCTGTCTGAGTTCAGCATGCAGCTCTTTATTTTGCTCTGAGTACAACAGGGCTTCGCGTTCTTTACTCAAAAACTGGCTTTGCTTGGTACGCAGAAGCTTCTCAAGGCGGTCGGTTTCTTGGAGCGCAGTGTCTGAAGTGGTTGGTTTTAGAAGCTGAAGAGGAACGAACACGTTGTTCGGGTGACAACAGCCTATGCCTACTCAAGGATCTCTAGAAGTCAAGTATTCTACGTGAAAACCGCAGTGAACGATGCTATTCAGTACCAAGTTCTTTGCTCCTTGCCCTGCTCAGGTAATCTTCGGACGAAGCTGTCGTAGATTTTGAGGAGTTGGCTGTCGCTGAGCCCTTCCGGGATTGCGTTTTTGACGCTTTCCTTGACTGTACCTTGTCAACTAGGCTTCCCACTTCGTCTTCGATGAGATAGGCAACTGCGCATATGCTCACCGTCTCTTGCTTCGTCTCAAAACGCTTGCGAAGGCGGGACCAATACCTATATTGTGGAGAACGTTTTCGTCAAATGATCTGAAGACGTTTTCGTCTCTCGTGATTCATCAGCAAACCTCCACGACTACGAAAGCAAGATGGACTTCGTCATCCCACCAACCTTCCACACAAAAAGGAGCACTTCCTCTATAATTGTGGTGGAGCCGACCTAACTAGAAAAAAGAAAGACCAGAGGAATTCAATACGCTAACTTCCCCTTATCCGCTTTCGCTTCTATCGTGTTCAACATGCGGAGGATCAAATCCGTCTGTACAGTGCCATAGGGGCTCAAGTTGCCGAGAATGATGTTGCGTAGGACCGCGAGTTGCGCGGTTTGGTCCATATCGTCGCGGATTTCGTTGCCAGTACTGTGCTGGAAGAAACGGTCCATGGCTGTTTTGTTTGGTGGAGGATAATATACTTTGTAAAAATGCTAATGCGTGGAGGATGTTGTAAAAATGTACTCCAACTACTAGTCGTCTGGCTCTGGCCTCAACGGATCCAGTGATCCTAGAGTAGCGTTCTGATTGGTACCCACAAAGCACAACAGCTTCCTCGTTCGTGTAGATCAAGGACCATACCAAACGAGGAAGCTGTTGTGCTTTGTCGTGTACTTAGATCAAACCTCGCCCGCGTGACCAAAAGCAAATACCGCTCCAATAGAACAGAAAGTCTATCGGATCTGATGGGCCACGAACCGCATTTTTCAGAATGAACTCGACCTGTTCGGGTTGATGCTTGAGGTGGCCCGCGAGAACCCTCCAGTGATTAGAGGCTGCACGGATGTGCCTTTGAAGTTTAGTAATCTTGATATCATGTGTGCTCTTCGCCATGCTTCAAGCTCTTGGCCATGCTTCAACCTGGCTTTCTTTTAGTCGAACGACTACATGCTTTATCATCACCAGCCACTGTTGAATGAAAAACCGCCGTCTTAAGTAAAGATTGCTCCGCGCAACATCTTGTCGAAGCGGTGCTTAGACTCGCGTCGTCCGATAAAGCAAGCCGAAAGATCTGGACTATCGCTGAAAGCGTCGAGCTATCGTATGCTGCGGTCAGCGAGTCCGCGAAATCGAGGGAGAAACGCTCTGCTGTTGCCATGTTGTTGCCTTCAACGTGATCGCATACTGTGGTAGAATTGCCTTTCCCACTCTTTCCTACGGGTCCCAACCGTTACTGCCTGTCGATTACGGTCTGCTCCCTAGTTTCGACAAGCAGTTCTCCGGCGTTTGTCTGTATTCTCAAATATGATCTTCAAGATGCCATGTTTTCTCTTGCCTCTGTTCGATAGATATTTTTTATGTCTGAGTGATTTACCTATACCTGCAAGTATCACGCGAAGGCGTTTTTTCTACTTTTTTCATTTTAATTTTCGATTGAGTACTTTTTCCTTGTCATTTTGTCGAGGAAAAACTTCGGTCTCTTTTTTCTGCCTAGATAAAACACCTGCCTTCACCTTTCCGCACAAGCTAGTAGTGTCTGTCGTCTTCCCTTCTCTCATGGTCGCGCTCTCCGCAACGACAATGCATCCCTAGCGTCGCTGATCATTACTGACAAAAAGGAGTCATTGCGTGTAATGCGTGATTCATCACACCCAGCACTCGGTCATTGCTTAGATTCAATCTTTTTCTATCATGTGTTGATTTGTAGTCTGCGAATGAAGCCATGCTGTTGCAAAAAATACAAAAGAGAAAATGATTGCTAATAGTACTTTGCTTTACGAGTTCATTCTTTGGTATCAAGAATTTTCCAGGTGTGTCTGATTATGGCGCCAAAGAGAATTACCTAGAACATCCATCTTCGTTGTTACAACTCCTTGTTGCCGTTTTACTCGAGTACATGTCCTTGATAGCCTGATAACCACAGACGCGTTTTAATTTCGATTGAGCGAAGATGCGTTGTTACGATGGAAATACTTAGATGCGAGATAAACTTGATTTCCTACTTCGACTTAGGCTCTGCCCGTAATATCGTGCTCTGACTTTCTTTCATACACCACTCCTACGTCGTGGATCTGGACCAGGTTCGTCATTTTGAGACGTTCTCTTTGGCAGCTCTACCTTGAACGCTGGCACAATAGCCGGTCGCACTAGCTTCTTAGGTTTAGCGCTCTGTGGAAGGTTGTGATGTGGAGATGAAAAATATTTGAATATGATGGTCAGATCAGTAAGTTATTATATGGGACTAGTTGTACAACCCTGTGCTATCATCTCAAAGTCTAGATGAAAAAGAATACTGTAAATTATGTTGGTCATCTAGTATGCAGTACCCACAAAGAACTCTGATAAGCTATGTCTAAGTACCTCAGGCACTCCTTGACTGCTGGCAACGGAGGATGGGGTGAGTGGAGGCGTTGAGTCCGTCTCCTGACCAGATGATGGCGTACCTTCGCCACTGCGATTAGAGAGTGGACTACGTTCTACTGTAAAATTTTGTTGCACCAATGAAAAGTAAATTAGTATTTTGAAAGAATGCTATCACAACAACAACAAATCTTAACACTCTCTGCGCCTCCTGCTCCACCTGGTAGCTGCTGTAAATTCACGCTGAGGTTCCCCAAAGGTGGAACCACAGAACTCGTGCCAGAGTCCTTGCTGCCTTTCTTTTTGTCTTAGAAGGAGAAGAAGTGACATAGTCAGCGTGCTTGGATCACCAATTGGCTCTTGCTGGGGGTCATTTCCAGGTAGATGAATTCAGTAGGTCCGAAAAGATTAGTTACTTTGATGACAAACCTCGCTTCATCGTTCACCTGGTAGACGTGCTGACTCCAACAGCAGGTTATAAACGATCAATTACTTCGTATTTTATTAGATCAACCTCGCCATAATTCTTTCCTTTCTTCTTTCCCGCTGGTGGAGCAATTGTGACTGGTGCATTGATTGTGACTGCTGGCGGCTTGATTAACGGCACTGCCCCTGTTGATTTACCACTAGCTTCTGCAGCCTTACTACTGTCGTTTTGTGAGGACGATGAAGATGGTGCTGATATCATCGGCACTGGGTTTGGCGCAGCAGAAGATGAGGAGGAACTGCCCTCATCTGGCAGTGGAGGCGTACTCGGAGTCACTGGAACAGTCTTTTTCGGGCTTCCCAGTGGAGTTCCGAAGTTTAATGCTGCACTACTACGTCTCACAGGTGAGTTTCCCTCCGTTCCTCCAGTTACGTCGTCTCTTGACGCAACCGGACCGTTGATTAGAGCAGCCAGGTGGAAGAGATCGATTGCGAAGATCGAAGTGAAACACAGTTATACAACAAGATCGAAGTTAGCCGTAATCTCTCTGGTGGCCTGAAGCCACCTGCGTCTCCCGCGTCGTCTGCACCATCGTTATAGAAACTCTTCGGCAAAGGGGTTGTCGTATCTTCTACTTTCTGAAGGGCTGGAATTATTCGCTTGAGATGGTCAAACTCTTGTTTCATCGCCTGATTGAAGTAAAAAAGAACAAGACCATCGATAGACCACGAGGATTATTTTAAGCGGTGTATTTAACTGATATAATTGCACTATAATATATTATTAAGCTATACTTTTTCATCTTTTTAAAGTGTAAAAACTGTAACGCGCGCGCCTGATTATAATATTAGAATAAATTTTTATCGATAGACTCACTTAGACGAGGAGAAAAATTAGAAGTTATAGGATAGGATAGGATAGGTTGCCTTTCTATCTCCTTCACACGAGGTGTAGAAAGACAGTCCGGCGGAGCGCCCCAAGGAGGACGAAGTGTTTTTTGGGTTAATCGCCTTTGAAGACGCTTGGTTTACCAAAAAGACGAAAATGGGAAAGTTCTCACCGCTTAAGTAATACTTACTCTTACATATCTCAACAGGGAACAAAAAAGGGGTGAAAATTCGAAGTAGGGAACGTCCTCTATCGTGGCCTGTTCCAGTTGGGGACGTTCGGGGTAGTTCGTGCGTACGAAAATGGGCGAAAGTAGACTAATGCCTCGGTTCTCAACTATCTTTTCTGTTCGTACTCGCGGCAACGGGACGGGTTTATTTAGATCCGGGGATTTTCATTCGAAAAAAAGCACGAGAATGCCTGGAGTAGGGCGGGGAACAAAACCGGCTTCCACAGTAATTACTGATGACCCGGGTAGGGCCATTGATCTCTTTGTTCACATCAAAGCACCGAATGATTGAGCACCGAATGAAGTTGAAGTTCTGGATTATCATAAATATCTTCTAAGTATGACATTTCTAGAAAAAATCCAATTTCATCTTATCAAAATACCTGGTGTCTTTGGTAGTCGTCTTGGATTCGCCGTCCCCGGTCTTCGAAATACTCCGTTAGTTCGGAGTTTACTTTCTGGGGTGGTAGGTTGGTCAGTTGAAAAAAGCGACAATGCTTAGGTAGCCGTAGTGATGTACTAATTCAGTACCATTGAGGACGCTCCTGCATAATGTTAAGTAATATTCACATCATGCAGGTGGATTCTTCTGATGTGTAAACTTAAGTTTCTGATGTAAACAAGAAGGTGACTCGTTACCATAATTGACACCTTCCTATCATTAAAACAGGATCATGAAGCGGTTTCACGTTGGCGAAGAAGTATACCTCCATATGGCGGATCTTCTTTTGTGCTGCACATTAGAGAAGTGTGGAAGGAACTTGCATGATTTTCCTCATCCATGTAGTTTCCTGTTCCTGAGTCACATTCTACACTAAAAACGTGATGAAGAACGACAGTGTCAGTTTAGATACTCTATTCTACACTATTAAACAGAATCGAGTGCAGGCGAAAGTACTCTACTCTACACTAAACAGAATCTCTTGGTGGTGGTGAAGAACGTGAAGAACGTGTAGATCTGTTCCAGAATTAATCGAAATTGGAACAGATCTACAGAATTATGTAGTATTGTAGCTTTAAATTCAAGACAACATTCCTATTCCATAAGCAGCGAGTTCCGTTTTAAGTTGTGCTGAGGTGGCGGTTTTCTTCAGAGTTTGCACCTCTTGGTAGAAATCATAGGCCTTTTCCTCTGCTTGCCGCCAATCGCGTCTTACTCTCTCCACTAGCACCTCCAAATCCGATACTTCTTGCATCGTTGATTGCATCTGTAAGAATTTACTACAATAAAATACAATTGATCTCGCACAAAGTTCAGTGCAGACAGCCTTAGGTTGATGGTAATAATTGTAGTGTAGTTGTATTAGGTGATTGTAGTCGTTCATTTGTATCTGTAGTAGTACTAGATGTCCTGGTTGAGATCAAAACGGGATCGTTGATTGCACGATATCGTGATGGAAGATGGTATGGTGAGGTCAGTGTAAATACATCGGCACTCAGTACAATAGCGGGACCTGTGCATCAAGGAAATAGCGGTACCTGCACTCAGTACAATAGCGGTACCTGTACGTACCTAGGGGAGTGCAAATACAACATCCAATACTAGCGGCACCTGTGCAAATCCCAACTCCATTTCGTCGAAAGTGACTATTAGTCGTTCGCCTTCTTGGAGTACGTAATCCGTGTCCACCTTCTTCGTGACGAACATTTGTGGCTCCACAGGTCTTGGAAAAAAGCACATGTCGTCATGGAAGAATCGGGTTGCTTCGCCGATGTTTTTAAAGTGCTGGCACCCCAATCCGGTGGGACAACCCCACATGAGGGTTCCATCACGGGTTGGCATGTTGTTGCCTTTGATGGGTGGCTCTAATATGAGCCGGCCTTTTTTCCAGGCGAGGACGCCGAAAGAGGGCACTCAAGAAATATTTATACAAATTGAAATCCGAAAGATAGAGGGCAGTCAAGAAATATACAAATTTAATTCTTGTTGTCTCTACCTTGATGTCAGTCTACATGATTCAGAAGACTGGAGTCCTGTCATATGCACGACTGGAGCAGTATTTGATCCTCAACTTCTAGGTTAGGTTAGGTTGGGGCCTACCATCCGACGTGGCAGACTTTAGCGGCTGCTGAAGAGCCTAGCAAAGGTGCTAATCTGTAGATGAAAAACGCTACACTATCGGCACTCCTTCTTTGACTAGACCTGACGTTGCATTGCGGCCCAGGTTTTTTTTCTCTCGGCTTAGCTTGTAACAAATCAGTCACGACCGATGATCTTTTTCTAGGTGAAGCTCCCTGTGTGCGAACACTAGCACTATCCAACATCTTTCGGTGGAGCAGCAATGATGAAGTCGACTTTGGTTCTTAAGCTTCATCTTCAGAAGATCTACCATTGAAGTAGACTATCTTCTGGTAATATGAATAGACCAGATCTTTTTTCGGCATTCGGTGTACCAGTAGAATGTTGCACCTTTAATTTCTAATTATAGCTACGGGGAGGTCGCATGCCTTATAATACTATTGCTTCCCTGGTATAAGCAGGGTCTAATCCAGTGTATAAAAATCATGGATGAAGTTTCGTCATGCATTAGAATGATCCGGGAAATTTTCATGGTTAAAACATGGTTAATCATGACTTATCTTATCTCGTTTCTCGTTTCTCAGCATGCATTTACCGCTTCAGATTTGTCTTGTCTCAACAGATATTTTTGTGTGTGTTTTGGCGTCGCTCAAACACTTGTTCTTGGAACAAATCACTTCTGGTACTAAAAAAGTTCATCTTACCAAAGAAGTAAGAGAATCTTATTTAAAATTAAAAAATACGACCTAGAGACTTCATTAGTAATGCAGTTTTGGATCTCTCAATTCATTGTGTGCTGCCGGACGTGGATGAACAACTGAAAATAACGAGGAACTCAAGTTGTATAATTCGAATTTTATTTGTTCTCTCAAAAAAACCATTTTGATTTTCTGAAATGCAAATGCATAAGAATGAGATGAAATTGAAATTTGAAAGTCAAAGTTAATTACAAGTAGGAAGGGTTGTTGATCTTGACACTTCAACGACAGGCTTGGTCATTCTTGTTCCACTCAGAAGACCTACTATTTGTCAGGCATAGTGTCAATTACCAGTAGTCTAGGACTGAGCTACTTCTCAGTCATAGTGTCGTACCAGTAATCTAAGATCTCCTTGTGCGTGGCTTGACCCTTGTAAAACTCCACCACCTCTTTGAAGGTATATTTTTGTCCATCGCCTGGGTCGATGCGGACAGCTTCTAGCGAGGGTTCAGGACTTTTGTCGTCATCCTCATCGTTGTTGTTATCATCGTTGTTGTCTGCCTTGTTGCTAGCGGCTTTCTTTGTAGCACCCAGGGGAGACGGACTTGCCTGAAGAACAAAAGGGTTCTTGTTGGGTGAAGTTACTAGAAGATATTGACCTTAATAGCTCGTAGGAAACGATGATGGAGGTGTCTTAGCAGAGGAGAGGAGTTGCCTGAAGAAAGGCGTTGGTGGAGTTCCAGTAGAAGATGATAATCCCCAGTGAGAAGGGAGTGCATATTATGATCATGTAGGAGTGTATTCGGTCATAACTTATGCACTCCTACATGATCATACTTATGCACTCCTACATGATCATACTTATGCACTCCTACATGATCATACTTATGCACTACTCCCTTCTGACCACTAAGAACTCCGATTCCCCAATAAGAACTGCATACGTATCTTCCCCCCACATTATCATCTTAACGAAGAAGAAGTTGATGGAGTTCCAGGACTTCCAACGAAGAAGAAGTTCTGGAACTCCATCAACCCCTTCCGTACGAGGGCTTACGAATCACTGGGCGTTCTTCGGGAACGAAGCGACCGCTTGGCAAGTTCCAAGCAGGCGAAGAACCGAAGAAAGCATCAGCAACCCTAACTGAGCTGTCTAAAGTGTTTCGGCGAAACTCTTTTTTTAACGAAGAAGAAGTTGATGGAGTTCCAGGACTTCTAACGAAGAAGAAGTCCTGGAACTCCGTCAACCCCTTCCTTTTATTCTTGTTTTTCTAGAACACAACTCCCAGGTATTCACGTGCTTAGACAGTGTTCTTAGCGCTTAGGCTACTGCTTCCGCGTTGCGGATGTACCTTCTTACCGACGTCTAGTAGAAGAAGAAGTTCATCGAAGTTAAAAGAAAAGTAACATGGTTAAATAAAATTTAGTAGCAAGAAATCCAAATTATCTTCATCTCGTATTTATCATCTCGTAATCCAACTTATCTTCGAGGTATTATAGGTACTAGACTAGTAAAACAAAAGTAACATGGTTAAAACAAAAGTAACATGGTTAAAAGAAAAGTAACATGGTTAAAACAAAAGTAACATGGTTAAAACAAAAGTAACATGGTTAAAAGATACTAGACTAGTACCTCTTCTTCTGAGGATGTTGATGTTCCTGTCTTATTAGCAGAGCTGCTTCGTCGCGGTGGCGGAGATGGACGAAGAGATCCGTGATCCTCACCTTCCTCCTCAGAAAGTTCCTCGGAGCTTGAGCTAACGGCGTCGACACTTCTGAAGATACTCCGAGCTATGCCTGGGATTAGCGGAGGGGATAGGATGGGAGAGGAGGGGATAGGATGGGAGAGGAGGGGATAGGATGGGAGAGGAGGGGATAGGATGGGAGAGGAGGGGATAGCATGGGAGAGGAGGGGATAGGCCATGGTTGTTTTCACACGAATCGGGACACGGGGATAGGCCATGGTCGTTTTCACAGGGAATGATAGGAATGTTGATAGTCGCATGATGTTGCTCTATATTTACAGCTCTTCTTCTTTTTCAATCAAAGCAACCGACGAAAAATCTCTATGCTCTCCATAACTCAGCCTCGCGTTTCCGCAGTAAAATATGCGGCTTCGCTTTGCAGATGCGCCATGCTTGCACTATGTTCGTTATCTCCCTTTGCACAGAGAACTTGTCCTTGTGCTTGTGGTAGCCTCTTTGAATCCATCTTCGCAGGCCTCTCACCAGCGAAACCACTCTCATTAGAACTAAGAGCGACCCACCTTCAGCAGCATCTGGCTGGGCCTCCTTTTCGTCTCTTTGAAAAAAGGGGACGACCAAGATGCCTGTGAAGATGGATTTCGTGTAGGCTTAATCTGAGGAAGCGATCTACTGTCATCGGTGCACCCTGTCGAAGCAGATCGATAAAGGGTTCTGGAGCGCCTGTCTGGGGCGAGACGAGGACAGCATGTACTCTTGACGTCGGCTCAAATTCGGCTAGGGCTCGGTGGCGGCGGAGCCTGTGTGTTATCGATGATAGGATGAAGGTGGAAGCACGTAGGTTTATCAAAAGGCATGAGATATGCTTTATTTTATGGTTGAACTATGAAATCAACCGAAAATATTTAAAAAAAATTGTTTACACTTCTCGATTTATGCGTGTCATCCTTGCGCAGGGGCCATGCTAATCTTCTCTGTATCGTTCCAATTTTAACGGATGACTCCCGAAGGAGGTCCAAGCAAGTACTAAGTCTAAAAGGGGGTCGCCAGGAAAAGAGTGCGGAAATATCCATTACGGGGGTAGAGAGTACGAAAATGGAGGCCATTACAAGGGGAACAAGCTCTATTTCCAAGGGTATTCGCGTAGTGTAGGTCTATGTGGATGTGGTTATCAACGGAGGTAGAATAGTGGTCGAGATCACAGCTCAACCTTCGATTCTAAGCGTTTTTCGTCCACCAAAAGCAAGAGCAAGAGAGAAGTGAAGAAGCAGATCAAGAGGGAATAACTTCGCATGGGGCAGGAAAGTGGTATGAAGGGGACGAGGGGAAAGCAAGGCGGAGCGAACCGTGGAGAAAAAAAGGGCAAAAAGCGGACCAGCTATCCTACCACTGACCACAGCGCCCCCTCTTGCCTGCTCTGTCGCCAGCCTCAGCCGTTACGGGAGTCATTATCCGCCAGATCAGAGTCGCTTGCGCGAAACTGGCCTTGCGGACTGCGCTCTTGGTGAGGACCGATCCTTGCCTAAGGCGTGTCGCTCGAAGGTGGATAGACAGGAAAAGTGTCCCGAAATATCCATTACGGGGGTAGAAAGTACGAAAATGGAGGCCATTACAAGGGGAACAAGCTCTATTTCCAACAGTATTCGCGTAGTGTAGGTCTTTGTGGATGTGGTTATCAACGGAGGTAGAATAGTGGTCGAGATGACAGCTCCACCTTCGATTCGAAGCGTTTTTCGTCCACCAAAAGGAACGGCAAGAGAGAAGTGAGGAAGCAGGTCAAGAGGGGATAACCTTGCATGGGCCAGGAAAGTGGTATGAAGGGGACGAGGGGAAAGCAAGGCGGAGCGAACCGTGGAGAAAAAAAGGGCAAAAAGCGGACCAGCTATCCTACCACTGACCACAGCGCCCCCTCTTGCCTGCTCTGTCGCCAGCCTCAGCCGTTACGGGAGTCATTATCCGCCAGATCAGAATCGCTTGCGCGAAACTGGCCTTGCGGACTGCGCTCTTGGTGAGGACCGATCCCTGCCTAGATAAGGTCGATCAAAGGTAGATATATAGGAAAAGTGTCCCGAAATATCCATTACGGGGGTAGAAATAGCCAAAAATCAGCACAAAATGGGCTTTGGTACGATTTGAAGAGGAAGTATGGGCCTGCACTTTCTGTTTACAAGCACTTTTATTCACATACGATAAATATTCTCTAGTACCGCATCCTCCCAACCGCATCATCGTGATCTCCTTTTGCTCGTATCCAGCCCATAAATTCGACTGTGGCGACGCGCCAGGTACTCAGGCCTAAACCCGTATGATATGCAAAGGAGCGTCGTTTTCGCTTCGGACAAACACCTGGTAGCCACCCAGATCGAAATGTATCTCCGATGACTGGTGACCACCAAGGATGCCGATCGGTCAATAATTGCAACGAGAAGACCTCTGTAACGCCTATTCTAGTTGCAATGGCAGGAGCATGGATTCCTAGCTCGTCCTGGCTTCTTCCGATCCTTGCAGCTACGAGTTCTGCATCCTCTTCTGTGGGAAAGAGGAAATAGAGGGAGACTTCTTGCCTTAGAAGGGTGTAGGGAGGGAGAAAGAAAGAGAGAGAGGCATATGGGGCGTCAGAGGGGAAATACAAATAGACGAGAAAATGATCGCCAATTAGTGCAGGCAAAGGCGTTTAGAGGCTCGATCTTTTGTTCTTGCCATAACTTCAAACCTCTGCAGATTTCTACCACTCTTTGTTCGGTACGCAGCATACGAAAGGGCTCTTGCATGTTCTCACGAATTTCAGCGCCTATATCGCCTGTAATCGCAAGTGCTCCAGCCGCACCCTGTTGTCTACTCTTGGGACCGCCTTTTCCAGCACCCTTCTTTTTGTTCTTAGGACTCTTCTTGCTTGTAGGGGATTTCTTTTTCTTGTTCTGTTGGATTGATGGAGAAGAAGCACTGTCAGCGTCATCCTTCTTGCCATCTACGTCAGTACCAGCCTGATGGTCCGTGCTATCATCCGCAGCAGTGTCGCTTGTCTCAGCACCGCTGTCTTCGCGGACGATGACAGTTCCTACAGCTGCACTTGCGCCTTTGGTCCGACCAGCAGTGATCGAGTTAGAAGAAGATGGAGATGTAAATAGAAGACCATCTCTAATTTGTCAGAACATGATCTTGTACTTCCTTGTAGTTCTTTTTCCTATTCACAATACATGATCTTGTACTTCCTTGTCATTCTTTTTCCTATTCACTATTGTCAGAACATCTTGTACTATTCCTTAATAGTGGGAACCGTCTTGCGTATATCTCCGATTTTTTTTACGATCCACGACGTCACCCACTGTTGCAGCAACTTCTCATCAAACCTTTCAGCTACGTGGAAAACCACACGCAAAGTCCCGTAATACTCGGCAACCAGGCCTCCGTAGCGGAGTTTGGGAACTGTGAAAAGAGATGTTTAGCCTTAGGAAGTGCTACATAGGAGAAGGAGACCGCACTAAAAGAGTTCTACTACCTAGTACTACTACCTAGTACTAGTTGTAAAATGGTAACCCTAGATGAAGTGGTAGAGGTGAAGCCATAGACTGTGGTGGAGCAGACCTAACTAGAAAAAAGAAAGACCAGAGGAAGTAAGATAGAAAAGAGAAAAGGGTACTTATCAGCAAGGATAGAGGTGGAGTAATAGAATTATAAGGTACAAAACACAGAGGCGCGAGCCGAGGAGGTCAGGGATAGCTGAATGAGCACCTCTTGCACAACTATCTCCCACTACTTAATGTAGCCCGTGCCGACCGACAACAGAAATAGGCGAAAAAAAGAGGGTATAATAAAGTACGCGTTCCACCTGACGGCTGTCCTGCTGCTCCAAGCCATGAGACGTCTCCAAGGAGTTTTTCGGCCAGATATGCGGTTTGAATTTTCACCTGTGCCCGTCGAGTCCGTAAAACGTGACTCAGCTTCTCATTGTAGATTCGAAGCAATTCAGCCGTTTGCATTCTTTTGAGGTGTCGTTCTGGCGTCAAACGATGACTTTTATCACCTACTATGAAGGATGGCCCACCTGCTTTTTCGGTTTCGAGGCGACTGATGTATGCAGCATGATAATGGCGCTGGAGCCGTGCGTAGTCGTCATCCAGGAGACGGCGGTGTTAGAGGTAGTAGCGCAGTTGCACCATTAGTGCCTTGATGAAGTCCTGTTCCCCTCAAGGGACACTGTCTTTTCAGTTCTAAGGATGTTGCACTTGAGGATGCCATTTAGCCTTAATCATGGCTCTTCCGAGACTGTTGGAAAGAAAAAAGCGCCTGTGAACTTGCAGTAGCGCCCAAACGGCCCATTATCTTCTGCAATTGGAGTGCTGTAGTGTCCCTATCTCCCATGCTGCTTTGCCCACCTGCACTATCAATATCCGTTCTATAGAGGTGAGAGACGACGCGCCCAATCTCTCGTTCCTGCACACCGACCAGGCGCAGAACCTCTTTCTTGCTGAATGCACCCGCAGTGGTGTTCCGATCGTCTTGTATTTGGTCTAGTGGGATTAGAGGTGCTTAGGTATCTATGCATGACGTCTACATAATGCTTACTACTTTTTTGCTCCATAGCTACAGGTCTCAAATCTGTTCGTGGCAGTTCTTGGCGTTCGAGCTTGTTCAATTACTCAAGGATCTAAACTGACCACCGTAACAAATGATCCGCATCATCCAAGTGTTTGCCTTCGATATCCCGGTACTTACCATACGCAATCCGAAGCAAGTCCTTCATGCGCTCCACACCGATTCCAACGAGCTCGTCACTGGAGGCAGGGGGAGCAGGCGGAGGAAGCATCTTGGCTTCATCGTCATCGTCGACGTCCATGTTGCGGTGGGCGTCAGTTGTTTGGTCAAAAACAGCAACTTAGAAGTGGAAAACTATGTCTCAGATTCGCTACAAAAGAAAGGAGTGTACTATCAAATCAAGGAGGCGAAGTCGGTATCATTCTAAATGGAGACAACATAGTACTAGTACTAGACGACTTTGCTCTGTCCAACCTGTTCTTAAAAATCAGGAAACATTTCTTCAGCTCGTCGCATTTTCCGTTCATCCTGATCTGCTGACTCGACAAATTTTTTCATCAGAAAAACCTTCGTCCTCTCATTGAGTCTCTGAGCTCTTTCTGCCGCAGCCAACTCGTCGTCCATGTCGCCACCTCCTAAAAAATACTGAGAGGTACCGGATCGCGTTGTTGTTCTCCTTGATATCGCTCTAGTGGCCCTCGTTATCCGAGTAGATCGCTCTCCCTCTGTTTTTCGGGCTTTATTCGGAATCTGCAGCGTCATCACAGGTTGCTTCGCTTGTTCGCTCTTGAGGCTGAGAATGTATTCGCTGTAAACTTTGTCTTCGTACTCGAAATTCTCGGCATCAGCAGACGATATGCGTGCGATTTTGCTTCCTCTACGTGAATCGGGTGGAGAACCACTCGTCTGATCATCAGGCGTCTTAACTTCTAGTCCTCCGGGCCTTGCTGCTCCGCCATTTGTATTCTCGTTAGTGCCGGCATCATTAGCAGCACTAGTTTTATCTGTAGTTGCTCCTGATGTAGAAGTTGGAAAAAAAAAGATCTCTCCCTCTGGGGAACTCCGAGCTGGGGCAGCTGCTACCGCATCGATATTTTCCAACTTTTTACTTCCTAGAGGACGAGCCGGAGCAGCTTTTTCAGCAGCCTTTTCCTTCGCTTTCTTCTCCGCTGCAGCCTTCTCTGCAGCTCTGTCCTCAAGAACAGCAGCCATTTGTGCTTGCAATGCCGCATGCTCCGTAGAGTCTCCGTCTTCGACGTCCTCTTCGTCATCGTCGTTCTCAGCGGAAATTAGAAGATGATGGTCAAGATGTCTTTAAGATATGCTACATCTTCACATGGTTCCGGGTAAATAGGTTGAGTTAACAGGAGTCAAGATGTTGAGTTATACACCGACTTTTTCGAGAACAACAACAACTTCTCAGATTTGTGCCTTAAGTAGTACATCATTTTCGTCCCGCCGGTGAAAAACAGGTCCTCAACCTGCTTATGGTGCGGTCCTGGTTTACTGCGAATAGCGTTTATGAACTCCTCGTCATAATCGTCGTCTTCGCCAGGTCTCTTGCCCTTGCCTTTTCCCTTTCCACCCCGTAGCTTGTCACCCATACTCCTACCGGACAGGAGGCCGCCAGTGGACATTGCCGGTTTGGAAGTAGAAGTTGTTATGGCTGTAGTCTTCAATGGTCCATTTACTGTCTTGTTTTTGATGCGCCATGTTTCACCAAGCAGTCGATTTCTTCTTCGTCGTTCTTCAGCGTGAACTTCATCCTCCTCCTGTGCTACTCGTTTCGCAAATTCATCTACGAAAAACTCGTTATTGAGGCACCTTGCACCACCTCGAGGACTCTCTGGCTGGAAGAAATTGACACCCGAGCAAGAAGCTTCCACGTTTTCTTGGGCGACTATGTGCTGTGAATCAGCCAGCAACTCTGCACGTATGGCGCTCACAGTGTATTTCGCGTCGAACTCGGCATTCAAGAATCCCCCAGTAGGGGTTCCAGGTCCACCACTGTCATGATCTACTTGACCTCCTCCTTCAGCTTTCTCTGCTAGAAGTAATTCCTTCAGTTGCCGACGACATTCACGTCCGCGAAAGCAGCTGTCTAGAAGTGTTGCGTCCTCTTCGATGCCAAGGTAGATGTAGAGCTCTCCTGTTAGAAGGGGGACTATTTTAAGTACTTAGAACAAGCTGTCTCTGCGGCGTGGCTTACCTCACTGGCATTAGAAAGATACTTATACTAGAAAAATCCGCATTGAGGTAGAACAAGGAGCTGTATTTGCAGGAGGGGTTCTGTTCCTGTTGGGATAAGACTATGCTGGCAAAGTTCAAACCCATAACCTCTTATCGTGGTTCAGCACTGGGAAGTTCAGAGCTGTAACCCATCGCAGATAATGGTCATACTCAGCTGTTGAAGCTCCGTGGCCCAAGGTGTGTCGGTAACACTTCAAAAGCGAGCCGAACTTCGCAACAAGCCGGAGACAAAATCTGTGGTGATAGATGGAGAAGAATTTTTGATAACTAACTTGTAGTTGAAACCTCATCTCTCGTGGAGTTGGAGTCTCAAGGTGTAGTACCAGAAAGACAAGCGAATAGAATGTTGACCTAAGAAGAACGTCAAATACTCAGTATGCTGCTTATGCAACTTCGGCGCTAGATCTGCGATAGTCAGCCTAGGTTTTCCAAACGCTACGAACGTTTTCCGAATGATCGTTTCTGGAAACTGCAGTCTCCGAGAACCAGCTTCAAAAATATCTGCTGTCATCTCTTGAAATGGCTCAATGCCGAAAAATCCTCGTATGCCGTGCAACACGCTACCATTCAACCTCTTATGCAGATGGTCTCGAAACAGGACGATCAAGCCACTTTCCGGTTGATGCCCTGCTCCGTAGACTTCCGGATCGGCGAGGAGTAAGCGGAGTTGGTACTGAATAAAATTATTCAAGTTGTGAGCAGCAGTTGAAGAATGGTCATTGACATTGACTTGATGCTGAGGACCCGTAGTACGCCTACTGGACATTGAGTTTGAGTTTGAGAGCTCTGCATTGAAGATGCTATCACCGCTACGTCCAAGTCCTTGCCCTGACATCTCGCGGTGATCGATTGGGCCGCTGTCTTCCATCGTGTCATCCTCTGAACTGAGTGGGCCACTGAGATCAGGCATAGTGTATCTCGCTCTACTGCTGGTACTAGGTCCCGCACCGCCAGACGAGGATAGTAGTTTGCTGTTCATCGTGGTGGATGGCTGTTTGTTCGCGACTTTAGCATTTGGTCCTGTTCCCCCACTGACAGTAGTTATTGTTGCAGCTGCTTTGGGTGAGGGGGAAACTCCAGGAGCTGGATTGGCGTACTGAAGTCCAGGCCCTTGCAGTATGTCTGGAAATGACGTGGGAACAGAGGATAGCAGCAATTCACGATCAGGCTGATACAGTGTCTGGGCTGTAACGTCTAAACTACCTGGACGACTAGTTGTACCCTGCTGTTGTTGATGGAGTCCTTTCACAGATCCTGTAGTGGATGTGAAAATGTCCGATGTTGTACTACCTAAAGGAGGAACTACTACACCACTCGATGTAGTCGTTCCGCCACCGACACCAGCTCCGATACTACTACCGCCCTGCTCACTAGCAAAAGGTTGTTGACTCATGGCGGCTTTTTTTTGTTCTTTAGCTGTGAGCATGGCCCCTTCTGCCGAGACCTTCTGTCGCATATCCATCATCCCATGTGTCCAGAAGTCAGTTTTCGTCAGTCTTTTGGCCGTAGAATTGCTAGAAACTTCGGCTCGAGGAGAGTTTCGAGGTGAGGAACCGCCTCGTTGGAATAGGGGTTAGAAGTTGCGGCCGATATGGGACCTCCGATTCTAGCACAATTTGGTACACCTCAATGAATTGCTTATCAATCTGATGTGCAGACGATAAAAGCAATGAAGCCCAGAACGTTCTTACTGAGTTCTACCCAAAGAAAACCATAATGCAATTCCTCCATGATTTCCGCGTTCAGCATCTCCGCTCTGCGTTTCTGTTGCTCTAGGTACTCCGTAGAGTTCGCCATCCTGTAGAAATGTTCCTCTGGGTTGAGGTCGTGGCCATATGCACCACGTAGAAGGCCAGGTTTGTGGGAGTTAGAAACAACATTAATACAAGAATGACTACAGCGTTTACTCGTCTCGGAGGATTTCTTTATCTTCCTGCACCTATGGGAGTTTCTTGCCATAAAATTAGGTCCTTGCTGCGAGGCCAGATTTCCATTCTTGATCGGGACGCGCTGTGGCTCTTTGAACTTGAAAACGTTGGAAGTTCCAGCATTGGGAAGGTCACGGCCTGGACCAGTGTAAGGGGGCGAGGTCGTTGGGGAGCCCTTACTCCTTGGCGAAGATGCCCCTTTTGTTCTCGGGAAGCCAGGAAGTTTAGAAGGACAAGGAGAGGTTGGTGGACACATCAATATCGATATCCTTTTTAGGTCGGGTTCGTTGAGAGATTCGAATTTGTATCGTAAAAGAGATTGAGATATTTGGCATCAACTACGACGTCTGTCATTCAATTACCCGTAACTTTACCTCCGCTCGCACTTGTGCTATTCATCAGCGTGTTACCTCCAGTGCTGCTATTCGTGATCGTGGCACGAAAAGTGTCACCATCGACCATCCGGTTGACAGTAGCTGCGCCACCTCGACGAAGATTCGAAGAGCGCCGAGGGTTAGAGAAATCAAATACTAATTCTAGAGAAGGACGTTACCTTCAGTAAAGGCCGTGGTTTTCTGAAGCAAAAAATATAGAGAGAGAGAGAAGGAGCAATTGTGTAGCCTACTTAACACTCATAGCCCCACGCAGATGGCCTCGTTCGTCCATCGAGGCCTTCGAACCACCTTTCGTTGAGGCAGAAGGAGGCTCCCTTTCGTTGTAGTACACAAAGCCAGCACTCCTAGCTGAAGCATCTCCAGCACCATGTTGGTGCTTGGTAACACCAGAGTGACCAATGCTGTTTTTGCTAGTGGTGGTCCCTTTGCTGGGTGATGAATTCGTGCCATTACTGAGAGACCGCTGTCTGCGCTCTAGCGGAGTACTTCGGTGCATTGGGGCTGTAGAGCCGCTGGAGCCGCCGAACTGCTCCCGCGGTGCAGGAAAGAACTCCATGAGGATACGGATTGAGATCTATATTGGTGTCCTCATCTATTTTAGATGCAAAAGTCAATTGCAATGGCTTTTTCATGAACTGCAAGTGTCGTTTTTGGTGCTAAGAATGGGTTGTCGTATTGTCACGCTTTGGGTTATTTAGCATATTTCCAGCTCCATCTTTTGACTTTTCTTCTTCATTTTCAAGACCCTTCTAAACGCGGGAGGCCCTTGTCACTCCGACTCTTTCTTCTTGTTGCTCCGACTCTTTCTTCTTCTTGTCTCTAAATGAGGTGCTGTCCCGTCATAATCCATGTGCCTCTGGCGCTGCCTCATTGGAAAAACTGTTTGCAATATGGACGGAGGAAGGTGCTATTGCTCTTTCTCTTGCCATATGGAAAAGAAAAAATCATATCAAATCTTAAACGACGAAACACGTTAGTACACATCAATTTTCTAGGTAGTGCGTGCTCTGCAGTGGAAAAGAAAATTCGAAGAGAGGTTCAAGGTTAAAGGTCCGCGGCTCTACGGCCAGGCCGCGTTGTCCGGGACGAAACAGGCTCGAGAGAGATGGTCGTACTCTTACTACAACAAAACTTCACGAGTTCATCCATCCCGCTTGCTTATTGACGACCTGCAGTTGAATATGAAAGTTGCAAGTCCTATGTTGAAGCGTAGCTGCATCCACACTTGTTTTACAGGAAACTCTGCGCCAAATCGTCCATCGGATTATGCTTCCCCAAAACCGGACTGTTCGAGAGAGTGAGGCATTGCCCCTTACAGAATTCGCAACGTTCAGGCGCACTCCCTGGAGCACAGGCTTCGAAACAGGCTCCGTGAGTTAGAGATGATAAGAACATTGTTCTTGAAGAAAGGTAGAAATAGTGGAAATGAAATTATGATTCATTGAAGTCTGTGGTCACCGATGCATACTTGATTTGTTACATGTAAGTCGCAAGAATTGTCCATTTCACTCTTCAAAGCAAAAAAATCCAAGCCATACGTAGCACTGCTTCGGTATGGAGCAGTCTGGTCCGGCATACTCACGCCAACAGTTGCATTTTCCCGCAAAACAGAGGCCTTTGCCATTACAATCTTTTGGACAGACTTTCAAATTGCAGTCGGGCCCGGCCATTCCTAGGTCGCATTGCTTCGAGGCACAGTCGGGACCGTAGAAACCTGCGATGTAAGGATGAGAGGGGAGTCAAGCAGAAGTAATGAAAGTCAAAGTTCCTAAAAACAACATGAGCTATTTTTCTGCGGAGTGATCACGAATTTCAATACCAGTTTTGCAAACGCATCTTCCATCGAGGCACATTCCACGACCATTGCAGTCTCCAGGGCATTCCTTGGCTGAGAAAGCGGACTTTTCGCACTGACTGCCGCTAAAACCTTTGTTACAGATGCAGCCAGGTTAGGAGTTAGAAGAGGTGCTCTGAAAGCAAATCTGGTACTGGATGGCGTGTGTATGAATACAGCAAAATCTCTAGTGAGAGGACGTAAGTAGTCAAATGATCCTCCCTTAACTCCAGAATCCAGAAAGGTGCACAAACCACGACCATTGCAGTTATTGCAGGCAGGCTCTCGACACCCTATGCCCTGCCAGCCGTCCGCGCACTTACACTGTCCTTCCACACATTCGCCATTCTTCCCGCAGTCCACGGCGCAAACGTGGTCGCGGCAGGAGTTTGGGGAGGTACCTGTTATAGGACGGATATAGCGCAAGTACGTAACAGGGATACCGCTGATAATGTACACTTGGACACCACAATTGATGACAACCATGATCCATGTACTGGCATTAGCAATTGCCGAGAAAAACGTATCAAATCAGAACCGCCTTTCATCGCAAACCCTTCAAGGAAGTACAATTTTCATCCCAAACCCCTCCAAGCAATGGAATTTGAATTACCATCTTTCATCCCAAACCCCTCCAAGCAATGGCACTGGCCATGGATGCACATCCCTTGATCGTGGCAATCGTCAATCCCATCTTCTTCACTGAAACCCGCACAACGTTCGATTTCACAGTGTTCTCCATGAAAGCCCTCTTTGCATTCGCACGATTTGATACTTGCATTCCACGAACCATTGTCGCCACAGCTTTTGCCTTCTGGAGCAACAGCGATTTCGCCGGCGGCCTTGGCGGCGAGGTCTTAACTTAGAAGAGGTTAGTTTAGAAGAGGTTAACTTAGAAGAGGTTAATTTAGAAGAGGTTAGTTTAGAAGAGGTTAGTTTAGAAGAGGTTCAAAATGCTGGTATCAACAATTAGAGGATCTATATTTGTATGATCAACAATTAGAGTGCCTTTGTACTATATGCACTTTATCTGCTTCAGCGAAATCTTGTTTCAATGTTCTAGTCAGACAGTAATGCAGAAGAATTATGTCAGATCTTCCAGCCCTAATTCTTCAGCATTACTCCCGCCACCAGCTCCATCCGCCGCAGCCGGCTTCGAACATGGCTCAGCACCGCACATGCACTGGCCAGTCTGTCGGTCGCACGTGCCATTGGAAGGACAGGCTGGATCGCACTCTTTCGGAGGCGTCTCGCAAGAAATCCCGGAAAAACCTCCGTCACATCTGCAAGTCCCAAGCTTACAGGTGCCATGACCACCGCAACTCGCGTCGCCGGGACAAGTTGCTGCTATGCTGCAGTCTGCACCGAGGAAACCCTCGTCGCGGAAAATGAAGCTACAGAAGAGCAGTTTTATTCTAAGCAGCAGTTTTATGCTGTAATCCTACAACTAGCCACCTTGAAAAGACAGACCTCCCCATAAAGAGGCAACTTCCGTCTGCATTCTCGCTTCCGTGATCACTGCAGGCGATTCGAATCGAACAATCAGCACCCTTGAAAGCCGAAAAACAGAGGCAGGCACCAGCGACACAGTGTCCCCGACCAGTGCACTCGTTCGGACAATAGCTATCGCAGCTTGGTCCGCTGTGGGGGTTAGAAGTACAACCATGTATTTGTATTCAACGGATTCTGTTTCTACTGAGATGATAATTATTCAACTAATGCAGATAGAAACGACTCTGGAGAATGAAACACAGTGTAGAATAAATATAGGCAACAAAACCAACCAAGCCATAAATCCCGGAAGGCAGAAGCACGATCCATCTTTGCATTGACCGTTTCCACTGCAAGCTCCCGGACATTCTCTTTCTGCCAGCTGGTTTGCGGTTTGGACAACTTTTTTGATCTTCTTTTGCTCCTTGAGGTTAGAGGCATGGAAGAGAGCTTTGGCAAGAACCAGTTGACTGCGACATGATACAAGTTCACCTATAGGAAACCACTATGAATGTACTCTGGTTTCCCCGTCTACCACTTAAAGAAGTAGCCTACATCGCTCCCATAACAGCGGACGGAGGCACCAGAGGCCCGTTCACTTCCACTTCTAGATCTGCGTCGCGCAAAGTACTCAAGACGCTAAGCGTTTTCGTCTCGCATACAGCGCCCTTCCATCCGTCATCGCACTGGCACTTGCGATCTGGCAAGCACTTGCCGCGATTATTGCAATCCGCTGTGCATCTGTCGTACTCGCAGTTAGGTCCGATGTGCGCTGAGTCGCATAGGCAGATTCCATTGATAGCCGTGCCGAACCCACTACACGCGAGAAGGTTGGCTTTGCGTTCTTGCAGGAAGATGGGGCCGAAAAAACTGCGGATCGGAGATGGGATCCATGGTTGGTCGTGGTCAGCTGTGGCAGTGGAGGAAGCTGAAGCTGCGACGGTCTGGGTTGCAGTCGAAAACCAGACGCAGAGTGCTGTCGCCAGCACGTGGCTACGACGACGTCCCGGCGGTCTCATCTTTTTCTAATATCTCATCTTGACATCTACCAACATTTGAAGTAATTTTGTTGACACTTCATACTCTCAAAACCCCACATTCTCTTCTCAAGAGGGGACACCTCCACCGGGCAGTGCCTTGCCTAGCGTGCGTCATCAATTTCAATACGGCACTTATCTAAATTCTTTTCCTTGTCCGCAGCAAATTTTTACAGTTTTCTTCGACTCACTTTGCCTCTTTCTCTTCATCACCATTAGCTTGATGCTCACTCTAAGATCCCAGCTCAAAAGTAAGACCCAACGGTTGCTTTTCGATCACGGACTGGTGGGACAAGATTGAAGTCCCTTCCATTGACAGCGATGGCATGCGCATGAAACTTAAATCAGGGAAAATCGGTGATATGAAGCTGAAGGCGGGTCACGTCTATATTGTTGTGGAGGACTTGGGAGGTAACATTAGGTTTTTTTGGTCAAAATGGCGAGGGGAAAACACATTGGAGCAGTCTATTCTACTTGTGGGCGCTCAGTCTTTAGCTTCAGCACCCCCAGCTTCTGCTGCATCACCGTCTTTCTGTCCTCCTTTCTTTCCACCCTTATTTCCCAAATAGTCAGGTTTTTTTTTATTGATCTTCGCTGGTCCAGGCTTGAGATCTTTTGGTATGTCATCAAAGTTCTCGAATTCTCGTACACGCCATAAACGTTGAGCCCTTTCCTCAAATGTGCCACCAGCTTTTAACCCAACACCAGAAAGCCAGGACTTGGCCTGCTCTTCGGTGATGTCTTTCTTCAGTGCTTCGATAGACTCGAATTTTGACACCATAGTTAGCAAACCTGCATAGTCCATGGTCTCATCCTTCTTGCAGAAGAAAGAAGATAGACCTGCTGGTTTTTGCTCTGTAGTCGTGGTTGCTGCGTCATTTCCACTTGTACCTGCTTCCTTTTGTGCATCAGCATCTAGTGTCGCAAGCTTATCTGATAAAGAAGAGGTCTTATTTGCTTGCGCTGCTCCTGATGTAGGAGAACCCTCTACAACAGCTCCATTCTGAGGCGCACCACCACCCCCGCCGCTTGTTCCTCGCATGGCCTCTACTCTAACAGGCCTATTTTTGATATTAGCTCCAGATCTGGCTAAGGCTGGCGCCACTGCGCCAGGATGCGTGAACTCCACAATGGCATATCCTGCAGGCTTCCCGTTTGCTTGTCTAGCGAGTCTCACCGCACGAATTTCACCGACGCCAGCGAACAGTTCACCAAGGTTTGCCTCACTGGCGGTGAAAGCAAGATTCTTTACGATGACGGAGGAACCGCTATTGCTCGTTGAAGATCCACTGGCACTATGAAGATCTTTGGCTGAGGGCTTGAAAGCGCTGGGAGCGTTCGTTGAAGCTGTCGTCGCCTTGTGCTCTCCAAGTTCCTGGCTCTGATGAGCGTAGAGGTCTTCGCGAACCTGTGGTAGTTACATTTGGGGATAGATGAGTCGAGGGGTGTTCTTTAACTTGTATTTGGTAGAGAGTAAGTATTGGAAACATATGGACTTGGACCTGTTGGAGGATCTGAACTAAACAAAGCGAAGGTTGACGTTGAACACCTGTGCATATGCAAACTCAAAAAAATGTAAGAAAGTTTAGAGGTATCTATAGGGAATCCAACTCAGGAATCGTCTGGCTCTGTTTTTGTTCTTGTTTTCTTCTTCCAGATGACTTGGGAGATGAATTCCCTACACCCATAAAAAGTGATATAATGTATTTACGTAGATCTTCCTCCCGCCTTCCATGTCTAATTCTTGGCTTTCGTTCAACCCTAAGGCTATCGTCATTTCTGCCTGCGAAGCGAACACTATCTGACATGCACCTTTCGATTTTCCTGCTGGCGTCTTCAGCATGTTGATACTTTTGATGTCCCGTATCCCTCTCTGCTGCAAGAAAGTGCGAATGCGGCTTTCATCCACACTGTAGAGAATGTTGTGCATGTATACGGCGAACTTCTTCGGGGCTTGTGCCTCTTCACCTTGCTGTGCTTGTTGAGCATTGCCCTCACTTATTGACGATGTAGCAGGGTTTGACGACGCTGAAAGATTTGCCATAGTGCGCATGAGGTTGAGCTTTTGGCGTTTAGCAGCGGGTGGTGCGCCGGCTGAGGTTGGGTTTGCTTGTTCAGCAGTCGCGGCACTACCAGCATTCGGTAGTACAGCGTCTTTGTCCTGAGGTTTCTCTTCTCCTGCAGCTGGAGGCCGTTTACCAGCCGTGCCAAGTGCAAATGCCGACTTGCTACTCGGTGGCTCTAGTGTTCGACACGCCAATTGCAGGGCCAATGGCGGAAAGGAGATGGATTTCAGCAAGGTCTTGAGTTTCTCGATGAAAATTGGCTGTTGCTCGCCTGCCTGTCTCATGAGGACAGGTAGAATGCGACATAGCTGACCGCCATCTTCACACTTGTCCACCAGGCTTGAGAAGTGAGCTTGACTCCCAGGTGCCTCTGCAGGCGAGGCGCCAGGAGAAGTGGGTGTCTCTGGTTCGACGACCATCTTGTTTTTCACTTTTAGAAGTATCTATGCTCTCCTGTTGATGGTCGTGCTTGGATAAAAACAAATTAATATTTGAGCTGAACAAGAACAAGACCCACTAAGAATGATGCTCGACTAACAAGACTGCCCATCGACTGTAGCTCTATGTCGTCTGGGTAAACTAAATACTAACACAACGACAACGTATTAAATACGACTCTGATTTTCGATCTCGGGAACTCAAACTCAGCTGATCTGCCTTCCAAACATGACTCGGTTCAGTAAGTTCAGTGAAGTCAGATCATCCTCCACATCTGTTACACCGAAAGATCAGTGCTAGAGTTAAAGGAGACTGCTCCTGATCATGTGACGTGGATCTAGGAAGAGTGTGTAGTTGCATCCGTGTGGAAAGATCCTTTCTTCTTGCTGACCACTGCAACAGCACGAGCACAAACGTGTACACTGTACACCCAAGAACACAGTAAGAGAAATATTTATAATTCCAGACTGCCACCTACAGGAACGCGGTCAATCTTCAGCCGTATTGATTTTCATTCTTTCACTACATATTGACTGCAGCGCTTCTAGCGTATACTTATACTAGGTCTATTAAGATACGACACCTATCTCTATCGTCATTGTCATTCATCATCGCTGTCATCATCATGATCATCATCAGGATCTTCGGGACCGTCGGCATCATCGCCTGCATCGCTGTCCTCCTCTACAGGTGCTATCCTTGCGCGTAAATTTTTTTTACTACCAGGTTTTTTACCCCTTCTTATACGAGCCACACTTTCGCTTATTCTTAGCTTGCGAGGTGGTAGGGAAAGCACACCCTGATTCTTGCCCCGGGGTAGCTTTGTGTCGATAACGTGTAGTACGCCAAAAGTAGCAAAGGCGGCCACTAAACTGATAGCAGCGAGCACCAGAGGCCATGTATCAAAGCTCTCGGTAGCTGCTCCTGCGCTCTGTATTTCCTCCTCAGCAGTCTCGTCGAGGACGGGTGCCTCATCCGTTGTAGACGCAGGATTAGAAAGATTTGATATGTGAAGTGGTGGTAGGGTGAATGTGCAAATACTTCAAGAGAACGAATCACTATTCAAATAGGAAATATACGTGCCTTAAACGAAGAATTTGAACTTGTCGCTCCATCATCTGACGTCGTCCCGCTATCTGCCGTTGACCCATCTCCACTATCATCTCCCGTGCCTGCAGACGTATTTCCGCCATCTCCTCCAGGTGCGACCGTGGTTGGAGAAGCTGCATCGGCATCGCATGCGCCACTAGTTACATTCAAATTATACCCGTCATTGCAGGAAGAACAGGCCACAGAGGTACCATTATTTTCGGCGCAGTTTGCGCCCACTACCGCAACCCCATTAGGACAGAGACAGGGAATGCTGGTGTTGTTACTGTTGTTGGTTCCGTTGGTCACATTATTTTTAGAACTACCATTGCTGTTGTTCCCAGAACTACCTGTGCCACTAGTACCTGTACCTGCTCCACTACCATCTGTATTACTTCCACTGTTGTAGTTACTAGAGTTGGAAGATGAGTGGTTCGCGGCAAAACTCGTACAAGGGTGGAGGGCGCTAAAGGAGAGAATAAGGGCGCCAATATAGAAGTTGGATGTCCGCCGAGGCAGCATGCTGCGCCCTAGTTGTTAAAGCTTTCATGTCCTGCACTAGAGATTGGCCATTAGACGTGCTCCTGCTCCTCGAGATTTTCACGTGCCGTACTAGAGGACCTTTATTTTCAGGCGCGAACATCGAAGAACCACAAGGCACCATGATCTGCATGATTTTTACAGTTCATGCTTTGAGGCTACGCTTGTTTTTACTCGTTCCTCTCCAAGTTACGGAAATCCTAGGTCTTCAACAATGTGGCAGCGACGACGCATCGCTGAGAGCACCTACTTGTTTTCCTACAGTCAGAGCTAAAAATGCGGGGTTGTGGAAAGCATCCTTGAATGATCTTGAAAGTTTCTGGCTCAGCTCTCATGGATTTCACTCTGTCTTCTCCCCTTCATCTCTCAGTGCTTGTTAATTTTTCACTCTCATTATATCCACCAACTATTAATACGCAAAACGTTCCGGAGTTGCAAGTCCATCTAGAACGCCCGAACCCTTCTATCATTTTCGTTTTATCATTTCTAGCTATAGCTCATCTCTAACATGATTTTTTGCATCAGCATCTAGTGAAGGAGCATATCTTTCGTTTGCCCATTGCCTTGATAAGCGCAAAGCCAATTCCAAATTTGTTTCCTCAAAACTATCTCTACTAGGTTTATCTGCATTCTCCTTCTCCAGCCGTTCTAGTAACCCTGTCGGCAGGTCTTTCCACGTAAGCTTCAAAATTCTTGGTCGGTTTTCCACTTCCGATTGCCATACTATGAAGGGTGTTGTTCTGGTTTTTCTCTTCCATCTTTGTTGAACTTAAAGGACAAGCCTGTTTTGTCTGTGAGATAGAAAAAAGGAGCAGGTAGCAACAATCCGAAGAAGCAGCCCTCCTCTCAAGCGAATAATTAACCAAGATGAAAAAAAACTAGACATCCATTTCCTTGCCATAAAGACTTCTTCTAATTCCGCACTCCTCGCATTCCCAAGCCAAGTAGGTGACTCTCTAGGATCCTCGTATTTGGCTGCGCTAACAAGCGCATGAGGCCCTCCAAATCGCTCGATATGTCCTTCACCCGCCGCTTTATTCTCAGCGACAACAGTCAGCCAACGTCGTCGGAAAGATGTTAGAAGGTAGAGATAGGGAAACTATCGGCAGAGGAAATACTTGAGTGTTTGGTAGCTAACCCGACTGAGTGACAAGACGAATCAAAAACAACTCATGTGTGATTAGCTGTACTAGTAGTAAGCAAAATCAAATCTCTCTACAACTTCAGTTCATCTTCATACCTCTTCATCCGCATTTACTAATGCGAAAAAGATTTCGTCGAGCCACCAGTACTGAAAAGGTCCACTTTTCCTACGACCGTCAGTGTTTTGATCACGCCAGTAGAGACGCACCCACCGTCGCCACAGGGTTACCATGTATGGAAGTTGAAGTTCTTCGGTGTTCAGCCGATTGTCCTTCACGCCATCTTCAGTGTCTCTAGTACTGTCTCGGTCGTTGCTTCTAGTAGAATCAGTGCGATAGACTTCACTGTTGTCATTATGTTTTTGTAGTTCGTTGTCATTGTTTTCAGTAGAATCAGTGTCCTCTCTAGTACTGTCTCGGTCGTTTTTTTTCCTCACTTCAGCCGCAGAAAACCATGTAACTGGACCAGTACCGTGATAGCCAGCATGCATCCAAAATCGAGGACCCATGTCAATGTCTTCACTACTCCCAACACTAGCACTTGTTCTTGCTCTGCTGTGTTCCTGAAGGTTCAAAGCTCCAGGTACCCAGTCATCCAAGGATTGCATGCACAAGACACCCCCTGCCATGTAGACGTTCAGCCCTTCTCCGGCTGCGGCAAGGATTTCCATATGTAACAGGTCAAACCACGCAACAAGTTCCGCATTCGGATGTTTGTCACTGTAAGAAGCTTTGTAGTTGAGGAAACGATCCTTTACCGTGTTGTGGAGGAGATTCTTGTGGTCTGCTTGTTGTAGGATGGTTGCGGCGGTGGCGCAGGAGATGGATTTGAGGATGATGCTCCTCTCTGTGGGTCTACTCACTTCGTGTTCTTGCCTTGCCTCGGAAGATGCCTCTTCTTCCAGCGTGATTCGGCATCCTCCTGTTGCTTCATCTGTAAAGGATGACGTTGTGACCACCGCACCAATACCCATAGTCTGCTCACCTCCATCGGGACCTCGAATGTCATCATCTACTTCTACGTGTTCCGCTTTTCCTATCTCGTAAACACGCAGTAGTCCGTCTAAATCAATCACATCCCTTAGCGTGTCGAATGACAGACGATGAACTGTCCACGATGGGTTGTGCCACTCCCAGGAGTCGGCTGCTAATTTTACGAGTGGAGGCGCTGTGTTCCATCCCGTGTGCCAGTAGATGAAGATCCGCTTCTGCTCTTTGGTGTAGGAGGAGTTGACCAGCTTGGCTTAGAGGTAGGTTTTTGGTGCTTGCTTACCCCGCTTTTTATGCCTTTCTCCCTTAGGAGAGGCATAAAAAGCGGTAAGAAAAGCACCTTTAACCTACCCTTAATTGGCGTTGAAGAAGAGGAAGAAAATACTAATGAACCATGTTGCAGCTGTTCTATGCCGTATAGCAGGTCTAGTGGTCCTTTTCAAACACATCCCTTCTTGTACGAAAAAAATACGTCAATGCAGAATAGTGGTAGAAATTCTAAGAGCGTTTTCAAGCAAAAAAGTCTTCATCACGACAATGCTCTTGCGGATCAGGCAAGAATGGTGCACTCGCACGCTTTGCTTACTTTGGGTCACTCTGCTTATGCAAGGCTGTCCGCTTTGACCACATGTTTCGCCAAACAAGAATGTAGAAATTATATCACGATAAAATATGTTTCAAGTCCGTCGTGCACAACTTTTATGTGTCTTATCACGTCTGACGTCTCAGTAGATCTTAATGTCATGTGCCAAGAACAGTCTCTATGATAGTACTGTGTCTACTGTCAGATGACTGTATAATTATGTAGTATGTTGTAGTCAGTATCGGGAGATGTAATAGAATATGTTATTACGTCGAATTCCACTCGAAGATTACTGAGTTTATGAACTTCCTGTATTTCGAAACGGTGTGAATTTGGAATCAGACAGCAGTTGGACATGTTATAAAACAGCATTCACAAAGCACTTGAAAATGTTCAACTACTAGTCGAAGAGTCACTGCGAATTTATTTTTATACGTACTACTTGACCTATATTATAATACGTTAATACTCATTACTTGTGATGTAGTAGATTCAAGATTTGTAATTTCGTACCAGCTTCTGATAGCCGGTGCCGCCTTACATGAGGTGACCTTTAGGGTAGGGATGGACAAGAGTGGCAAATCCTCATTTTCTTGTGCAAATCATTGATGTAAGGCAAAGGAAATATAATAAGCGAAATCATTGATGTAAAAGCAAATGTAGTATGACTACTGATCATAAAATGCATAACTTTAACTTGCATAGCAAAAATAAAGTGACTTTTGACTCGATTAGACCAAATAAGAATGACTGGATACGGTGAATCTTAATACTACTGCTAGTTACTTGGGAGAACAACTATGTTGAACGATCCATTGGTTCATATGTTGAGGTAGTATTTTTTTGTAGTTGACAAAAAACAGATTCATTTCTTCTAGCGGTTAGCATGTTCGTGAAAAATGATGAATCCACTTGCCGGCTTCGCTCGAACTCGAAGAGAAGACCACAGCAAGCGATGTCTTCGTTGACCTCATCATCCTACTCTGAAAAATAATCGATAAATTGTCTCTATTCTTGAGTCAGAGGAATATCTTGTTATCTTCCAAAAAAGAAAATGTAAATATCCTCCACCTCGTACTATTACTCGATCTGCGCCAACAGGCAGACACCACGCAGTCTCCAGTGGCTGTTGTGCACGTCGACGGTTTTCAGGAGTAGTCGGAAGATCAGATACTTGTCGTTGCGTCGTGGATACTTGTAAACCGCACAGTCGTATGGCGCATGGTGGCCATACTCTCCCTTTTTCTGCTTCTGCTCTTTAGCCGTGACTGCCGTTACGTAGATGACGGGCATCTGAGAGGGAGAAAAATGTAGTTGGGGACGGTTGGAAAATCCTGGATTGACTTGACTTAAGGAGATGAATCTGTGACAAGAAAAAAAATCTGACTGCTGCTCCTGAGTAACAAATTTGTATTACCTGAATGAATAATTTCTTCGGTTCGGATTCGTCGATCTTTCCCTCTTGGCGGTTCCAACGTGCGCCTTCCATGAAGAGACCATGGATATTCTGCCCTTCATCCGGCGTGTCTTTGATTCGTTCGACGTCATGCATCAGAATTTCCGTATGAGTGATGACATCATCCAAAGCCCACTGATCCTTCTTGTGCTGACGAGTCACTTCCTGTCGGACACCGGTGAGGAAACCTTGGTTTGGATTGATTGCAACGGCATGCTATAATGTGGGCAAGTCGTTTTTGCAAAGAAAAAAGTAGTCGGATCATCTCGTCAGGTAAGTAAAAGGTAAGGAGTCTTATGACATTGCAGTTCTTGTAGACAATGTCTAGGTGTCAAAACAACAAATTAAAATTACCTTGAGCATTCGTAAATCCAGTGAGCCAATAGGCTTTCATGTGTTGACGTCCGTTCTCGAGCCAGGTGTTCAGCAGGATTTGACGATCCAATAACCCAGTGAACCAAGCGCCAATTGTCGGCATCAACCACGAAATTTCAGCTCCCGACGGGTCGTGCGTCCAGCGAGACGGCACTTTGGCGTCAAACACGCTGTTCAAATCCTGCAACAGTTCGGGAGTCATCACGACGGTTCCATCGATTGCCATGATCAGCGACTGCAAGTTCTGACGAACGATGCCGATGATGTTCTGCAGACGCTGCAGCTCTTGGAACAGGAAGATGTTCAGTGGTGCACCAAAACCCTTATCTGCGACGCCTGGTGGTCCTCGAAGCTTTGTAATCGAGGCACGAAAGATCTCCTCGACGAAGTCTGGAGGCATCTTGCTGAGGTAGTCCTGGCAGATATCTTTCACGATTTCGTGGAGGTTAGAAGAGGAAGAGGAAGGGTTTATTTGACTTAGTAAAGGGCAAGGGACCGACTGAACAAGTAAAAAGGTTGCCTTTATTACTCAACGTTGCTATTCATTCGAAAATCCTGATGGGCAGTGACATCATGCAGGAAGAAGTTTGACTGAGCGTGCTCGACTGAACTCGGTTTGGCTTCACTCCAGCGTCTGAGCCACTCATTCTAAGTTAATGGGCAGTGAAATTGAGCAACTTACGCTCTCTCACCCAACAACGAAAACCAACAAAACATTTTTGATTCCTCTTAACTGTCGACTTTCCGCTGCCACCGCCGCTGTCTTTTGGCTGCGTTTCCAGAATGGTAGACAACATCTCGCTAGCTTCCTTCAGTCGGTAGGTGAGATCCGCGTTTGTGTGTAGACCGAAGACAAGCGGAGAGTCAATTGAGGGCACCAGATCGATGAAATCTTTGTAGGTCTGAATCTCAAGGCCTTCAGGGACACGGTAGTCGAAATCGGAAGCGTAGTTGTTGAATTTCAGATTAGAAGAGGATGAATGCGAAAGCGACGGCTTTCCAATTCATGACGCCTTCTACATCAAGTCACAATATTCCTCGTATCATGGGAACTAACCACTCAAAAAGAACTCTCTGTGTGAGAACGAGCAATAGTTTCAATCGACGCCATAATGAATGTCGGTTTGAAGATTTCGTCATTGAACCACTTCAACGTGTACGTGGCGAACAGTTCACGGTCCAGATCATCCGTGATACGACCACCGTACTGCACTTCCGCAACCATGTACTGGATAGTGTTCCAGGACAAAGGCTGTCCTACCGTCACTGTTGACGACAAGTGCTTCTCCAAGAAGTTCAGGCACGCTTCTAGGTCCGAGTTGTTGTACTCGTAGGGAATGCACCAGCCAATCGCACCGAATTTGCGTCGTTCTTGCACTGTGGAGTGGAGGAAAGCCTGGACGAAGGTGATGATGCGCCATTTTTCGTGGTCGATCTTGTCCAGCATTTCCTGGCTCATGATCGTCGTGTAGGTACGATACAGACCCGCTTTCAAGCCTGCAGGCGGCTCCAACGTTACCTTGATCGCCATTTGCAGGAGACCAATCGGAAACCTTGGTGTGATCTCGCATGTGATCCACAAACGGAAATCTTCGCTGATCTCAGGTGTCTTACCCAAAATATCCTCTTGTTGTGACATGAAACCGATACCCAAATGGCAGTTCTGCAGGATGACCCAGGAGCCGTTGAGAAATCCGTTCTTCATTTTTTCCATGGCGACGATCTCCTGGCCTTCACCCATGCTGACTTTGTCTGTGGGAAAGCGTTTGCGCTTTTTGGCGAGGGTTAGAGAAATCCGATTTTTGATGTGCTGAACATGCAAATTATACTTAGATGATCATCGAGACTGACTCTTCCTCAGAATGAAACTTCCTAACTATCAGCTGTCACACATTGCGATTCAAACTACTTAGACTTTCAACATCACCATAACAACTCATCAATCGACGCAGTTGGATCGGAACCTGCGGTAAGGAGGTACAAAATCGGCTTCCTGGGACCCGATTCCTCAAAGATTTCGCTGACGGGATCGGTCACGGGATCCGTGAACTTCGCACCGAGTTGCGCATTGATAAACTGCGCACAGCCGACTCCTGTTCTGTCTTCGCGGACGCAGCGGACCAGAGTGAGACGGAGAAAGTGGGAATTAGAAACGTAAGCGGACCAGAGTGATACGTAAGAGGAAGTTCGTTGATCTTTTACATGAAAAAAACAAGTAGTCATTTACGTTAGAGAGTTGATGTGGGAGGGAGATTGAGTTAGGCGTAAAAGGAAGTTGATATCTTACATGAATATTAGTGGAAGTCATTTACGTCAGAGAAGAAAACAGCATTGGAAATCTTTATCACGCCTCATAAATCCCAATGTTCTCTCCATGACAATTCGCTCTTCGAAGTCTGGCACTGGACACGTCTCCGGTTCGTTCTCGTCGAACCAGCGCTTCCAAGCTGTCTCATTGCGCGAAATGAGGTCAACAATTTCCCTGAAGAACAACAATTGTTCTGTGCCAAAGGGATGACGACTGAGCTGCAAGATATTGAGCCAGATCTTATCGCTGAGCCATCGGAAGGGGTTCGGTCGTTCAGCCTTGACATCCAAAGCAGAGCCGGCCTTTAGGAACATCGAAACGTCGGCTGAATTCAAGACTCCAGCAATGACCAAAATCTTGAGGGTCACCATGAGTTTGAAGGTCATTTTATCGCGTTCGAACAGGCCGCGGTTCATGTATCGGTACACTTGGTAGGTCAGGTAATCAATGATCTTCTCCACGCGTTTCGAAGTAGGCGCACACTTCTCGCTACGTTGTACAGAGACATCGAATTGCTCCAAAAACTGCATCAAACTGCAGTTGTACATCCACCCTGTCGGTTGCGCCGTGATGGGGTTGCTGACCAGGGTCATGTCCGTCATCTGGAAGTACATGATGGAGCCACGAGTTGCAACGGGTCGAAATTGCTCACGCTTCTCGTTGATTTCGATCTCCTTCTCGGCTGCGTCAGGAGTTAGAGATGCTTCTCCGAGAAGGAGAGTAACCAAGCAAGTTGCAAAGAAGTGCAAGTGGTAATTTTAAGCATAAGGATATTAAGGTTATTCCGACAGGAGCAGCGAACTAAGGTCAAGGTCAAACAGATTCAGATTGTGGAACAACAACAATGAAGAATTGCAACAAGAAATCCATAATTTCAATTTCTGCGACACTTCTGTTGCCTTTGCCTTGGTATTAGCCAGCACCTCAATCAATTCCGTATCGTCCAGCAAGTTTCCGGTGGAGTTTGACAGACGCTCCAACAGTTGCGCATCCAATAGCTGCAACGCTTTCGTGTTGCTGGTGACTTCTTCCTTCAGGTTGCTGAGCGACTCTTCCAGAGATTTCTGTTCCATCGATAGCACACGTCCTAGCAGCTGTTGCTCGAGGCCCTTGAGAGTGACGGTGAAGTCGATGACTGTGCATTTCGCGGACAGTTCTGGCGAAAAATGCGGATTGGGCAAGCGCGACGTCATGAACAAGTAGAAGTTGGGACTGTAGTCCATGTTCTGATCCGAGATGTTGATGTAGAAGTTCTTGCCCTTCTTGATGATAGCGCGATCTAGCAGCGGGTCCAGCATGGGGTCGATTTCGTTCTCCACGTTTTCAATGATCAACACTAGCCCTTCTCCCATGGTGAACTCGATGAAGTCCTTTAGGCGGTTGTTCGACAGTGTTGTGATGGCCATGCCCTGACTGGCCGCAATGCGCTCAGCCTCTCGAGACTTGATCCATCGGTTCGCTTGTCCTTGAGGATCTACCATCAACGGGTAGCGGGAAGACCGGGTGACCATGATACCTGTTGAAAAGGAATGGGAGTTACGCGGGAGGATGCTGCGGGGTTTCGTTCTAGTTCTTTTCATGTTCAACAACGTAACGGCTCCTAAGTACGATTACGAAATGAAAAACATACTGCAGTCAATTAATCATACCACAGTTGTACCATTCTGAATCGACAAATCATCCGCCGGAAGCCCCTGCAAGGTCCATTCGCCAATCGTGCCCTGATCCACCAAGAATTTGACCAAATCGATCTGACTGCTGGCAGGGACACCGCGTTTATGCGTTTCCGCTAGGAAATACTCTACATTCAGCCTCTCTCGAAATTCTGCGTTAAACGGTCCACAGAAGGTAACGAAGGCACATGCGAGAGGGGATTAGAAAGGTTTAGTTTCTTTTTTTTCCAGAGGGCTTAGAAACAACTAGTAGAGCCCCTTTTCACAATTATGTTGCCACGTACAAACAGCTGATAGGTACTACCCACTAACTGATTATCACCTTGTTCTTCACAAACGACCATCTTCTCATAAGCAATATCGCCCACCAATCGCACACGACGAATCGCAAAGTTTTTGCTGTCCTCTGTCCAACGTGCGTTCTCGCCACTCAAACCGTTCAGCAGCTTGTTGGCTGCGTCCATCTTGCGTTTCATGGCCGTTGCATTCTGTTCTAAAACGTTCTTTTTGTCCATGGCCTCTTGCAGTTGGGCGTCGAGGACGGCGACCTCGCCCATCACTTTCGCCAGGGATTCTTCAGCCTCCGCGAGTTCCTTCATGGCCTTGTCAAGTTTGGCTTCTTGAATCTTGAGAAAATTCAACTTCGGTGTGACGATCTTCGCGGCTCCGTGGTACTGGACCATAGCACCCACAAATTTGCAGAGACCCTCAGCTGCACCGGAAGCCTTCTTGGCGATGGCGGGGTCCAGAATTCGATGTGCTGCCCATGGCGACCAGTTTTTCGCTTGGTTCTCGTTGAAACGCAAATACGGTTCTAGCAACTCGCAGGTCTCGTCGTTGATGTTGTTCTTCTCGTTGGCTGCGAAGTCGAGTAATGATGGCAGAAATCGCATATCGGACAACGTGAACTTCGTGAATTCCTGGAAGCTGTCCGCGATGAAGGTTCCATCCACCTTGGCGATGTTAAACTGCTTGGGCACTGGGTCGACGACTTTCTGGAGCATCAGAATCGCGAGGCCGTCAAAGGTCAGCTTGATCACGTCGGTCGGGTTCTTGTTCGTCTTCAGTTCCGTAATATCCTTCGGCGTGATCGACTTGCACGCTGCTTCGGCTTCGTGCAAGAACGGCATTGCCTTCTTCAGTTCTTCTTCAGCACTAGCCTTTTCGACCGAAATCATGTCCGCTGATTCCTGACAAGCTGCTTTCTGCACCCCCACTTTAGAGCTGTCCGTAATTCATCTTTCAAGTGCATCCTTGAAAATAAGTATGGGGGAGTACTCCCTTAGGATACTCCTCCATATTACGTTTCAAGGATACGTCCAAAGATGTATTAGGTACAGCCTTAACCACTTCTTGCGCTTTCTTCTCCGCTTTGGCCTTCTCACGCTGGACAGTCGCCAACAACTTGTTGGTCTTCTCTTCCTCTACAGCAAGAACTTTCGAGGCTTCTTTCAGCTCCGCCTTCATCTCCTCCACCTGCTTGGCTGCTCCAGCCAGCTTCTCCAAACCAGTGTTGACAGAGCGTTCTTGCACATTGACGTCGTCGTATTTGACCTTGTACAGCTTCTTGTAGAACTCGATCAAGCACAAAAACGTCTTGGGGGTGACGTAGACATGCTTTCGCATGCGCTGGAAGTAGAGGGTGCAGACGTCGCCGACCATGGCCTGATACGAACCTAGCAGCGCATACAGGCCTTCCTTGTGCTCCTTCGTAGCATCGATGTCGAACTTGGACAAGAAGGAACTGCTCACCGCAACCAACGCCTCTGGCGGCCAGGGCAAGAACCAGTTAATTGCCACCGCAGAAAACACCGCCGGAAACTTCTGCGCGCGGATCGGAAACTTCTCGTTCATCGGCGAAAAGCAGAGGATAATGTGCAGGTTGTCGCGAAGTCTGTCCATGAAATAGCGGAACAAGTTCGGCAGGGACTCTTCTTGACCAGGACAGTCGCGAATGAAGTCGTTACGGCAGTCAGCTGCCATGCCATCACGCTCGTCCTTCTGGAATAAGCCGACGACTTCGCCGGTGGCGAAAAAGTTAGACAGGGATGAGCTAGAAGAGAGAGGAACAAGACGAGATTGAGAGAAAGGCCAAAAGAGTTTTCTCTAAATGGTAGATATTCATCATCTAGATTGGATATTATGTCTATGAAAAATTGTTGTCAAAACTGCTACTAAAAAAACGAACAGAGTTGAATTTCCAGACGGTACGGAGTTGTACGTTCAGCCATAAGAATCGAGTTCAAGTATTCCAAGAAGCCTTCGTTCTTCACTTCTGCGTCGGTGAACAGAAAAGCCACAGGTTCGTTCTTAGCGCCAGCGGCAATGTACAAGCCTCGTAAGTCTTCGAATAGCGCGTTGTCGTTGTAGGACTTCGTGATCGTGATCTGGAAGCTCTTCTGTCTCGAGATGTAACTCGCCAATCGCGTCAGACTCTGTTTTCCACTGCCGCCAACACCAACCAACATCGCACTGCCACGTGGACACTGGATGATGCGGTTGATGCGCATCATGTACTTCATGGCGTCGTCGAAGAGGACTAGATTCATTGCTTTTGCCGGAAACTGTTCGTTGAACTTCTTCAGGTATTCGTAGGCCTTGTTCCGCACAAAGTCCATGCTCTTGATGGGCTCGTAGACCTTGGGTGCTGGAAGTTCTTCTCCAGTCTCCGGATCTTCTGAACCTTCACGCTGGATTAGAGTATGCTTGCGAATTCACCAGAAGTGTTTCTTCATCTTGTGCCATTTTCGTTCCCTCTACTCAGTCATGGGCTGAAAAGCCTAGGATCGCACCGAGATTAACGCTCACACCCCAGGTGAGTGTGTGAGAGCAGACTGATGTTGAAAAAAACAATACCACAACCACGACTGGTCCATAACTGAAAATCAGCCCACCACTGAGGCGCCTCGAGCACCTTGTTGTACATGTCTTCACCGAAGTGGTCACGTAGATAGTCGCAGATCACCTTGTCCACGAAGTCCTTGTCCTGCTGTCGCGCTAGTTTATCCGCGAAAACGCGCGTCACTTCGTGTTTCCACAAAGAGCCGATACGGACTTCGTCGGAGCCGACGAGGGAGTTAGAGGATGAGGTAGGAATAGGACGAGGTGTTCTAGAGTGATCTCGTGATAAATTTAATGGTAAAAAGAGGTAGTTTGGTTCTTCCGGCTTGAAGAAATTGACGGATACTTTTTACTTCGATCAAGTTCATCGATGCAAAAAAAAAACTATGACTTGAGTCATGACGTGCTGCGCACGGTAAACAGACTGTACATACTACATGTGCCTTCAAATTCAAATTCAAATATCAAAGTCACAGTGAACATCAACTTGCGTCCTTAACGTTCGCCGGCGTTTCCAGAATGCCCTGAAAGACACGAGACAGCTCGCGCATGTTGAAGATGTAGTGGAACCTAGCTGGAGTCGGCAACAAGCTCTTGCCGACTTGCTTCCACACGTCGATCGTGATGGCAGTCAGTTTCTTCGAAATGTTGATGACTTTATCCCCGAATCCGTTCTTCGGGGTGAACCTGGCTCGCAGAATGCTACCGTAGATGTTGTCGACTGACACTACACTAGGCAAAACCATGTTGAAGAGGAAGAATTAAAGCTCAGCATTCAATGTGGTCATCATGACTCTGACTCTGAACGGAAGAAACCAGAAACCCCCTTCAAAGCATCATGACTCTGAACGGAAGAAACTGACCCCCTTCAAAGCTCTTTATCATGACTCTGAACGGTGAAGAGACTGACCCCCTTCAAAGCTCTTTCCTTTCTTTTCCCTTCGTTTCTTTCCCCTGTTGGTTCTCTCAAGAAGGGGTCGCCTCTTCCAATCTAAATGGTGACTCCAATCTAAATGGTGACCACTGAAAGTTGAGCCTTAAAAGAACTTACTCTTCAGACGGTTCGGGATGTCGTTGCGGCCGCCACCTGGATGACCCATAGCGCCGACAAAGGAAAGGGATTCCACGATTTTGAAGTCGCCACGTTTGTCCTTGTCGAGGAAGTAGAAGCCGCCAAATTCCATCAACTGTCTTGTCAATTCGTTTGTCACTTGATCTCCCCACTTGTTGACGATCGGCATCGACAAATCGTCCAAAAACAGGGTCATGGACTTCCCACCTGGCGGGCAGAAGGTCTTACCCGTTTTGCGCTCGACCTCAGCCTCAACGGTGCGTTGGAAGTTCAAAGGCGTAGTGGCGGAGGAGAAGTTGATACGTTTGGACAGCATCGTGTCAATCGAGAACCTGGAACAGTACATCAGAGCCGTGCTCGTTTTCGCAGTGCCAGCAGCGCCGACCATCAGCGTGCTCTTGTAGCTTGTCGGTGTGCGAGTCTTGTCGTACTTCGCAATCACGTCGATCAAATACTCGGCACGCGTGGAATCCAGCGTAGGAATCAACAGAGAGGAGAAAATCAATTTCTTTGGTGGCTTCCACTGCTCGGTCTGCCAGACGATCCAGTTCTTGGTCTTACTAGCCGGATCCGGCACGTAATCGAAGATGTTCTCATCGCCTTGGGTAGCGGGTAGGCGGGGATTAGAAACCGCTTTGGTGGTACCGTAAAAGGAGTAGAAGTTGTGGTCAATTTACAGGTTAAACGCACTGTGAAAAGTACGAGGACTACAGAACAAAAATGAATAACTACTACTCACAATGATGAAATGAAATAAGAATAACTACAAGACCAGAATTCGTATTTACGAAAAGGAACCCTCTTCGGGAAAAAGACCTTCATGTTCATTCCATCCATCCATCCATAAAGTCCGTGTGCTTGTGAAATTTAACGACTTCGATCATCTTCTTGTAGAACTTGTCTCGTTCTTCTGGTTCACACAAGCCTGCAAATCCCCAGCAGACGCAGAACAAAAGCATGCGGCGGTAAGCGTCAGGCGTCAGCACTTCGTTGCTCTGGCAGTGTGGCTGCAGCATGGCGGAAAGCAGGTTTAACACGTTGGAGGTGATCACACCATCATTCAATGGCATGACGGTTTGCGTGTTGCGAACTTGGTAGTCAAAGAGGTCGTTGACTGGTCCTGCGTTGGGTGGCGGCGTCGACAACCACTTGTCAAAGAGATCTTTGAGAATGGTGGCTTCTTCACCGCGGTTCTGGCCGATTTCGACACGCTTGGCGAGCCAGGAGTCCACGACCGGACGCCAACCCAGATCCGAGGCAGAGATGTAGATGATTCCTGCTCTAGAGACGGTGGCTGGACTAGCATTGCGCAAGTTCTCGACTTCGAAGACAATACGACAGTTGTCCGTCATGGGGATTCTGTCGTTGTTGGCCAGCGTGAGAATCTTGTTATCATCTAGCACTGTGTTCAGATTTTCGATCCAGATAGCATCGACTGGACCGTCGCACACGATCCAAGTCGTGTACTTCAAAGTTCTATTGTTGTACTTCTGCCAGATACTTGCGAAAACACCAGGTGTCCACTCTTCGCTGACCGGGTCCTTGATTCCGTACATCTGCGAGTCCGTGATCGCCTTCGGGTTCATCACCTGCACTCGATGCGCGTTGTTGTTCTCCGTGTGACAGGTTGTCAAGGTGGTCATGATCTCGGTCTTGCCGCACAGGGTCGGTCCCACCAGCATGAAGCCGTGACGGACCAAGGACGTCTCGTACAACTGCACGATCTTCAACATCCAAGGGCCAAAAAGGGTCAATTTCTTGCGTTTCACGATCTTCTGAGAGCCGCTCTCGACTTCGGGGTAGACCTTTTTCGGTGGTTCCTGCGTTTTCGGGAACAAATCCTTCAGCAGAGCCAGGAAGAGAGGCACGTCGTCGGCGACAAGCGGGATTAGAAGAAGGGATTCATTAGTTCATCAAAATGACGAAATTTAGATTGTATGATAATTATAGTGAAGTAGTTGTAAATCTTGAGTCGTCCTGCTTTAGAAGAAGTAGTAGATTATTTCTGATATAGAAGTAGTAGTATGATGAAACCTCTAATGAAGTAGTAAAACTTGATTCCTGCTATTCTTAACTTTGAAAGATTCATATCGCGCGCCGTTCGCATGAAGAGCATTTCTTCGTCGGCGTCGGCTGGCTCGGATCGCTTCACTGTTCCGCTTGTACGTAGCACCGAGAGGATATTCCGCAGTCCGAAGTCGTAGTGACGTTGTTTGGACAGCTGCTGTTCGCACAGAGCGTAGAGGATGCAGAACTTCTTTCCTAGGATGTCCATCATTGAGTATCCGACGGACGCCAGTTTGACCTTCATGATCGTCTCGCGATTCGGCATCATCATACTCACACTGCGGAAGAGAACTTTCAAGTTCTCCGGTAATTCCTGGCGGCCTGCATAACCCGGGTTCATCGTGATGAAGTACCCGACAGCCGGGACGAGCTTGATTGGTTCGCGTTCCCCGGGGAAAAGGAAGGTCTTCACGTTCTGTCGCTTAGCCTGCGTGATCGATTCCACCTGCATTGCGACCACGGAAAGCACCTCCAATTCGATGCGGTTGAACTCGTCGAAGCAACCCCAGAGACCGGACATGCAGAGACCTAACATTTTGACAAAAGAGGTGACTTCCACCTCGTCACAATGGCACTACTACTCCTGAAAAAGCCTACAACAAGGATGTACGATGGAAGAATGGAAAAGGCTTAGGACAACTACTTCGTCATTCTTTACTGCTCTAAAACATGAAGCAAGACGAAAGTACCTTTGAAGATCTTAGCCATGTCGCGGAAGCGATGTTGGTCGGAGCAGTTGGTGACCACGACGAAGACACCCAGAGTACGACCCATATCTTTCACTGTCTCCGTCTTGCCTGTTCCTGCCGGACCCGCTGGCGCGCCGCCCAAGAACATGCCCAATGCCTGCGACAGAGTGACGTAGCATCGATCCGTTAGTGCCGTGATACACAATCGTTCCTTGCATCCAAGGTACTCGTAGGAATAGGTGAAATCGACGTCGGCAATCGAAATTCGCACATGCTCCATGTCGCTCTTCCAGTACAGACGCGTCTGCTTCAGCCACTCGAAGTCGTTCTCGTCCTTCACCTTCTGCTCTTTCACCTTTTTCCACACCTCCTGATACAAGTCCTTCTGATGTACGTGCACAGTCACCAACGTTTCGAACTTGGTTCGGTTCATCGAGGATCCTAAGTCCGTCAGACAGATTGCTACTAGATCTTGCATCATCTGACAAAACTTCTTGTTGGTTGTTGCCATGATGGTTTTATCGCGCTCCTTGCTCATCTTGGTCAAGGCATCCTGGAAGTCCGCAGTCCAGATGACTTGAATACCGAGCAACGCAACCTGCGCAATGTAACGATCGGAGAAATCCTTGAGGCTCAAACCTTGTAGGATGTTGCCGCAATCCACGCACGCGATCTTGCATTTGGGTTAGAGGGATGAGATTGCAAATTCGTACTAGGATTACTGGCGGTTCCCAAAAACGATAGCGTGGGAGAAATGATCATGCCTTTATTGTCTCCATAATCTTTTCTCACTGATCGTTGCATTTCCGCCTCCAGTGCATTGAGCCAGTCTTCGATGTTCCCCACGCACATGGTTGGCTGCACAAGACGCACAATTTCTTCGGCATTACCTGCTACGGACTTGATCTGCACGATCTTCTTCTTATCCTTCGGATCAAAGGTGACCTTGGAAATTGAATCAAACAACTTCTCGAAGTCGTCCTGGATCTGTTCTGGATCGGAACCCTGGGACAGGATCTTCAGGAGCGCCGGATCGGAGGTGAAGTAGAATCGCGGGAATTTGTTTCGCTTACCCTCCAAGTAGGACTCTAGCGATTTTTGGCAGGCTTCGAGGCCTTGGGACAAGACTGGCAGCATTAGACCTCTCCGTAATTCACCTTCTTAAAGACATGTTTCCCGTCGTGTTTCTCCCTCACAAAAGGCGCCAAAGATGCTGCTTGAGATGAATTACGGTAAACCTTAACAGCATCTGTTTGAGCATGTCGTTTTGGCAGCACTGCACAACATTCCTCATTTCAGCTGATTTGGCCATGATTTTCACCCAGTCCTTGTCGATCTGCTGGAACTTCTTCGCTTCCATAGGCATCTGCTTCATGATATCTCCCGCTGGGGATTAGAAGATGTTGCTTTCTCAAAGGAAAGAGCGCGAAGACACAGAAGATGTGCTCAGGTAAATAGCAGCTTTCTGTGAGTAGTACAAGAATGTGGCAGTTCTCTGCGGATGAAGACGAAAAGGAATGTTAAAGCCTTAAAGAAAAACGCTTTCCAAACTGGTCCACAATTGCTGCACTTTGAACCATTTTTCGATTGTATCCGCAGTGTCGGACAAAGTGGTCGTAATTGTGCCTAATTCCTCCTTGAAAGGCATGCTGTGCCTTTGGGCGTTCATCGTATTCAATCCCATAATAGTCTCCTCCAACATCTCCTGAATCTCCACAACTTTACCGCCAGCAAGGCAGCAAGGATAGTCGCGGGTTTTCCAGGTGGCGAACTCGAAGGTGTACTCTGCCCATTGCTCACCGATCTCGGCAAGTTTTCTCTCGATTACCTAGTATGGTGAGTTTTTGTGTTGGTAATGAGAGTCAGGACCCTTGTTCTTGTTCTGATTACTGGTCTTCATCAAATCAGAAGGGTAGTCATGCAAGATCTCTCGATTAAGTACCTAGTATGGTGAATTGCAGCTGGTGGCAAGAAGAGAGGGAAATCTTGTTTCAAATCCGACATTAGCGATCGATCAACAGATTCATCTAGAATCAACAAATACCAACTGCTTATCCGCGCTCTCGCAAATATCGTTCACCTCGTCAGCAAACTCGTTGAGGTTCGCGTCAATCAAACTCTGTAGCTTGAAGGTTTCGCTTTCTACTGGTAGGTCTTTGCCTGGTATTAGAGCAGATATGCACCACAACCTGGCATAATTACAAAAAACTTGAAAATTTCGTACCACGAGTACTCGAAATCACAGTGAGTCTAGACGCTAGACCTACAGTCTTTCTTCTAAGGCAGCTAAGTAAATATCTAAATCTAAATCTACATCTACTACGCTAAGTAAATATGCCTTGAAGCAGAGAGAACAGTGCTGGATGAGGACATGAACGTCTAAACATAAGCTAAGTAAATATCTAAATCTAAATCTACATCTACTACGCTAAGTAAATATGCCTTGAAGCAGAGAGAACAGTGCTGGATGAGGACATGAACGTCTAAACATAAGCTAAGTAAATATCTAAATCTAAATCTACAACTACGCTAAATAAAAATATCTATTCTACTACACCTCAGGTCCATAACGTCAAGTCCATCACTTGCTTCCAGTGTCGCGGCATGATTGACTTCTTCGACAGTTCCAAAAACAGAGGCAGCACTTCGGAGAAATCGTCAATTTGCTTCTTCAGTTCATGGTACGCTTCCCACTCACGCAACACTTTTGGCAGACGTTAGACGTTTAACGGGGTTGGAACAATGAGTAGTGAGGAGAAGCTTAAATCATTTCATCTTGCCCACCTAGCCGAATATGGTGAGGATGTCGAAAAGATGAGTCCTCAAGCTCTGAAAATATCAAAGTTCTGATATGGCATCCTCGTGCAAACACTACGCTAGCTCTGAAAATATCAAAGTTCTGATATGCCATCCTCGTGCAAACACTACGCTAGCTCTGAAAATATCAAAGTTCTGATATGCCATCCTCGTGCAAACACTACGAGAAAGAACTACAATTATTTCGTGGCCATAAATCCTCTTGCAACGTGCAGCGAACTTTTCGGTAGCACTGCTCATCTTCTCCATGTTGTCTGGTACCTCACTCCACAACAACTCCTTCCACTCCCTAATCGTATCCAGAACCACCACGTACAAGTCGTACAACTGCGACAGATAAGAAAGCTCGGATTCCGTCTTGTCGAGCTGCGGATATTGTTGATGGGGTAAGCCGAAGAGGTCTTCTCCCAGTCTGTAGATTTGCCTTTTTCTCTGTCGAATGTCGAACTCCTCCTGGAACCGTCTTAGGCGTTCTACTGCCTGAGCTGGCGGGATGCCGCGAACCATGGGACCGTTGCGCTCATAGTGGTCTCGGAACACTCGGACGTCTTTCTTGAAAGCGTTCACAGTGGTGATCAGCATGCGCTTATGTTCCGCTTGTTGCTTGGACAGGAACTCCTGGCGGGCCTCGCTCTCCTGCAAAAGTTTGTCCCAGTTGTTTCGGAGCATCGATCGCTGGTCCTGTTCATCCTTGTCTATGGGGGTTAGAGAAGATGCTTTGGTAGAAGTGGATGGTCAACAAACTTTTGAATGTAAACCTGCTCGATCTTGAAACTAGATATTCGATAAACTGAAATAAGCGAGTAACTACTTAAAATAAGCGAGATACTGAACAAGGAAGAGTAGCCCTGTCAAAGCTACCTCCCTTATTTCAGTCAGTAACTCGGTTATTTTCAGTTTTCGAGTAGCAGCAACAACAAGAATTGTTCTAGTATTAACTATTAAATAGGATCATGAGAGCGACTCCTGCAGGAACCAATTAAAGCACTGGTGAATGCTGCTACTAAGGTCAATCATAACATTGCAGGCACGTAGAGGTCCAAGATCTGGTACATGTGGGTGATCGGTCCGAATTCCAGCTCAATCTCGCTCTGCTTCGCACGCACTTCGGTGAGTATGAAAGGGGAGTCCCATGTTTTCTTGATCCTTCAGTTAAGTCAAAGAAGAAAGTGCATTTAGGAAAATGCGTCCACCGCAATAGTACATCTACCCTCAAGATGAACCGTGACTGCTTTGTTACCAACGATTGGTAGTTTCTAGTTCATTTCCAATTCCATTAAATAGAAAATTGCTGTGAGAAGACCATAATGAGTGTCTGCATTACGTATCCCAATGCATCGATATCACCCTCCGCTACCTCACGGTGGAGCCGCTTGGTGGTGTGCTTGACCATTTCTCCGACAGTGTCGAGTTTGATTCTGGCCATCAAGTGCAGCTTCTTCGCAAAAGTCGTTTTCCAGCGCTCAGCCAATTGCTGCAAGTTTCCGGTAAGGTTCTCGGTTTTGAGGCAGGAATTAGAGGAGGGAGGGTCATTGCAAAATCTGAATATCCGTAGTAGTTTAAGTATTAACAGTATGGATTAAACCACAACTAGTATCAAACCACAAGACTAGTATTAAGTATCCGTAGTAGAAGTTTGCTGCTGAAGCACCAGGTCGCAGGTTGGGACCCAAATAATGGCTTAGCATGGACTCACTCTGAAGTAAAAATAATGTCTAACATTTGTTCTGTTTAGAATTTGTGACACAACCACAACATCAGGCCATAAACAACGCCGATATCTGCGTTGATTTCTCCACACTGCCTGCGTCTTGCGCGTGGCGCAAAAATTCCTTCAATTTGGCCTCGAACTCAGGGAGACTCGGTTCGTTTGCGCGGAACTTCTCGTACTCCTCATCTGCGTTGCGGCTCCACAAGAGTGCGAAACGCTCGAACTTTTTCACAAACTTTTCGCACTCCTTCTTGGCACTCTGGATCGATCCTGTCAACAGCAAAATGACCTTCAGGATCTCCTTGTCCTGCGCGATGCGGTCGTAGTAGGTGCCCTGGGAGCCCGAGCCGACTACGGGAGGGAGGTTGGGATTGATAACCAATTGCACGTTCTTGGGGATGGTGACTGTATCCCACGCGTCGATCATCTTCGAGCATTTTAGGACTGCCACTGCGCCAGCGTTTACCGCATTCTGGATCTCTTGAACGCTTGGCTTCAGACGCACACCAATACCATCTAGTTGCAAATCCACGTCGAAGAATGGCGGTAGCAATGTGCTCTCCTCATTGCTCTTGTCCTTTTCGTCGTCGTCATCACCACGACCCTTGCCTGCTGGCGATGCACCACCTCCGCCAGCTCCGCCGCCGCCACCTGCGCCTCCGCCTGCGCCTCCGCCGACTGTCAAAGACATCAGCTTGTTCGCTACGCTACCAGCGGCCACGGCAGATCCGTCTGGCGCTTCTCGTGCCACTGCTAGTCTGGATTTGATGCCTGCGAGTGATCTGCGAGTGCCGTTCAAGATGGCTTGGTACATAGACCAATTGTAGTGGGCCTTTACTTTGATGATCTCGGACTCAGAAACGCCCCTCACGTGAGGGTCGATCGGAAATCCAACGATTTGACCCAAGAGGTCGTCCACTGCAGCCTCGATCTCGATGCTTTTCGCTGTGATTAGAAAAGCTGTTGAAAATGTTATGGTACATAGCTAGACCTGGATGATAATCTCAATCTCATAGAAACCGAAACATCTAATCGATCAATCTTGGTCTAGTACTAGTCGATAAAGTAGTACAACTACTAGAGGACTTAATAATTCACGATTCCTCTATAATTATGAGTTACTCATTTACAACCTGCTTCTTGTGTAGTAGTAGATTGTTCTACTCATCTATCGTTCACTCGAACTAAATAGGACCGATCCATATCTTCTTCCCAACAACTTCTTTGTTTCAGAGCAAATCAAGTACAATATGAACTTCACTTCTTCATCATAACATCAGGTAGTTCGTCATGTCACGGACATGCCTTTCTTGCTGCTCGATAAAGTCCTCTAAGTGCACCGTTTCTCCTTCTTCCGGCATGGAGATGAGCATCACACGTGCAACAGTCTTCAGATTCGCATCCACTCGGTTCTCCATCACATCGTTTGCGGTCAAAACCAATTGCTCCAGCTTCTTCAACTCCCGCCACACGTTGTCCAAATAGCCTTCGATGTTCATACTGGTCCACGTGAGTGTGACCATACCCGGTCGCAATTGGAACTCGAGGTTGTCCAGGTGCGGTTTGAGCAAGTTCGACGCGATAGGTCGGACCATCTGCACGATGCGCCGATACTCCCTCAAGATGAAGGAGAGCTCGTTGTAGTAGCCCTTGAACTTGGACTCCTGCAGCAGGACCATCTTGGCGGACTCCGGGATTTCGATTCCCATGCGGTCCAAGCACTTAGTTTCGCGGATCAATTGTAGGATTTCCCAGTCGAAGTTGACATGCAACTTGCCGTCATCGGGGTGACGCACGATCAACGTTGCTTGCAGTCCGCTCTTCGCCACGTCCACTGAGTGCACCCATGCTTGATACCACAGAGTCTCAAACTCGACAAGCGTTTTGGCCGAAGTTTAGAATCTTCAGGTGGTGGGTTGCTCAATCATAGATACAGTTAGGGATGAGAGAAACCATGGCAACATTGAAGATGCATCTTGTCAAATTTCTTATGAATACCAAACTGAATGCGAATGGTCATGATCAATAAAATATCGTCTAATTATTTTTATCAACAAATAGCATGTCAATGTCCTCTGCACCATAAATTTTGTTGTACATGCGAATGATTTTCTTCGCATCTTTTCCCGCCAAGACCGACGGATTCGTCTGGAACTTCTTCATGGGTTCTTCGATACGCTTTAGCAGATGGCGTGACCACGTGATGTTTCCCGCCACTGGCGGCAAGTTCCGCACTAACGGCGGCGCCGCTTTGTGCTTCTCGTACGTATCTTGCACCTGCGTCAATTCTAATCCGTAGTTGTGGAAAATGACCGTGAATTTCGAGTCCAAATCCGCCTTCAACGTGTCGCGTTGCAAAATGCTCTGGAACTTCTTCAAGAGGTTGAGACTTGTGGTGATAGAAGAAATGCTCTCGAAGGATGCGTTGATGAATTGCTGCAGAGCTGCTTCCAAATCTGCAATGCGGACGTTGAATTCGACGTAATCGCGGTCAAACTTGTTGTTGTGGAAGTCCAAAAGGTTGTGGTTTTTGTTCTTGAATTCGTCCATGATCATGCGGAAATTCTCCACTAGCATCTCCATACCATCGAATCTGTAGGAACCAAGGGACTGGAATTGATAGATCGTCGAGAACATGTCGATCAGTTTCACCACACGCCGGCAGAAGAGCTGCAGTCGACCGAAGATCAGGGTCTCGGAAAAGTCGAATTGCTTGCCGCAAATTAGAAGAGTAGAAGTGAATAGTCAACAAAAATCCATGATAATAAAATTCAAATGGTAGTTTCCACCAGCAATATCTTCAAACAATTATAATTAGAGGTTGCCGATGAATTGCATTCTTCAGAACATCCTTGACCTATCTTCTTCTTGAAAAGGAGCCAAGGATGGTAGTGAGGGATGTAATTCAGAAAACCTCAATATAACGCAATTTGTTAGAAGATTCTTCGTATGATCAACGAACTAGAAGGTAACAACACATTACGATCACACTTTCAGTTTCTTAACTTCGGCAACGTCGCCAGTTTGTCCTTCACCCTACGAAACTCCTCCATGTAGGAAATTTCCATTTTCAGGCAGGTTTCCAAGTTCCGGATCAGCTGAATCGGGTCTTGTTCCCACAATACTTCCGGTCCAACAGGCGTGCCTTCATCCGCGTTTGAGACACCAAGAATGCAGTTTTTGCAGTTGATGATCGTTTGTTAGAGGGGTAGTAGTAGGACAATTTGCATATTCCTAGAGAAAGTGGTCATCTGAGAGAGTGAGTGCTTTCTTCTTCTTGTTTTCTTCTCTCCCAGAGCGAGGTGAACTCAGAGCGTGCCTGCTTCCTCTTGATTTAATATTTTCTCTCTCTTTCTCTCTCAGATGAGATATTTGGAGATGATGCAATCCGTTCTTCACCCCTAAATTTGGTTAGTTACCTTGGTGAGCAAGTTGGTCATGCGTTCCGTGGTGTTGTAGTAACGCGCAATAGTGTGGATCATCTTGCACGCGTTCATCAAAGCCGGAAGAGAATCGATGATGCTGCTGGGGGTGCCTGGAAGATGGGGGGGTATGAATGTTGGAGGAAAGTTCGGTGCAAGGTGGTTGAGAATCAGTACCAAGGAACAGCATTACAAAACGTAGCTAGAAGTTCGTGAGATGATTAGGAATGAGTCTCAGGTGATGCATCATCAATGTAACATAATTCTCAATTTATACCTGTGTACAATGGCTCGATGAATATGAAATACCTGTGTACAACGGCTCGATAAATTTTTCCAGCGTGGTCAGGTATTTGACGTTGTCTTTTGCTTCATTGAACGCTTCGGTGATTTGGATATCGATCGCCTTCCATCTTCTCAACGTGTTAAAAACCGGTTGCCTAGCTTTGCTCTCCGCATTCATCCGTGTGACAGCATGCAAAACGCCAAATACGTTCTTGCACTCCCTAGATTTCAAATGTTCGGTGATAGAGGTGATTTTCTGCATGCGGAACCGCCAATATTCGACCTCGCTGCGAGGACCGAGACCGTCGCCTGCATGGTCGACTTTTTGACCGCTGCCGAGGAGAGCACCATCAGTAGCTTCAAGGGTTTCTTCCAGGTACCTTGTTTGAAAGGAAATGGAGGGAAACAGTTGTTTACAACTAATCAACCAAATAGTTGCTTGGTTATCTACGAACTGATGGACCTTAAGGTTATCATCAACGTAAACTTTACAACAGAAGTGACAAGATACCTCTCGATCTGACGGCACCATTCCTCTAACAGCTGCTCAAAGTGTGTCACTATTTCCGGATGCTCCTTCACGATGTCGTGGTAGGTGGTTGTTAGAGTCCCCCAGCTAAGTAGATGCATGTAATGTTGAAAAAAACAAAAATCAAAAAGTCTGACTATGCACATCGATATGATAGATCGCCAACAACGTGAACAACGTCATCGTTGACATCAACATATTTAGTGACTTTTCTTTATCTTGCCATAACGTCACTCTCGGATCGATCTGGAACTCGGAATCCAATTTTTTCAATTCGATACCGCCAGACAGTGACTTGATTGCATCAGTTAGTTCTGCAGTGATTAGAGGCGCCGGGATTGCATTTGCATCTCACAGATCATCTGGATCCCATCTGGGTACCAGAGAGATCAGCTAGGTAGTCCCTTTTCCTTCTTATTTTCTTTGTCCAGGAAATGACTTTGGAGATGCATTTTCTAGACTCATAAAGTGAATTTGCCGAATCCAGTACAGAACTCCAAACGATGTTCTGCGTCACAGTTTCCGAACACTTGTTTTGACCCTGCTTCTGGCTGCTCCAGACATCGCTTCACTGCTGGCAAGAATATTGCGCGCAAAGACGTATCCAACGACTCCAAAGGCTGTTGGGCGATCTCACCGAAGAGTAAGTCGCCATCTGTTGAGACGTCTACCTTCACTGGTTTCTCTGCGGGTTGTGTACGCAAGAAGTAGCATCCACGAGACTTCAGACGCTCGGCTGATGGAAGGGGGATTTTGGGAGAGATGAGTGAGTGAGTGAGTGAGTGAGAAGTCCTTGTTGACGAGATGACGAAAACAGTGTTCTTGTCAAAGAAAAGTGGATCAATGTGCAATAAGAATGTTGCGTCTAGACGATCATCATCATTATGTCTCAAAAGGTCGTTCTATACCTTCGGCAAGACAAAACAGTTCCTGGAGTGACCATTAGGTTGACTGAGGAAGCGTAAGCCTCTTAAGAGGATGCAAATCAGTCGCAAATCTCTTAGATGTAGTTTAGAATCTCTAAGAAACAAAAAGTACTCTCTCCATTGCTGAGCACGATTCTTGCTTCCCCAGGACCATCCACGTATTCCCCAGCGTCATTGAGGACGTCTGGCTTTTGGTAGTAGAGAGACTTAGAAGCTAGAGAACATTCTAAAGGGATATCAACGTCAAACGTGATATCGGTTACCAACTTGAAAGTGAAGTCAGCATAGTAAGAGTACCAAGTGCGTCCGTCATGTAGGAAAACAATTGCTGATGTAGAAGATGAATACTACGACTCGTGATCCTCTCTCTCTCGAGAGAGTTCGACAACATGTGATCTATTTCTATTACTATAACGTGTTTCATAACAAAAAGATGTTGTCTCTTGCTCTTTCCCTCGAGGAATTCCGTTAGCTTTTTCCAGTTTTGCGGATCTCTGAAGGCGTCTTCCACCTTGCGGATTGCTTCTTCCTTGTTCTTGACAGAAGTCAACACCGCACAAGCGGCATTCTCTGCCATCCACTTATGTCGATTGTGCAGCGACATGTCGATTGTACAGCTGCGCCGAGGGGCTTATGCTTATGGTGGCGGAAAAATGGGGGTTGCTCCTTTTGCCAGTTTTGACTTTTCTGGACGACGCCACGTTTTGACTTGTGAAGAAGAAGAAGTGTTCCACCAACAAGAACGAAAGGAGCGTGGATCCAGTCAACTTATGCAGGTGCGGCAAAGAGAGATCTCGCGGTCTCCCGAAGAAACGACGTCATAGTTGTAGCTCTGACTTGTTCTGTTACTTTGTGCATCTAATACCAAGAAGTTTGCTATCGAGTTCGGAGATGTTCATTCAAGCACCTAGAAGTACCTCTATTGTTCGATGACGGAGAAGGATGTTGAGCAGATTGTACATTGTTCAGGTGCTTATCAAATTAGAAAGATGGTAAGGATCATAGAGGAGCTGCACGATCAGAATCTGAGTCGTCTACTTCACACACGCATTGATTCTCTCGAAAAAAACTCTCTCTTTGGTTGGTTTGTGCCTCCTCGTCGAGGCACATTGCAAGAATCAATAGGCTTTTCAACATATGTCCTTGTGATCTTTCGTCTGTCCACTCTCTGCCACTAGGAAAAAAATGCAGAGCTATTGTCGTCCTTGTCCAGTACCACTCAACCGATCATAAGAAGACAACATACACTGTTGGATGAACATCGCTTCTAGTCAGTGTCGCTCTCAGTCAGTGCCTCTTCCATTGTTCTTGCTCTGGCTTTGACCACGACGGAAGGAGCTCAAAGAAAAAAGTATGAAAACACGTATAATTGCCTTATTCCCTGCAATTTTCCATGACCGAATCAACATCAGGTCCTAATCTTCGTCCATCCTCCTTCAACCGTAAAAGAAAACAATCATTTGTGGCATGGGGGTCCGACTCCGACCTGGGGCTAGCAAGTCCTCAAAGTCGTAATGCTAGATGAGAATAATGTTGTGCATTTGGGGAAAAAGATTTCCAGCAAACTGGACGTTGAAATGCTTTTCCAACTTAGTGTCGTTCATATAGATACAGTGGTAATGAGATGATCTTGATCTATCCGTCACATTATGGCGTAACCTTGTCCACCATGGCATGGCATGAGTCTCACATAGTCTTACATGTACTATCTGGGAGACTAAACAATAAAAGAAAGCGTCGTTTCTTACACTGATCCGCTAAGCCGTCGCATCGCTTTCTCCCAGGCTTTGTGCGGTCCCAGGGTCAAAATCCGACTGTTAAACATCATAGATACGTAGAGATAGAAGATCGAAAAAGCGACACAAAAAGCTCCAATCGCTTTTGCATTTTTGGCCATTCTTGGGGTGGATCTCAAGTGTGGCGCAAACAATTTTGAGTCCAAGACCACCAAAATGGACAGCAAACCACCAATAAATCCGCCGATATGAGCCCAGATGGCGACGCCTCCTGTAACGCTAGTGATAATGTTCTCCACTCCCAGCATCAGGACAATTGGGATGACGATTCTGGTAGAGACTTCTCGTATTAGGTGGCTCTTCATTGCACTCTCCCCGTTTTCAGGAGGCATAGGAGGTTGACCCTGACATTGACCCCCAGCTTCATCCCCATCTTCCAATATCAGGAGGTGGTATTTTCGTAGCCATCTGAGTATTTCCGGTAAGATAAAGCGAAAGAGGTAGCCAAGTTGCACCCCTAAGAGGCCGTAGACTGCACCGCTTGCTCCGACAAAGAAAACACTTATGCTGCCAAATGCTGCTTGCAATAGCCATCCTAGAATCGAACTCGCTAAATACACGCGCAACATGTTGGATCGGCCTTGTTATGAAAGAGAATTTTTAAGGCGACATAACGCTTGAAGGATTTCTCATCATGATATTTTCACTCAGGAGTCAAAATTATTCCCTGATGTGTACCTCCTTCCTTTTCATTTACCCATTGTTCCACAAATGAAAGGGCGGGCATCTCCGTCGAGCCCTAAAAACTTCTATGTATTATACTCTTTCATTTGGCCAAGGCCACCTTCCTCTCAATACTCTACGAGTACCTATTCTACAACTTAGTAATTGCTGTGGACTATTTCACTATGACAAGATGATGGGCCACAAAATCGCCGTCTCCGTAGCAAATCCTAGACGAACCAATCCCAACACGTTCATCCCCAAATGCGCCAGATCTAAATGCATTACAGTCGGCATTAGGAGTCGACGACACTCTCGGAACATCAATGGCCACGTTTCGATCCACCGAGCCAGGGACTGGACGCGGACCCAGCCGCGTAGGCAAAGCCAATCAACGAGAATGGAATAGTGGTACCCACTTCCAGAACCCAGTGTGAGTAGAGTTTTGTTCCACAGAGTAGTCGTTGCGCCGGCTGCTCCTGAAGGTCCTGCTCGGGTTGTAGTTGTAGAAAAAACTACTCCTTCGATTCGGAGATAGCTCCATAGCAAGAGCTGGATCCCGTACATGCCTAAAGATAGCGCAATGAGCCAGAACGTCGGAGACTTCAGTAACTTTACCCGTTTCAGCCGCATCCTCACAGCCTCGGCTGAATTGGGGTAGTAACTTCGACCTTGTTCGGCTTGGCTCTCTTTCTTGATATCCCTGAGTTCTTGCTTTGCTTTCTTAGCACGCTCGTGACGTAATTTGTCGTTCTGTGTCTCGATGTTCAGCATAACCTTCCAGGGCTTGACGAAGACTTTGGCGAGCCGTCTTAGAAGACGTTCTCTAGTTCCTGCAGTTTCAGAGGTTCTCTACTTGCTCTTTTTACACCAGTCTATGACTATCTACCAATCGAAATCACGGGTAAAAACTTCTACCGAGGACCTGATGTATTGCTGAGCCTTCACACACACACACTTCATCTTAAGAAACTATTACAGCCTCGATCGATTGCTTCTTGCTGCACAGCTTTGAGTTCTGTTTTGCGTTTTGCAGTCTGCTCTTCTCGCCACATGGCGATTCGTTCTGATAAAAGTAACCCTCCATCCATGAGAGTGTTGCCCCCTTGTTGCCGCTGTTCGTCGGTATGAACCCAGGCGTTGATTAGAGGACTCTATATTTTTCCTTCTGTTCATCAATCTAGAGAGATCATAGGGTCGTGAATTTTTCTTTATGAAAAAAGAAAGTCCTAGGGGGCTAAGGAGCCTGGATACTTCTATACAGGTAATGAATATTAGTACTAGTATCTAAATACTTCCATTATACAGGTAATATTAGTACTAGTATCTAAATCATAAACTCAAATCCACCATCGTTTCCGGGCTGTCGATCCAGTCACGTAGTCGGATTATCTGTGGTCTGTCCAGGAAGTGCTGAAGCCATCTTTCTGCGTCTCCTTTATGGTCATCTTCGTGGTTGTTCCCTAGTAGAGGCGCTTGATGTAGATGTTGCGCTTGAACAAGTGCTCGTTGTTCGACTGCTTGCTCGCCTCGTTGATGGCCACCATCTATTCTTCTCTGTGCGTGTCCGTTCGCGTTGACGGAGGCCATGGCCATTTTTTGAGACGTCGAGTACTGGTAAATAATATAGATATTATCTATTTTGTACAACTCGTTTGTTAAAACTAAACTTTTCCTATGTATATCTCCTAGTTAGGGCGGCTCTACCAATATCATTGTACAAGAACCTGTTAGTAGTAGGTCCCTCGTTTTCCGAGTAAGCGTTCATACAAGTGTATTTGCGTAAAACGGGAATAATCCTTAAGCCTCGCATTGATCTAAATCTTTACTCAAGCCAGCACAAAGCCTGCCAAAATTTGAGGGGTTTTCATGTGAGAGAAGAATTGATGGACCTCTATCACCTTTAACTCCTGAATCGTTGTGCCGCCCTAGATTTGTTTCTTGTAAGAGAAAATCAATACGATCTGTCTGCGTTGGTTCTCACCATAATTTGAAATGTGAACATTCAGACTGACCACAATATTGAGCGTTCAGAGGAAACTGAAGCGCAAATGGTACTGATACCCAGTCAGAGACGGGCCACACGTAATTTCGTCGAGGCGGTGTTTTCTTCCTCATTTTTTCATTAGATCTGTGACAAAGTCAAAAGCATCAGGGTCCGGGTCTGCGCTGGTTGGAGAGTCCGTCTTATCCATCATAGCATCTGGTTTTAACGCTGCAAACCTATCTTCAGATGGTTTATTTGTATCAAGGAGATCAGTTGAAGGAGCTGGTATGCCCGCACAATTCACTCCCAAAGTAGAAGATACAGAAGCAGAAGCTGCAGAAGTGGCATTGGTAGTTGTTATCACAGCAGAACCAGCATTTGAAATCATATCGACGCGATTAGTCGGACTAAAATCTATCTTCGGTTGTCGTGGTGCACTTCCGTTTACAAACAGGTCATCCAAGTCCGCACCAGGCGTCGTAGGCGAGTCGCTACTGCGCTGGCTCCGCCGTGCTGCAGCATCTGCTATTTTCTGCGTTGATTAGAAGAAGTGGGGGAGTCAGGTGGAGATACTCGTCACTACAAAGAACAAGAGCCACTTATAAACGAACAGTACAAAAAAAAACCAGTCATCATACGACCCTATAGAACAAGCAGGGTATTAAGATTAACGAAGAAAGTGAAAGCTGAACAAGATCGATGACAATAGAAACTCTGAATCAATGAAAGTACAAAAAAAAACCCGTCAATATCATAAGTGCGTGTCTTGAGGGGTTCTGTACTCGATTTCCGAGATTTATCGCTTTCGATCGTCGCAGGTGGTAATTTTACTGATATCTTCCTTGGCGGTGCATCTCCAGAAGAGGGAGATTGTGTATTAATAGATTTTTGTCCTTGCACCGTGGTCAACGAGAGCTCATCAAGGAGACTTGAACTGGAAAGTAAAGGCACTGCTGATGACGATGTGCTTTTGTGAGTGTTAGAGGAGTTGATTCAATCATGTAGATGTTGTAGGTGGATGTTGTAGGTAGATGTTGTAGGTACAACAACGCTCAAGTTCTAGCATATTCTGTCCGGAAATGTTTCAGCCTCAAAAGAACAGAAGATGAAGTCCAGTGGAGCCCGCACTAGAAACAGAAGAATATTGATATATGAATGTCAACGAAATCGAAGAAAAATAATAATGATACATGTCAACCGCAATAACAATGATATTATATGGAGCCCTCACTATCAACAAAAAATTGACCTATGCAGTAGAGATTCAAACATGAGCCTTAACGTGATGTCCTGGTGACGCACCTGCAGCTATATCATCCAGCAAGGAGGTTACAACTGTTTGTTTGCTCTTCTCGTTAGGCGGTCGTTGTTGTTCTTCTTGTTGTGTTAAGGCAGTTGGGCAACTCCCCTCAACATTGAGAAAGTCACTCAGATGCATGGCATTCTTATTGTCGACGGCACTTGCACCATTGGTATCTGAGACCACAACTCTGGGGCGTTCGGATACCGGAAAGTCTGCTCCCAACAAGTCGGTCGAGCGGTTAGTCGGACTCACACTAGGATTTTTGCTACTCCTGTGGCCGGAGGATCGCTTAAGCTGGAGAACCTGGAGTTTTTGAGGACGATTTACCATAGCGTAAAGCTACTTTGATGACACTATCTGCTATGACATTGATTCTCTCACATCTCAAACTCAACTTTTCTGCAAGAACAGCATGCCATTCCATGGAGCCTAGTATCACTGGCAAGCATGCCAGCCCCTAGACGATGCGGTGCTCTCCTGAATCCTCATATGAATGAAGTGACAAGAAGCAACGTGAGACTTAGACCAAAGACTGGTACCTATTTAACAAGCGTTCCACAAGAAGAAGGGTGACCTAGACTCGAGTATTACCCTGAAATAGGTTAAGTACCTCAGCCGCCACTTCTCTCGTTTGCTCTAGCAAAGCGAGTCCTTCTACCACTGGCTCGGCTTCGCGCATCACGCTACGACTTAGATGGGTTGCACAAGGAGGTAGTTGTAGCCAGAAATTATATTGCTCAAATGTAACAGCGCAGTAGAATGAGATAGGACTACTTAAATAGAATAGGGTGTAGGGGAAATGAAGGAGATAAAGGAAATTCAAAATACCCATTGCTGTGCTACTAAAAGCACAAGGAAGCATTTCTGATGAAAAAAGATGCTCTAAGAGAAACAACCTACAACCTTAAGAGAAACAGCGTTCGTCCGTCTGGAGGTGTCTCGTGAGCTGCCTTGAGAGCGTGCAGAAGCCTGAAACGCGGACACCAGTCATCGTCTCCATTGAAGAAACTTAGCCTAGTACACACGCATCTCGAAAGCGCCGGGATAGAAACCTTGATTTTATCGACAGTCGCACCAGGATCACAAGTGTCGGATTCAGGTATTAGAGGAGTCTTTTTTAGATTGTTCTTAACGTTAGTAGATTTCACAGTCGCAGCATCAGAAGTGTCGAATTGGAGAGGAGTCTTTTCTAGATTTTTAGGTGAAATTGCTAATAAGTACGTGGGACGATTCTAGTCAGTTGTAGTAAACCCATTTGCCTTTGTCAAAGTCAATGCTCCTTCAACCATTCATGGCCCCATCATGAAGCATAATTTGTTTCCTCCATCATTACATACTATCTACATGCTTAAGAAAGGCCTTAAATCCAAAATGAGCTCTTTTCCTCGTGTGCCACCTGGGCCAAGGTAGGAACAAAAAAGCTCAAGCTCTTTCTTGCTTGGTACTGTGGTGAGGCCCTTCACCTCGCAAATCTCATCCACTACTCGTTCGGCTCGCGCCATTTGAGCGGGTGTTGGGCGAGTCGAGGATGGATTAGAGTAGCCAACCGCCAGTAAAAGTTCAAGTAGTCCAAGTAGAAGTCCTTTCCAAAAAATTCGCTAGTTTTCCTTCTGTCCAACTCCAACGGACACTTCCATTTCTACTAGCTTCGCGACTCTAGCAGACTTCCTTCCTAAGGACTCTGACGGTGATTTCATTGTACTAGTCTTCCTCCTACTTCAATCAACGCCAACGAAATTGGAGTGTGATTGAGTGTCAACTCTCTATTAGGGCCTTAATAGGTGAGGACGCCGTTTTGCTGACTCTGGTCGCCTTTTTCTCGCTGGAGGAGGATGTCCTACCAACATCACTTTCCTGCTTCTTCTGGTCCTGAGAGAAGAGACAAATATTCATCAATACTCTATTTCGAGGAATACTGAAAAGCTAAAGCATCAATTTTATATCTCGAAATAATCGACAGAGCAACATAGACGAAACCAACGACAAAGAAGACGATAGCTAACGCTAACAAAGAGGATAGCCAACCAACCAACTAACATATCGGGGATGGAACAACCAACCAACTCAAGAACAAGGTAGTGTCTATTTGATTTTGAAGATCATGTTTACCCCAATGCTCACCTCATGGTCATGTTTACCTCAATGTTGACCTCAATGTTTACAGACTTTTTTACCTCTATGCTCTGCCTCTGACGGTGACCTACGTCAAGTTCATAATTCTACCTCAACGCTCGCCTGACTGTGACTTTTTCCTCCGTCGTTTTTCTTTGAAGCTTGCACCTCGCTCCAGGGAACCCCTAACTGGAGCTGTGCAGGTTGCATATTGTCACTATTGTCACTCGGAGAATTGTGCTTCATGATATTGCTCTTCGGCGATTCTGGTGCCGGAGCAAGTGTAAGGAATTAGAGACGAGGGCCTTGCCAGCTTGTGGTATTAAACTGGTGAGTAGTTGCACCTCCAGAAGAAATTAGAGTCGTGACCCCATTTATCATAAGAGAGACACGACGACTACAATAGTAAAGAAAAACTCCGACCACCGCGGTGAGGAACGTAGATCTTCTCTTCAGGGGTAGTGAGCAACGCAGATCTGATTCATCATGATAATGAGTTGACTTGAGGTAGAGGCACGACGACTACAGTATTTGTCACGAGAAAATGGAATAGAGAGTAACGGAAACTAAAGCGTCAGGGTTGGTGTGAGGGCTGGTGTGATAGATGATTGAGGTGGAGACATGACAGCTACAGCATTTCTTGGACAACTAGTGTTCAGGATTGTTGTGATTCAGATGGTGCATTCTTAATTTGAAACGGCTCCCCAGAGTCCTGTAAAGTACTCTCCCACTGAGGTCGCAGCATCTCCCACTGAGGTTGCAGCAGGGATGTCCTTTCCTGTCTCCTGTCCCTCACGATGTGGAGCGCCATTCGAAGGTTGGTCATTCCCGCGCTTCGCATCTTCAATAATTTTAAAGAGTAAAAAGGAGGGGTAGGATGGAGAATAACAACACAGCTGTTAGCTGCCAGATCTCATTTCACCATCTTTACAAAGAATTTCAGAAGTAACAATTATTGTGATTTCCGACTAAGTCTGAGGGCGCTGAAGTTTGTCTGTACTATTTCATCTTCGTTGTTGTTCAAAAGAGTGAATAAGATGGGAAGCTTTCATCCTGAAAGCGAAAGCTTCTCTTTCTCTGCCTCCATAACACCATTTGTTGTAAATCCGAGTCCACTCCTCGAGAAGGTCGCAGAGATCGCTGTCAGAGTCGCAGTTACCGCGTCTGTTTGTTCTGAGACTTCCTCTTGTGGGGGTTCGATTTTATTCTTAATGTTGTTTGTCTGTGGAGTAGAAGGACCTCCCACACCGCCAACACTCCCAAACCCCGTAATACGCTCCCGAAGATTGTCGCCACGAAGGGTCTTGTTGTTCTGCTCAGAAGACATGATTGTTGTTGATGAAGATCGCTAGTTTCTGGTCAAGAAAAAGATGAACTACAAGACAGGTGATGAAATATTCCAAATGATTCGTCTTGTTTCAAAATAGTTTGTTCTTCATGGAAGCGGCGGCTAAGCGTCGTGGTAGTAGGTCGCCTGATGGTCTATACGTCGGTAGCGGATCTACGTCTAGTTCTAGGTCTACGTTGGGAAATGATTATTCTGTAAGTTGTTCCGAATTTCTTTTTCATTCCTGAAATAGAGACAGAAACAGAGAGAAGGAGGCAGGGACAACGAGCTAGTCGGACTGCACACAGATGACATGTCGTGTTTTAAGACCTAGTACCTGCTGCGTAGAAAACAGAGTGTGTGTATTATGATGCTGCTGGGTGTAGGTGAAGACAGAGTGTTTTTTTGCATTGAATCCTGAGCCATATTCGTTTTATCACGTAGTAGGTGCTCTTGATGACATCTCACATATTAGGATAGGATAGGGCGCCTTCGCTCAGCCTTCATATTCTTCCGCACTCAATTCACACTCATTATTATACTATTTGTTCACTTGTCGGGAGTCCTAGCGTGTCCGATTCGTGCATCTTTTCAAGATCACCTCGTAATGAGTGGCAATCTTAGCCACTGTGATGAGGTCTTGGTAAGAACCATTTCAAAGAAGATTTCAAGTCACAGGGGAAAGTAACTGTCACGGGGTCTAAACAAAATAGAAATACTGTTGACGAGTGGAAAGTTGTAAGTGCAATGGGGTTCAACAGAGGTCCATGCTTCTTTCAAGGAGGCGAACTTTATCAGATGCGCCGTTCATCTTTTAAGAACGATAAAATACAAACACAATGTACGAGATCCAACTTCCTGCGATGTCAAAAGGGGAAAAAGGCCCCTTTGACGTATTCAATTTTACGTCCACACTCCATGTTCTTCGGGAAGATACGTTCTAGCAAAACATGACATGACTATTTCATGCCACAGGAAGTGCTGTGCTCATAGTCGTATGGAGTCTGGTACGAGGCTAAAACTCGGTGTTGGTACATCTCCACTAGGGGTCCTGGAAGATAGAGCATCGCTATCAAAGCCCTCTGTTGTTCCTTCCTACTCATCTTCTGAAGAGCCTGGAGAGCCTGGAGAGCCTGGAGTCTCTGGAGGCCCTGGTGGAGTGTCGCCATCTTCCGCGTCATCTGCACGTGGAGTCTCTGATGCTATTCTTAGAGGAATGTGAATCCTTTTAGAGGGAGATGAATCTTTTCAGAGGGAGATCAATCTTTTTCACGTTAAAGCCTCTCCTTAACTTTCGTACTGTGTCCGTGCAACTTTTGTCAAACCCGTTCACACCCAACTCGTATGCGCAATCCTGGTCCCATTCGCGAGAATAAAGCTGCGCATTATCTAGGAGGCTTTTGGCTACCCATGTTATTTCCATCGCTCGCTTGGAGGAAATGCCCCCATTGGGCAAAAAATCAAAATGGTACACGTCAAATCCTACATTTGCGTTGAAAATTAGAATGGTCTTACAAAATTCTTTCTCTGATCGATGATGAAGATGATGTGATGTAGCCTTTACCTACTAGGGGCATTTACTTGTTGTTTGTTTGTAAAGAGCAGGATAGGATAGGGTGCCCTTGCATCGTTCTCCACGAGGTGTGTGTGCGTCTGTCTCTTTGTTGTCTTTTACATATTTTTGCATGAAGAAGCATTATGCTTGGCTTCCTTAAGCCACGCGACTGCTCTAAGAGCCTATTGTCCTTAATAAATGGTCCATTTATCGAATATCATGGAGATATGAAGATTCCACATTGATTTATTCACATATAATTAGCTGCAACCACAGGCGAAAAAGAGGTCATCTTCAAAATGAAGACGAAAAAACTAGCATGATAAAGATAGCCATCGCATATATGTACCAGCGAGGGAGGCCCCCTCTACATTATAATCAAGATGATCATAACAGGTAATACAGCCTGTGGCCGAAACGGTTGACCTGATATGCCGCCTCTTCACTCTTCCATTGTATCCACCGAAATGCATTCATTAGAGCTGCTTTTGTCTTTTCACTAGTAATTTTCCGCGGTGGGGTAGACCTGACTAGGAAAAGCTTCGAAAACTTCACAAAACAAGTGATGCAATAGGTTGGAAGGTGCGCCTTAGTCCTTTCATTCATTAATAATGAAAAAAAGAAGGAATTTGTGAACTAGTACAGGAAGAAGTGCCCCCTGTCTGGAAAGAGGAGAGACTTTCGAGGATGCAGACGGCTTTATTCGTGTCTCTGTTTTGGAGTCTGTGCTCAATCTCTTTCTCACGATTCTTCTACAAACTTAAACTTTCTTATTAATTATCTAAGGAGCTATCTAATACTTCTAATTCCATAGAACACGTGAGCAAGGAAGTAAAATTCATGTTTTGGCCTAAAAAATCTTCCTCTTCGGGGAAACGGTTTGTCCCAAATAATAATTCTTGCGCGTACTTGATGCGTCTGTCGTTGATCCTCTGGATTTCCGTAGTTAGTTCTGTAAGCACCTGGTTCAGCTCATTTTTCTCTGCGGTAGATGCTCTGGAGTCCTCGCCACTGCGTTCTTGAGCATGCATAGCTGCGCGCGTACGCACTTGCAAGTCACACTCGGTCTCCGGCTCATTAGAAAGATGGCTATTCTCGTGGATAAATTTCATCACATCTTTTTTGAAATTTTATCACAGCGATTTCTCCTTGTGCAACTTCTACAGCATAAGTACGCATACTATCCAATTATTTATTTGTTGAGCAGAGTGGGAAATTTGATGGCAACAACCTTAACCGGAAGCCAACCGAGGCGTGGAAAAAATGGCATGCACCAGGCATCTTTGTCTTCCGCACATATTCCCTCTTCGATCATCTTTTTGCGCATCTTCTCCAAGGTCTTGCCCTCCTCGGCAAGCTTCTGGCGCAATGGTGCGAATTTTGCTACCTCCTCTTTGTTTGTTAGAGATCCTCCTATTCGCAAAACTGAAGTAACTGCGTAAAGCGTTGACCTAAGAGGGATTAACTCCTGAGCAAAGTGCCCTAAGATGAGGGCTGCTAACTTAGAACTATTCTCGAATTTACTTGCTTATTTCAAGGTATCGAGTGCAAGAACTCAGGGCTGAATCGTGATGGTGTGGGAGAATATCTACAAGTAGGGCTATTGTTCGTTGCCAATTTCAGTATTCCAGTGACGACTTTAACAACGTTAGTGAGGGCTTTAACAACGTTTGCGCTACGAAATGTGTAACCCAATGAATGCGATAAAATTAAAAATTTTATGTCGTAACGGCTTTCCCTCGCGTTGTAGCTTCTCGCGTATTTTCCTTAGTCGCTCTTCAATTGGCGTCCATTTGCCAACATGCGGCCCTCCTTTCCCAATGCTAGGTGCTGCAGTTTGCACGGAGTGTTCGAACGAAAAAAACCACAAAGAAAAGACTTCTTATACATGTTCCAAGGCGCGGGGCGACGCCCCCCCTAGCGGGGGGCCGTGCGCCCTGGCCCCCTTTTTAAGGCGTTTGCCGGGGGTGGAAGGCCTCAAAAGGGGGCCCAGTGACCTCCCCTCCGCTCCCTTTCAGCTGCCTGGCTGTTCCCTAGGGGCCTCCGATGGTGGTGGGAGGCTTCAAAAGAGGCCCAAGGGACCGCCTGCGCCCCCGCTCAGGTGCCTGCCTGTGCCCTGAGTGCATCCGTTAGGCTTCGCCGCCGCAGCAGTGCGCCGGCAGCGAAAGGCCTCCGAAGGCGGCAAAAGCCGAGAGGCTGGACCCCCTGAGCCGTGCCGCCTGTACCCTCCAGGCCCTTGGTCACCGGGTTGCTTGCAGCTCTTGCGACCGTGGCCGCCTTCGGCAGCCTTTCACCCCGGAAGCCGCCCGCCTGCGACGAGGGTCAGCAGAGGCCAGGGGGCCCTTTAGGAACACGCTGAGAGGCCCAAGGGGAGGCCCGCGCCAAGTTTTGACGCCTTCCACCACTAGAATCCGCGAAAATCCCCGCGGAAAAGCGCGCGCGCGCGCCACCACAGACCAGACCACAGGGGGGAGGGGGTACCGTCCGGCCCTGAGTCATATATAACAGAGCAACTTATAAGGCTTCACAGCTCGCATGGCATGGAGTGCATAGATCGCATGGAGTAGCATGGAGCCAGAGGGGGAGCTCCTTGCGCCCCTTAAAGCTCTGCGCCCCACGCACTCCATGCACCATGCGTGCTATAAACTGCTCTCATATAAGCTAACCTCTTTTTCCTAGTCCAAAGTAAGTGGAAACAGAAGAAAATGAACTCTCAGAGTCTGGAAATGAATCGATCAAGCCTTAATCTAGCAATGTACAGCTTCTACCAATGAATTATATCAAGCCTTAATATGAGGAACTGCTGTGAAAGGTACAATAGTAAATCCACATGTTGCTATGAAGCTCTGTGTATAGAGTAAACCCTTTTGCTACGACGTCGACCCAGAAGTCAGAATCGTCCGTCTCCGCAGTGCTCGTTGTCTTGTCGTGATCGTGTTGTGAATAGATTTTTACCACTTCGAGATAGCTGCTCCACCTTCTTAGCGGTGGGCCTTCTATGCGTAGTTTCTTGGACTTATGTACTTAGACCTAAATAATGTGTATCTTTGTCAGTCTTGTTTTGGCTTTCGTGATTAAGAGTCATCTTAAGCAAAGAGCTCAGACTTTGTGATGTTCGTCCTGTCCCTCACAACTTGAATCCATTTAGCGAGATTATGCGGAAAATTTCCCTGACGACTAACTTCTACCTAGTCACGGTTGAGGCGTGAGATAAGTGCCAGAGGGTTTGACTTCTACCTAATGAATTAAAGCGATGGAGCCCGAACTCGGAAAAGCACTGACTTCTAACTTCATCTTTCCTTAATCTTCGGTCGAACTCCAGACGGAGGAAATCAATTTCGCGACGCGCATCCAAGTTCGGAGGCAATACTTAGAGCCATTATCATCCCTGGCTCATTGAGCCTTTTCTTTTTCTATCTTACTTTTCCGGGTTTTTGTTTTTTCTAGTTGGCTTAGTGGTTTAGGCGTTGACCTGTACACGTATCAAGGTGCGCTCCACCAAAATTATCATTATGCTCGCGAGCGACCCTCACGTCGCAGACGTGCGACGCACAGCAATATGGCTGATTAATAGGTACGTATTCACTGTCTTTCCACAAGTCTAGGTCCGCAATCAACAAAGAACATCTTAGACGGTCACGCGAGAAATGAAAACTCAGTCAGAATACTGGTCAGGTAAGAAGTGCTTGCTTCTAAGTGAAATAGGAGGTGAGGGCCTAACTATTCATCGTGACCTTTTTTCTGACGTTAGGTCAGTTGAGGGGTCCTTCACATTGAGTCGCCCCGCTTTGCAAATAGGTGAGTGGAGTTTTTGCTAAAAAAATCCATAACAATACGAGTCTGAGTCATTATTTTCTGCTATTTCCACACCCCACGACATCTTCGTCAGTTCTTCGCCGGGATAAGCTGCAGGAAGAATGGGGGCTGGCGCGTTCTGTCTCAGAGTTCCGAAGAATGCACTTACGTGGATTTCGGCAAACCCATTTGTCTGGGGTATAATTTCGCTATAAGCCTTACTTAGAGGTGGGTGATAACTACGGTATTTAATGACTAGTAAAAGTGAATAACTTGGATTTACAACTACAATTGGCAAGTCTTGGTCGACTTCTCGTCTTGGATAACTACGTATAGTGACTTCTAGTGAATAGCTTGCATAAAAATGATGTGAGTATGGCTCGCCGCAGTATCTATGAGTACTGTAATGTATTGTAATGTAATGCAATGTAATGTGATTAACGTAATGAGTGCAAGTGTGATGTTATGATTCAACAAAATCATCTGAGGAGGAGCAATAAGGAATGTAAACTCCTCTTCAACTTCATTCTTCATTTTTCACACGTATTTGAATCTTCGCATAAAAATTTCTGCAGCTGTATTGTCTCCTCATGCTTGAGTTGCAGTCGGCCTATTTCCGTGTGTATGTTCATCTCATTGTACCAAGGCGGGGGAGCGAGTGCTGCGACGCTTGCGGCGTACAGGTACAGCTTGGGTACTACGCGTATGATTGTCGCTGATTGCGAAGATCCACTGCTGATGAGATTTGCGGTCGATGAGATGTCATGGTCAAGGTCGTCGAAGCTCCCTTCATGGTAGATATGCGGAGGCTGCACAGACTCGCTGAGATCGTACACTTGGATGCGGAAGTACGAGAGGTCTGCTTCAAGCTTGTTTATCTGCGAAGGAAGCTCTGCGATGGCTGAATCAGGGAGGACTTTGCCTCCATGGTCCACTAGCCATTGGTACTCCTTGCGTCGCTTGTCCATCTTCTGCATCTCATTTCTCAAGTCGATAATTGATTGTTTGGCCTGGCTTAGCAGTTCTTGTTCCTTCTCCTTTCTCTTCATTAGAGGCACCGACACCCCATCTTTTATAACATCTTTTAGCACTTTCCAAGTACAAACTGGTTAAAAGATGCTGCGGGAGATGGGTTGCCGGTATCCTTAACAGGGGCACTGTCTGAAAATGCTCAAGGCCGTTTCTCACCTCCAGTGTTGGACGAAGCGGGAGCCTGGGGCAGATGGGCGGCACGAGAGTCACTAGCTCTTTATTCATCCTGCTGATGTCAGAGCGGCGCTCCATGGGCGTGGAATCGTCGGAATCCACTTCGGTGCAAATCTTTTTTTCTACAAGCTGCCAACGCAAGCGCACGACTCGGTCGTACTCGCACTCGAGCGCACTCTCCAGATGATTCTTAGGCTGGCCCGAGGGGCAGAAGCGGCGATAGTAGTGCCAGTAGTAGAAGTGCATGTCGGTATAGAGCGCGGCGTACAGCTGATATCCGCGCAGAACCTCGCGCGAGAGGTACGCAGAGAATTTGGTCGCTGTTCCGGTCTCTGCAGTATTGGAATAGAGTGAATTGAATTAGACCGCAAAGCAATCCACTTCTTGCTTGCAGACATTTCTTCAGAGCAATTCTGTAAGAAGGAAACACGCAGAATTGGCTAGTAGAAATGAATTGTATCGAGCCGTAATTGAAGTTGCTATCGACGAAGTGCTGCGAGCTGGTCCCTTTGAAGGCAATACGGTCTCTTCTTTCTGCTGCGTTCGTCCGAAGGATCGTAATTTTGTTGCGAACTTCTATTAGACAGAGAGCAAGAAGATGAAGAAGAATATCTTTATATTCAAGGTTAGTTTAGGTTATGGACCCTGCACTTCGAGCCCCAGCGGCACCTGCTCGACTCCGAGAATGATGGATTGAAATACTTCATCCTTAAAAATACATTCTATTTTTGTTCTTGACGTGATGTTGATCAAGATCAACTTACTAAGCAAGAGATGAATAGATATGAAAACGGATTCCCGATAGCGGCCTTAAGTCAATTCCCTGGGGTAGAGCATCTGCCTTCGGAACAGCGGGGTCGCATCCGAGTAAAATGTCGTCCGAGAGGTGCGCGCTCTTCGTGTCTAGAGTACCGGCAAAAAAATTCTTAACATGCACTTGGAAGAAGAAGGGCGCTTCACCAGGATCGCCACGCAGAAATTTTTCTTTGAAAACCTCGCGCAATTCCTTGAGCCACTGACTGACGATAAAGCTCTGTATCTTCAGCGCGCGGCTGTCTTCCTGTACTTGCGACTGCAGATCATCCCCAATTTGCCGTAAGTCCTGTAGCTTTCGTTCTTCATCCTCGAGCGGATCTTTTAGAGGAAGAGATATGATAGTAAGTACCCGAGCAGCTCGGATCATGTGATAGTCGCTCGAATGTGATAGCACCCGAGCAGTTGTACAGAAATGGAAACAAGTGAAGCGAAAGAACATCAGTTGTGCAGAAAATATTACGACGAGCATTCAGATTCATCAGTGTCTCTTGGAAGTGGGATAGCAATCATTCAAAGACACTACCTAGTAGAGATGCTCTACCTCTAAAAACTACTTTAATAAAATAATTGGAGTGAGAATTGGCAAACTAAAAAAGCTCAACTATTTAGCAGCAGAGACGCTCTGAATCCCCTCAGCCTCAGGGTCATACTTGCAACCAGGTTAGGCTAGGTTAGGTTGTGGTCTACCTACCCTACTGCATATGCAACCTTAACTCAGTGGCCAGTTTCAACTCCACTTTAAGGATTTCTGCCATCTCTTCCTGAAGCACTATCTCGAAATGATGCTGCGTGGCCAGAGTGAAAAAAACCTCATATGGCTTTTCCTCGTCCGTACTAGCAGTAGATGTTGTAGACTTCTGCTGGCCGACTTCCTTCCATGGCAGTGAATGTGTAGCCATCTCCTCTTCCTCTGGAGCAGCCGCACTTGTCAGAGCAGCAAGTTGCTTTTTGTTTTCCTCCGTCAGAATGTACTTCTTCCAAAAACTGGCAACGGAGGCTTTGAAGAAGTCTTCTTCATGTTCTTCATGTTCATCTATTTCTCCTTGCTCGCGTCGTCCTTGTGCTTGTACCTGTACCCCTTCTGCATGTCGTTGCGATACCTTATCCCGGTGTGCCGGCATTAGTGCTGTCTATGGGGAAGGGCGACTTCTGGTTGTGATTACAAATTCAGTGATGAGGGCCACAGATGTTGTATAAGACGAGCTAGTACACAGACGCTCATCTATCAGGAAGAATAAAACAATGGAACCTTGAGTAGATAAAGAGATAACCTTACGAGAGCAAACAGTCCGCGATTAAGATATCCTTATAAGACATGAAGATACGCAGCCGCTGCCTCAGGAAGAAAATGGAAACCGAGATTAAGATAATATAATCTTAAGCGAGCAATCCGGGAGTCAATTTTTTTCGCGAGAATGGCCTGAGAGTTCGGGTCGACGGCTCCTTGTGCAGCTACCTGCGAGAGTCGCGAGTAGAGATCGAGATGAATTTCGAGCATAAATCTGCGATCCTTCTTCATTTGTTGCTCCATTTCTGCTAGCACTGCATCTGTCTCTTTCCACTTTGCTTCGCCTGTGATCCTTTCTTACTATGAACAAGAGTTCCTAGAATATGACGTTCTCTATTATTTGAAGGTAGCATGAACATGATTTTTGTAGGCCAATTGAATATTTTTATCATGTTCCTACAATTTTACCCACAATGATCCCTAACAGCCTTGATTATATCCAAAAAACATTGATGAAGTAAAACTAAAATAAGGGGTCAACATTGTTAATATATTACGTGCATTCCTCTGGAGCTCTGACCTTCTACCAACAAAACTAGCTTGAAGCCAGATTGCTTGCATTTGATCACAGTAGCCTTTTATTGCTCTACTGCACAAACGCAATAGCCTTAGCGAGGCACTTATCGCTCTACTGCATCAGCCCTAAACGAAAAAACTAATATAGGAAAAAACTTACATGCATACTCTAGAAATGAAAAAAATTCGCGAGGAGAAGTCGTCATAATAAATCGTTTATCATTTTCTTACATTTTTCACTACTTACAAATCATTATACATATTATATTATAAGGCTCAGACATAAAGTGTCGCTAAGACCTCGAACGGAGGCGAAAACGAAACGCATGTCGTAGAGAAGGAAGTGCGAGATCATCACGGCATTGCTATTCGGACTCGGCTCTTTCTGCAAGATTTCTGCCAATTCCACTCGCGAAGCCGTATCACTATCACTTGTATTAGAAAAAGATGTAATTATTGAAGTCGTTTGTATTATCAGACGACGACTCAACATGATAATAAATCAGAGTTTTGTCTGATATCGTTTTCAGGGAAATATGGACCTACGAAAAAGCATAATGTTCACAAGCACACTTTCGACGTATGCACGAAACTTCGCGAGGAGGCATTGAAACTTCTGTGAATCGCCAATCTTCTCACGGAGACTTGGAGAGGACGGCGCAGGAGCGGGTGGAGCTGGTTCTGGTGTCGATACACACTTCTCGAGCTTCTGAAGCTTGACCAATCCAAACAAGGTTCCTTTCTCCATTAGAACTGGTCGCTACAATTTTTCATTGGAACTTCTACAAAAATAAAAAAGGATCGATAAGCATTACCCGAAACCGAAAGATCCTACATTACCATTACCATTTTTAGAAATGGTAATGGATACTTACTACATTGAGAAATTAAACTGAAAGGAGCTGACCATAAAATTATGCGGCTAGTATCGGTTAGCGTCCTGATCTTGTCGATCAGTTTGTCATAGAGCGTCGAATGATCGGCAAATATCTTGGCAACCAGCTGGAGGTTGTGATTGCTTTGCTTTTGGACTTGGAGCGTGGCAGCTGCCTTTTCAGATTCAGAAGAAGCGTCAACAACGTTCTCCAGGTCGTGGTTGCTCTTTTCTCCTTAGAAAGCGCCTCTATTCATCTCGGTCGCATCATCTCCGCGCCCTTCATCTTTTATCTCTTCTATGGAAGATGGGCATCGACATCGAGTTCGAGATGTTAAGAGACATGGAAAAAAGCTGACCATAAGGAGCGTCAGCTGTCGCCTTCTTGTCGGCTTCTGTCATTCTCTTGTGTTCCACTTTTTCTGCCTCTCTGTCGATTTCACCCTTCTGTTTTTTCAGGGCATCCAGGTCCTGTTCCATTATTAGAGATACTAGTCATAGTCTTTCACCATGCCCAATTAACTGCAAACGACCAGACCGTGGCCCCTTTGTGGTTCTCTACTATCGTATTCGTGGCAACTGTAGTCTAAAGTATAATCACATGAATATAGGATAAAGACGAACGTCTACGCTACCTTTAGAAGAATCATAATCACTTTGGGTTCATCGGCGTTCATGTTGAACTTGAACCTACACCACGATTAAGATTATTCTGTACAAGTTGTAGTCTCTATTCTTGTAGGAACGGCGCAGGGTTTACAACCTAATCCGGCCTTGTTTCGTCTATAATGTTTTGTTTCACATGCGTTCCTGAGGTTGTTCTGGAGAAGTAGTCACCCTTTCTTGTTACATCGTCTAGTATTTCAGAATCATAATGAATTAGTGTCGATCGGCGTTCATGTTCTTGAACTGGCTTAAGCATTCTGTTTCTGTAAAAAAACAAAAACTACACATCAACCATAAATATTGGCGAGTCATCGCGCCTGCTAGTTTGTCGAGCTTTTTGAAATTGGCTTCAGGTAAATCAGGAAGTCCAAGATATACTGTCAGCAAACTGGAAATGAACAACATGTCATTCAAGAGGTTGACTTCCTCGTCATGCTTTTTTTCGAGATAATGAAGCCTCGACATGCAGCTATTCTCGGATAAGGTTTCGCGCGGAGTTGCAGTTTGTGGTGGGAAAGAAGTAGAAGTTACTCGTAGATCCTTGGTACGATCTCTTACATCGCTCAGCAGGGCTTCCTTGTCGTCCAATTCTTCCAGGAAGACGTCAATTTTTAGACTGTTCCAGAATCCATGTTGGTCCCCCAGTCTTACCACCTTTCTCCTTGTATTCTTCTATGGAAACAATCAAAAGGACATCGAAAAGATGGCGAGGGAGATGGATAGAGAAAAGCTGACCATAAGATGTCTCCTTTGGCTTTGCAGTTTTCAAGCGTATCTTTCTGTGTGTCGGTCGCAAACCAGCCCTTTGCCTCCCGCAACTTGAGACAAATGTCCTGCGGTACGTGACCTAGACCTCGCTGTTCGAGTTCGACATAAAGTTCTGAATACAAGGCATTGTGGACGTAGGAGAGAGCTTTGCTATCTGTTTCTAGCTGGCTGACGGCCTCCTCGATTAGAAGCAGATGGTTTGCATGACCATGGCTCAACTTTCTCAAAACATAATTATGCAGTTCGGTACCACGACCACCTAATTTGAAGTCCTCGAGTCCCTCTGAGTTCCTATCGATAAAAAGTCACTGTTGAAGCTATTTTGCACACTGATGGATACTCTTCCTCGTGCCCCACTAGCGAAGATTCTAGCAAAGGGAACTGATCATAAATCTAGCAGCGATGAGAAATCGCCGACCTTGTTACTAAGATCAGCGTGCTGGGCAGAGTGGAGGCGGACATCATGCGGATTGTGTGGATCGCGCTGCAGATATTCGAGAAGCGGCATGGCGTAGTTGTACAGCACATCACTGAGGTCGAAGACAAGCTGATCAGAGAATTCGCGCTCGTTCCGCATCGCAGTAGAGTCTCCGGACAACCCTTCTGCCGAAGAAGGGGTTGGAGATGGTGGCGATGTCTGAAGCTCAAACTGCGTCAACGCGTGCACGAAATCGTGCTCAGTACCCTCCTCTTCGGGCATTTGGCTAGCTCCTTCGAAATTTTTTCCGAGCAAACTACGAGTGATCCTCTCGAACATGGCACGCGCAAGCTCTCTGAGCATTCCTTCCTTGGGCGGCGAATCCTGAATGTTTTGGACGAGGCCATGGTCAGTAATTCGCTCGAACAACCCACGATGAGCTGAATACTGCTTGTACATTCTCTGCCTCGACGCTTCCCGTCGTCCTTCTGGTTTCCTAACTTAGAGAAGGCATATGCGAGCTGCTATCATGCAGATTCGTCTCTACATAATAGCTGAAGCTCCGATAGAGAGAATATTTTCAAGTAGGGCTGAAGAATCTTGTTCCATATGCACCAAGGAAATCGCCGTAACAACTTTTCTACTTAGAAAATTCTATTGACTTTAGTAATGAACCAGAACGGGAATTACCTACTTACTTTCCTTTACATGAGATTGAAATCAATACTGTAAAGTCCATTCAATCAGTAAGTAGCTTAAGCGGAAATGCTTGCTTTGGGTTTCTTCACAAGTTTTCCCATTTTTTCTAACAAGATGCCTTAAAGTAACGTATCGGTCACCCGGTTCTCGGGATCCACCGCCAAAGCTTCTTGTTGTTGTTTACTATTTTTGACGTTGATAAAGCTCGCGGGAGGGCTGTCACCGATGGCTTGGCTTCCCACAATGACGCCTGAAGAATCAGAGGCCTCATCGCCAACTGGAAACACATCCCCATAAGAATCGAAGCAATTAGAAAAAGTAGGTCTACTTTGTTGACGTGGTCCGTCATATCTGTGAAAAAGATGAAGTGATCATCAATCTAGTACTTCTAGAGTGAAATCATCACAAACTTTTACCCGAACATATCTGTGGAAGAATGATGACCACCTAGTAATCCTAATCCTAGGATGAAACAATAATTCTACATTATGTATGTAGAATAATGGTCTTTTTATTTGTGTATGTAAGTAGTACTATCACCACGAGTTTTCTACCTCTTCTTGGGAGCATAATTTCACCTTCTTTAGTAGAAGTGTCCTTTTCTGCTTCAACTTCGTCAGTAGATGTGTCCTTTCCATTTCCTTGCGAGAACGTTGACGGACTTGTTGTAGACGAGTAATCGAGGTTTTCGTCTCTGTTGTTGTGTATGTTGTCCCGGTAATCGTTGCGATGAGTCGGCGTGAAGGGTGCTAGTAACTCATCCGCTTCCTATTAGAGCAGCTTCCTAGAAGGAAGTTTTCTATTTTTCCCCTTTTCAACTAGCAACCTTCTTACACAGCAATCTTCTCCTTACTTCTCCCCCGTTTCGCTAGCAAGTTTTTCATTTTTCCCCTTTCCAACTAGCAGCCTTCTGGTTTTTCTTCCCCATCATACGCCTCTAGTGGTCATTCTCTAGTACCACTTTTCTCTCTTCTTTTTTTACTAGCAACCTTTATGCCTTAAGCCACTGGTCGGAATTGCGAGTAAGCATGCATAGAATACGAGGAATGCAGAGGCTCATCATCGCTTGAAGTGTTGGAGTAGTGTGGAACCAGGTATCTTGCCACTCGTTCCATTGTTTTAGCACTAAAAGTAGTAAGCCGTCGCCGTCCTCCACGATATTCGTACTCCAACTGGCTACGACGCACATTTCATCTATTAGAGGGAGTAACTAAAGGTTGCACCATTCAAATCCACGAGTTCGAAGTGCCGATATCTGTTTCTGACCGATTCGTTACTCAAAAAAAGTATAGAGTTTCCTTGTTTAAATATATTTGTGACAATGATGATACGAATCTACTCGGCAACCCGCCTAAGATTTCCCTGACGAGCTCTACCCGCTAGCCTAGCTTCGCTCGTTGGCATTTTCCCGACTGTTCCTGCTGATCCTGATATAGAACGACGATGGCCAGGCTTTTCCTTTTGAAAATAAAGAAAATAAATAAAAGATCTTTGAAAATAAAAGATCTTTGATCTGCTCACGAAAGACGACGGTGCTCCTGACCAAGGTAGACTTGAAAAACGCGGCCTTAACGTATACTTCACCACGCCGCGTTCGTTCAGTGGATTCTCCAACGCCCTGTCGTGTTTTTTTCTGGTCAATCTCCTCATCCTCTTCCTGCTCTGTCAGGTGATGAGGCAATTCCCTGGCGTTAACTTCATTAGAGTGAGTCTGGATCACCTGGTGGATCTGGACCATGTTAACCATAAAATACGTCACGCCAAGTAAATAGTAAGCTTTTCTATAGGAGGCATAGAAAAACTAAGGAAAGGATAGAAAAACTTAGATATAAGATAGAAAAACTAAAAAGAAGACAGAAAAACTAGAAAACAAAAAAAAGAAAGAAATAACCCGAACAGTTGAACTCTCTACCCATCTGCATTAGAGTGAGTCTGGATCACCTGGTGGATCTGGACCATCTTTAAGTATTCAACCAAGAAAATAGTTTGTAATCAAATATTCGAAAAACTGAAATAAGCAAGTAACTGAGCAGAATAACCGAGATACTGACGAGAAGGAAGAGTAGCCTTGATGTCAAGCTACCTCCCTTATTTCAATCAGTAACTCGGTTATTTTGAGTTTTCGAATACGTAGAACAAGACTTCCAAGTGTGTCCCAACTGGTGTCCTCGGACGAAAATCGATCAAAAACGTCTTGGTGTTGGTTATAATGAATTTTCTAGTTCATCTTGATCTTTTTTAATCATCAACGGAGCCAGTTGTAGGAGTACCTGGCATGATGTCGAACGGTAACAGATACAGCAGGTTTGATATTCTTAGCTTTGGCAACATAACTATAGCTAGAGAGCAGGCCACATTGCCCACGACGGAAAAAATGGCCGCAGGCCCACCACCAAAAGCTGCTGCTTGAGCCGGACCGCACACGCTGATCAGCGAAAGCATTGTGGCTCCCCCTGTTGCGATAGCGACAGTGAAAACCATTTTAAAGTTTCACGGTTGAATAAGAATCGATTTTTTGTATGCCAAGACCGCTGGACGAATGGTGGCCCAGTGATATCCCACACGCCGGCAGACGCCTGGTGGGATCCGTTGACCTCCTTCCACTATGGTCCTCTTGTCTGCGGCTAGGCCGCGAATGCGATTTTCAGTATCTTCTTCCAGAGTCTAGTATGATTCCCTCGCGTCGATCGGTTTCTCGCCGTTCTTCTCCTCCTTGAGAGTAGTAGTTTGAATGCCCAGGACGCACGCACTGCTTCTTGAAGAGGAGTACAAGGCACGTGCTTGCGCACGAACGTCTCCGGAACCGGATGAGAAAGCAAGGTCCGTGATAATTCTATCGCTATCCTACATACAACTAGAAGTAGAGGCACGGCTAAGTTGTACCACGAAGCAGAGGACAAGTAACAGCTAGAAAAAGACAAAGAAGATACTCATAACTAAATCTGATAGAACTCCGTCTCTCTCTTTTTCTCGCTCGTTTGGTCGCTTTACACGCATTTGTCTTTTCTTTCATCACCTGACTCACCCCGATTCCTTTGTAGATTCAACAGAGTGTGTCGCTTTTCCCCTACAAGCGCAAAAGATGTTGAACAGAGAAAAGACTTTGTCTCATAGTGGAGCGAGCGCTCTTGTAGGACAGTATCCCCCCCTGTACCTCTGTGCAGCTGGTATGGGTACGTTCGTTAGTGCATGTGATAGCGTTTAAAGATGGGCACTTTTTCAAAAGATTCCTGGTTAGACGTGCTAGACCTCTTGGTGACTGCCACGTTACCTCACAAGAAAAGTTCTTGCTGCGTCGTTACACCCGCTCTTGTTAAATTCCTGCATACAACATCCACATTGTCATGCATCTTCTAGTAGATATATATTTCGTCGTCTTCACAATTATTACGTCTTCGACATCAAAGGTCACCATCTTACAAGAAAAGTTCTTGCTTTTTTGTTCCCGTAGTCCTTGCTCTTAATGTGTCAAGAACGACCTTTTTCTCTAGCATCCATCGATAGAGCTCCTCTTTGCGGTAAGCTGAGACCCACCCAGCATGGCCTGGATATTGCGGCCATCCTGCTGGGGCTGGTGCTTTCGAATCGCGCGTGTACTTCACGAGGTCATGTGTGCTTTTTCCTCCTCTTTGAGCGGCGGTGCGGTAAGTCTTCAGAGCATTCACTGCTCCATCTTAGAAGAAGAAGCGCAGCACTTATAAACCTACATCTTAGAAGCCATGCATCTTAGGAAGATAAGCGCGTGTCGAACCAGGGGACAGAGAGCGGCAACCAGGGGTCAGAGAGCGTAGCCGTATGCCCCAACTATAATCTGTTATTTCAACAGCGAATCAAGATAAACTAAAAACCAAAAACGAACCAAGATAAACGAAAAACTAAGCGGCCATAATCGTCTGTATATTCAACGGGAACGACTTGGTCATTGACTGCATGCCAAGCCCAAATAGAGGTTTCTAACGGCACTTTGGATGCATCTACATCCCCTGCTGCGCAAACGGGTACTGCGGTGGCGAAGGTGGTTAGAAATAATTGGTCACAACATCAACTTTTTAGCGAATCTTAGTAGAAACAGCAACATGTAGTTGATGAAGCTGAAGTTTGCTGAGATTCAGTTCGTAGTATTCGATAAACTGAAGTAGTTGATGCTTCATCGGCACTACACCAGTGGTTTGCAGCTTCTGCGGAATCGAAATACCAATAGAGGACACAAAACATGGCTCTCGCATCATAAGACCAGGTCGTCTGTTGCAGATTTCGTCGATCGCCTTGTCTGTTATAGACGAGGATGTTTACACGAATATAGACTTTTAATTTCCGCTGGTCCCCTTTTAGCGGAAAGCCTGTAAGTAGGCAAGATTTTCAACTCAGAATTTCTGTTGAGACGTAATTTTTCATATCTAATCATGCTAAAAATGGTGGTAGATATTGTGGTTACAAAGCTCACTAAATATCCGACTATTGGGGTTGTCGCGGCCAGCTGGTAGGGGCCCAAGCATCAGCCCCCACGGCCGCACCTCCGGGTCGCTGGGATCGCTGCGGAACACCCAACATACCCTACAATGTAGCGCATGAGAACCGGGAACAGCAGAAGACGGCGGCGGCTGGATGCTTGGACGGCAGTCGATCTTTCTAAACGGCCTCGAAACGAGGGATCGTCGAAAGGAACTCAGTCACGCGGCCGTCTGGGTCCGATCGATATTGACCTGGGTGTAAAGAATTGGGCAAGATAAACGAGGCGCTCATCAGTGCGTGCGCATGATGGCAGGAAGTGTAACTCAGCAAGCATATAGAAATACGGCTCGACCAAGATTCTACCTACAACTACGAAAGCAAACTCATCGAAGCAACAAAAAGAAGCAAGTCTAGCTCATGATCGCACAAAACAAAACTAAAAAAAATAAAGCGTTTTGCTCTCTTACTTCTCATGACAAAAAACGCAAGCCCTCTGACAAAGAATCGTTCTAAAGCATCTCTCGCTGAAGTAGTCGATCTCTCTTCCTCTCCATCCTAAAATCTTCGATGAAGAAACGCGCAAACGAAGAAAAGCAACTAGTATAAATCTAGCAAAGAAACAAGAAAGCTCCAAGAAATAGAACAGAAAAAAGCAACTGCGTCTCGACTTCTGAGGCCGGCTACTCTCTCTGGAAGACGATACAAAAAGACGATGTCTGTGGACCTCACGAAGCCACTGGCTGCCCGAGAATCCACCCACCACGCTCGGTCGGCGGGTGGATTTCTCTGGGAACCAGAAGCGCCTCGAGAAATCCACGCACCCGGCGTGGTGGGTGGATTTCTCGGGGAACACGAAGGTCCCCGAGAATTCCACCTGCAACCAAGCCGACCGAGAAGCGCAATCTGCCATCCCAAAATCCACCCGGGGGCCCCGAAGGTCCCCGAGAATTCCACCTGCTACCAAGCCGACCGAAAAGCGCAGTCTGGGGTCCCAGAATCCACCCACCAAGCTCGGGGGGTGGATTTCTCGGGGAACCCAAAGCGCCCCGAGAAATCCACCTGCAACCAAGCCGACCGAAAAGCGCAATCTGCCATCCCAAAATCCACCCACCAAGTTTGGTGGGTGGATTTCTCGGGGAACACGAAGGTCCCCGAGAATTCCACCTGCAACCAAGCCGACCGAGAAGCGCAATCTGCCATCCCAAAATCCACCCGGGGGCCCCGAAGGTCCCCGAGAATTCCACCTGCTACCAAGCCGACCGAAAAGCGCAGTCTGGGGTCCCAGAATCCACCCACCAAGCTCGGGGGGTGGATTTCTCGGGGAACCCAAAGCGCCCCGAGAAATCCACCTGCAACCAAGCCGACCGAAAAGCGCAATCTGCCATCCCAAAATCCACCCACCAAGTTTGGTGGGTGGATTTCTCGGGGAGGCGATAGGCCCCCGGGATCCAAAACAGCGCCTCTTCACCCAAAATTAACGCTTTTTCACCCGTTTTGGATCTCGGGCACCCCTCAGCTGCCCGAGAAATCCACCCACCACGCGTGGTGGGTGGATTTCTCGGGGAACACCAAGGTCCCCGAGAATTCCACCTGCCACACACAAAGCCGACCGAAAAGCGCAATTTGCCATCCCAAAATCCACCCACCGAGCTCGGTGGGTGGATTTCTCGGGAAACACGAAGGTCCTCGAGAATTCCACCTGCTACCAAGCCGACCGGAAAGCGCAATCTGGAATCCCAGATCTGGAATCCCAGAATCCACCTGCCAAGCGTGGTGGGCGGATTTCTCGAGGGGCACGAACGTCACCGAGTGTTCCACCTGCCACCGAGCCGACCTAGAAGCGCACTGCACCAAGCCGAAATCCACCCACCACGCGCGGTGGGCCGATTTTTTCGGAGAGCCCGAGGCCCCCCGAGAGGTCTACCCGCAACGCCTGTCGCAGATGGCGCGACAATCAGTGGGCACCTGGGCGCGTCATTGCATCGTCATCCGCTGCGGAAGTTCATACTCTTATATAACTATATCTATACTTATAGTATACAACTGCAGGGCGAAAGTGTATCAAAGAAAGTTCTACATGAAAGCATAAAATAAAACATACCTGTCCAAGTCCACGTCCGCCGCCAGTCCCAGCCAGCAGGAGCGCGTTGCGTACACATACAACGCACACTCCTGCTATTGTAGGCATTGCGTGTCTACTGAGCGCGCGAGCGCAGCAGAATGAAATGTACAGACGGCCAGCGTCATGCCTACCGCGTCTTCCGCAGCCGCATCATTCTCCGGCGGATGAGAAGAAGGGGAGGAGGAGGGCAAAGAGGTATAGCTCCTACGGGGGGGAGGTGCTTGTAATGCAGAAATATGAAGCAAGGGGCATAGTGACGGTCTGTAAATCCACCATTTTTAACAATTTTTAGGGGTTTCATATTTTCATAATCATATGCAAAGCGCCTCCCAGTAAAATACTTAAAGTGCTTCAGCATATCTTTGCAAAAAATTCTTCACAAAGGTCCTCACCGCTTGGCCACGCCAACCTCGATTCGTACGTGGTGCTAATACGACGAATTCATTCCGCAGGGTCTCAAAGATGCTAGGGCTGATCTCGCATCGTTCGCAATCCACTTCTGCGAGATTCGTAGGATCGCTTGAATAGGAAGTGCCAGCCTTCATTACTTTACAATGTCCGGAGAGAAGGATGTTAGAGCTAGTTTCAATGGAGTAGGAGTCTGAGCACATAGGAGTAGGAGTCTTCTTTTCTCTGAGCACATATCTTTACCCGCTTGTTCGAAATCGAGAAGTGAGAGAAGTGGGTATAAACTTGAGCAATCAACAAATGGTATAGCCTAGTTGTTCAAAAAAATGAACTCACCGAAAGTCGGACTCCCAGTTCGTTATTTAAAAAATCATTTCACCAAAAAAACTTCCTTAATGCTGACAACAGAACCCGTCTGGCCCATTTGCAGGACGCCTTCTGGCTCTTCACCGCTTCCCGACTCTCCAGCGCCATGGAGATAGACCAGTAAAGGATAAGAGACCTTTGGGTTTTGTTCTGTTGTGCCAGAAGGTTGTGAGGATTGAGGGAGTTAGAAGAATCAATGCAGGTTGCTTGTTTGCAGAATGACCAAAGTGAAACGTCTTCTTTTCGCAGTGTTTTGGTCCTACACCTACCCGCTGTTGGAGTGTCTCCCATTCCGTACCCAGCACATATCAACTGCTATTTAGTATTTATGCTGGAAATTCAACTAAAAAAACGCCTTAAAGCAAGCCTGTTGGTTTTAGAAGCAGATAGCCGAAGTCCCCATTATTCTGCGAGGATTTTACGTACTCGTATCTCTCTGGCTCCACAGCAATGGGTACGTAATCGGAAACTTTTGCCGGACAATTCTTAGATGAACTCGTTTTTGATGAAGTAAATAGTTTACAGTATGTCGGTTCTGACTCGTAACACATATGATGATTGCTTTAGTTGTAGTTGTTCAAATTGACATTGACTTTGACCCTATTTTGCCCTCATATTTATGAGTTAGAAGATGAAAAGGAAAAGTGTGCTGGGTAAGGTGAAGAAAGTGAAGACTAAAACTAGCCATAAGCTTCACCTGCTTCATTTTCTTGCTGTAGACGGGAAAAGGACTGCCGCTGCCCACAATCGCACCAACTTTAATAATGCGGGAAAGACGCGGCCTTACACTTCTCCTTGCCTGTTTCGCGTGCCGCGTGACCTCAACGAAGAGGAAGAAAAAGAGACCAGAAATTACTTGGTACCAGAGACTGTGGCTTAACCAAATAGAGGCGCCGAAATTCATTTCAGACTTATTTCGTGGCTCCTGCATCATACTAACAAGGGCGGCTCACTCTAACTACAAAGTTATTGATAAGCATGAGATTGAGATATCTGAATCTAGTAGCTGCTGAACGCCACTCAGAGAAGAAATGCTTCCTCTCAGTAGGGAGTACAGAGAAATTCCTCGAACACAACACCGCATCGTGCACAACACCGCATCGTGTGATGTCTAGAAGGTTGACCAGTAGCAGTAGCCCTTGGTCTCTCAAGTATTCGAAGTTTGCGCTTCCAGCGCTTCCTGTATGTTGATAAATCTGCATGACCAATAGAAATAACATGGGATGTTCAACGTCACAACGTCACAGTCTCCCATACACAGTCATGATGCCCTTGCAAGCACTGCCTTCAAAAAAACATCCCACCCAATGGATTCTTCTTTCTATTAGAGTCGGCTTTTTTTATTCATCTCGGCCCACTTCTCATCTTGACCCCTTTCCCATGAAATACAAGGGAAAAGGGTATCGAGACGCCGAGAAAGATGCATAGAAGCTGACCTTAATTTTATGAAATTTGTCAAGTCCAGGGTTGTGCTTCTCCTCGTCGTACTTCTTTGGGTCTCTCAGTTGCCCCAAAAACGCATCGACCCTTGCTTGACCGGTACTAGAGGAGCCTGGCGCTGCTCCAGTCGTGCTGCTGGCGGTGGTGATTAGAACTAGAAATTGCAATTTTGTCAGCATATTACAGTACTAGATACTGACAGGTCGTGATTGATTGATTGATTGATATGCCTGACAAGAGGTTGATTTGGGAGAACTATTTGCAAGAATACCCGTTACAAGACGAAGATCACAGTTATAATGTATCTCAAAAGTGACGCAGTGTTCCTAAATTCATCAGCATGCTCGAAGAAGTTCCACCCGTGGTTGGGGCTTGTCGTGGTCCTGCGCCACGCCTCCGAAATGGGTTTTGTCTTACAGTTGCCGACGCCAAGGATGTTGCTCCCACGTTCTCTGTTGCCGTTGTTGGTTGTGGTTCAGGTATGTAAAGGCTTCTACTGTTCGCGCGGAGAGTCATCGTCGTATTATTCGTCGTGGCTGTTGTGCTTGTCACTGCACCACGAGCACCACTTTTGTTGACGGAAGTCGTCGTGGAGCTTAACTTTATTTAGAGGTAGGCTTTTGGTGTTCGTTTATCCCGCTTGTTATGGCTGTCCCCCTTAGGAGAGCCATAACAAACGATAACAAAAGCACCTTTAACCTACCCTTAATTTATTGCGCCATTTCCACAGTGTAAAGTCGTAGACGAAGAGCTGCTCACAGCGCTTGTTGATGTTGTTTTGTTCTCCTTCGGTAACAGATTCTCCTTGTTCAGCTCAAGAACATCTCCTACAAGAGGCGGCACTTGAAGCAAGTCAGCGGCGTTTTCTTGGATGAAGTCTCGCTCCTCTTGCACTTGTTGCTCTATTTTTTGCCCTTCAGCGTACCAAGCACGCATCGCCGCGAGCTCGTCTTGAAAAGTGAGACTCGGCGAATGCTTCGTTGGCGTAGAGAAGCCGGTGTGTATTGCTCCGAAGGATGTATTGGGATTAGAAAAGGATTTTTCAAGTAGGACTAGCTGGGGAGGAGGAGATGATCGATATTGATTTAAAAAACAAGGACTCTCTCGCTTTTGACCACGACTTCACAAAGGGATACAAACTTCAATGTACATCATTTTACTTTTCCTTTAGAAGGAGAGAGACTATTCATCTTGTTCTCGTCTATTCATCTTGTTCTTAACATTGCGTGGCTCAGCTGGGCGCATTATTCCTCCTGGAGGAGTGAATGAAAACACATGTTCTTCGGGAACGGGACCTTGGTGCTCCAGGATTGGTTAGAGGAATAATTTTCAGTTTTCTTCAAATCAACATAAGTACTTGTTCTCTCAGAAATATGATCAAAGATTCATCCGCACTAAAGATTGATTATAATCTTCGCGAACCTGCTCTCATCTTTCTCTTCCATCTATTATCGCATCTGTTATTGAATCTGAATCAAGGTAGTTTTCAAGATCAATCTGGTACTATCTCTTCAACTAGTAGTACAACGAACAAAGTATTTGTGCGATCAATCTGGTACTAATATCTCTTCAACTAGTACAATTTTTAAGTAGTTGTTTTATCAAGTCTCCTCCACTAGTACAGCTAAGTAGTTGTTTTATTAAGTCTCCTCGCATAGACAACTTCCTCTTTCCCCTTCGCTTCTGCTGCATTCGCTACATGCTTCATATGCATCCGCATGTTCTTGTTCTTGCGTTCTCGTAAGTACTTGAGCATTTTCTTCTCTGCTTGGTTCAATGGATCCTTAGGCCTTGGCTCCATCGTCTTTGGTCTCAGCTCACCCGCACACAATGCCGGCATTCTTAGACCTTACGGATATTCATCTTGAATAGCATGTTATTCTGCGTGTTATCGTTAATATCATCGGTGGAGCACTCCTAGCTAGCAAACAAAAAATCAAAAAGGTCAGGTATTCCAAATATCTAATAAAATTCTAGTGGCCACGTTTATATTAGGATCCGTCTATTTTAGGCGCCGCGCGTTCGTCCTTCTGCCCTGGAGGTCTTCTCATCTATATCTAATATCCTCTTTTTATAGAAAAGAAGCAAAGGGGCCAGAGATCGATGCTTCTTTTTAAGATGAATTAAATGGTAAGCCTTAACATTCGTCTCAGATCCAGTTTCCGCAAGTCGCCGCAGGCTCTGGTGCGGTCACTGCACCCAGGGAGCGATTGGATGACTTCAGGATCAGCCGATTCGATACCGAGTCTACGACATCTGCGTAAGGCTTCGGAGAAATGAGGGATTAGAAAAACACGTCGTGTAAGTCGAAATGTTGGACATGGAGGCGGATTAAAAGAATTCGAGGATAAATTTTCTAGGTTTTCTTGACAAATCTCATTACTGTAAGAACAAGCCAGATCGTATTAATAAATCGGAATCTACGTATTCCTACTCTTCAGTGAAGAAAGTTATAACAAAATACTGTACTATCTGCAAAGCGAGGGAATACTGTTGATAATTTCCTGCTTCGTCTCTGTTCTAGAAGTTCTTAACAACAAGTCTCCCCTCTTCTTGTCGAAGACGATGTGGTGGCGGAAGACACTGAGTGCTAGATGCAAGGCTTCCACAAAGGCCTTCGGCGCGCAAGGCAGCGGGAACTTCTTTACCACTACATCAAGTGCACGCTCCTTGAAGCAATGCGGATTAGAGGTGAAGACTGTCGTGTTCTATTTAAGCCTGCATTAGTAGAGCTCTTCATCTTCTTCTCTTGAAACGCGCAGTAACTAGTCTAACGACACAAGTTCTACGTCGTGCGGCTCCATCAAAAAGATCCTCCACGCCTTGTTCCATCAACCAGCGCTGCATTCATTTTTAATAGCGTGCAAATAAACACCATCCAACTGATCTATGAGCACCTTAAGAACAAGCTTTGCTGCAGTTCCGATAGCAAGGCCTTTGACGTGGACGTGAACTGTATAATCGCATCCGGAGAGAACGGCAAACGTCCGGAACATGTCCCAAGTCCAGGTTTTCATTAGGGATAGGTCAAACTTCAGATTCGGAACCTTAGCTTCTGGACGCTTGACGGCTTCTTTCTTCGGCTTCGGAGGTCTTTTTGGCTCCTGAATTGTGGGGACGTGGAGGGAGAGAATGAGGGAGAGAATCTCTGAATTTGAAAAAGAACAAGAATGTTTGAATTTGAAAGTTTAAGTTTCAGTTATTGTAGAAAAATACAGGACAAAAGCACATCCAAATACTGTAAGATGACGTTGAAGATCTTCTAGCATGATCTATGACATCGGAGGTTAGAAGACTCTACTTATAAACACCTTTTTCTTGGTTTCCTTCTTTGGTTTCGGTTCTTTTTTAGGCTTGGCTGCCTTTGCTTTTGGCCGTTTTTTCTTCGCGGCCTTCTTCTGAGCTTCTTCCTCTTCGATGATATCGAACACAGATTTTCCACGCTCCGGATCCCGGATCTCCTCCTCGACTAAAGCATCTTCCTCTCCTGCAACGTCCTCTCCTTCTTGTTTTCCGTCTTCCATGTGCTCCGTTGGGTCCTTGGCTTCTACTTCTGCGTCATCGTCATCATCTAAAACTATCACTCCAGCAGCATTGTCTTCGACACCACTTCTCGTCACTTTTTTTCTTCTCTCTTGTTCACGCTCGTACTCGCTGTCGCTAATTTGCTCTGGTAATGGACGCTTCTGGTTGGCAGATCCAGATGCAGATGATGTGGTACTTGATGTTGCAACTGCTCCTACTGCTACAACACCATCGTCTTCCGCAACATCACCCTCAGCTGTTCTTGAAGAAGAAGGAGCACTACTATAGCTTTGTGGACCACGTTCTCGTACAGGTTCAAGAACTTCTACGACCTCGTCTGCATCAGCTTTTGCCGTAGTGAGATCCTCGTCTCCAAAAAGGTCTTTTTCCATCGCATCTGCATCATCTTCGGCCTCTAGATTAGAGTAGGCTTTGCATTATAGGGTCCACCATTCAAGAATACATGGATGATATGGAAATGTATATTAAATATTGTTGACGTTGCTTTAAGAATAACGTCTCTGATTCTGCTTAGAACATGAGTAAGGATGACAGAAAATATAACCTAGACAACCTCTTAACATCAGCTGCAGCATCTTCCACATAAAACCTAGACAACCTCTTAACATCACCTGCAGCATCTTCCACATAAAACCTAGACAACCTCTTAACATCACCTGCAGCATCTTCCACATCCCCAAGAGCAGCATCTGCGTCTCCAGACATCCCCTCGTTTTCTTCTGCTAAAACAATCTCCCCACTAGGTTTCGTCCACGTTCCGTCGAGTACGCCTTCGACAATCCCTTCCTCTTGAAGCGAACTATATTCCGCAGAAACTGCACTCCCTGCATCGAGTACAGTGTCTACACTCTTCTGAATCAATTCCGGCACTTCGCGTTTGTTGCCGACACCGACAATGCTCTCCAATTCGAAAAGCTCTCCCTCTCCGTGCTTGTCCACCTTACAGAGCACCCGTGGACAGCCGTAGACGAAAAGGTCACTATCCTCGGATATAACGGCATGGAGATAGCCAATACGACATAAGTAAGCCAACTGCGCATCGGATTCATATGGTGCAACCATAAACTCGATGTTTAACTCTGGAGGATGAAAAGGGTCGTGAAAAGTTTTTGTATCTACTTCTTGAGTGGGAGGTTGCTGAGGGATGTTGAAGATCATACTGCTATGGAGAGAAGGCTGATTTTACCTTGTGGTCATCGGTTTACAACAGTCAGTACTGGTTCCCCCAGTATTGCAAAGGTAGGGCTAATCTTCATTATTCAAAATATCAAACATTAAATCTCTTTTTTCATCTCACAAGAACTACTTGCATGATTTAAATCATATCTCAATGCCGCTAAAATCCGCTCGATCATCTCCACGGAAATTTTGATCGCTTTAGTGGCATTTTTTTGGACATTGATGTCGAGAGCTGCTCTGCCGTCTCCTAGTTTCCTTGAGGCGTCTAGTACTTTATCTCTAGCTTCCTCTCGTTCTTGCCGACGCTTTGACGCCTCTTCTTGCTTTGCTGGAAGATCTTGCCCATCGAAGATAATGATGGGGATGATCTGTGTGGTAGAATTTCATCTGCGAGCCTCACTATTTGGTGGACAGTGGCGGACCAACGGACAAATCGAGGAAAGTATGAAGGTACTTAAGAGGGAACTATAGATCTCGTCTATTCCTCGAGAAAATGCCCGACACAAAACTATGCAAGCTTACCGAGAAGCAAAAACTTCCAGAAAATTGTACGTTATTCCACCGCGTCTCACAGACCATGTCAACATAGAGATACTATCTAACAACTAATAGTATCGTGGTAGTACCCCATTCCACAGCAGCATGAACACCATGTCCATGAAGAAGCGGACGAACTTATCCGTCTCCTTTCCAAGTAGTAGTTCGTAGGCACAAGCGACGGCCCCTCGATGCATCCAGCACATTGCATCGACTCCCACTCGCTTACCGGACCAGGAACGGTCGATTTGGTACCGCGTCTGCGCCATAGGACGCAATAGCTTGTGCAACTGTTTGATACCCATTTTGATTGAGTGTTCTACTTGTAGTTTTTGGACGATACTACTTATGCTGGTTATTACAAGTGGGTGAATAAGATTCTGCCAAGGCCAATGCGTAGAGGAAGTCGTGCAAGATGTTGGCTACTTATTAATATATGTTGCAGAGCGTCAACACACGGAGTTGTGCATGGGTAGCGGTTACAGAGTGCCTCGCAGACCGTTCTTGCCAAAGTTGACTCCCACTTTTTGGTATAGTATAGCGTTTTACAGGAAGCGTTGTGATATCTTCATAGGTAAAAATAGCTTCCAAGAGTACAAGAACGTGCCTTTTTTAGTGTTCTTGTAACTCACAGCGACATTTCGATGGTGTCGGTGGGACTACAGCTAGAGCGAACAAAGAAACAACTTCAGGCATTTGAACACGATGATTCGACATAAGTGCTTGAAGTAGTAGATGGTTCGTGCATCGTTATGGGAAAAAGCTATAAGTGAAAGTATTGAGGACACAGAGATCTGCAGTGACAAGACAGAGACCGATCATACAATACGCTCTTGATATTGGATCGTGACCGAGTTCATGCTGATGATTCATCTTGATGAGTGCAGGATGATTGAAACATATCGTTTACGATCCTCGACTAGGACAATGCCGAGGGGGTTCGACCGCGGTCTCGCAAAGTCTTCTGTTGAGATCGATGCGTGAAGCTAGCACCACCTCTTGCATCATGTACTAAATGCGGTTCGTTGCCTGTATTCTGAATGAAAGTCAAAGGTACAGCACATCAACATCATCTGAGTGATGAAAATCCTAAATATCAAGATTTTCTAGTAGTTCCGAAGTTTGTTCTTGTAATCGTAGCGAGCTCCTTCAATATGCCTTTACTGACTAGGTTGAAAATCACTCAACTCATAGGTCCATAATCATCCAAAATCACTCCCTTCATCGCTACTTCATTCTCCCAACACAGTATCCTGGACCGGGTGCCGTTGGGTTATGGACCACCTGCTCACCTCTGACGCGGTCAGCACGAACTCCATAGGGAAAATGAGGACTTTGGATTAGAAGGTGATGAATCTTGCCAAGAGCCAAGGCCAACAGTAAAACAAAGCTTTTTCTAATTATTTAATATGGTCATAAAAGTTGTTGCACTGTCGCTTTCGGCTTCCCGTGGTCTTCGGGTACTGGTTCCAAAGGGTGCCTCGTGTGTCGCACGAGTGTTGAGGCGCGGCGACCAGTGAAAGTTCGTGTCGCGTCCATAAACATCATTGGCATGTTCTTCTTTTTGTAGAGTTTCTGTCTAATGAGCCATTTCATCTTGTCTCCATCTACTGCCATCGGTGATACCATTTTACTTGGGTCTCGAAACTCAGGTACTGCGAAACGAACCATACGTAAGCCAAGTTCCTCACACACATGCTTGTACAAGAGAAAATCGGTCGAGAAATGAAGGGGGATGGTTTAATTCGGGCTCGGCGTAGACGTACTTAAACAAATGCTTCCACTAGTATTTGATGTGGTACTTGAAATGGTAGGAGTGCTGTACTAGAAATAGTAGTCGTAGTACACACTACTTGCTTACCATGGAAGAATTGGTGAACCATCAGGGACATTTAGATGAAATAGAAACAGGTACAAGGGACATTTAGATGAAATAGAAACAGGTCCTTAATTGTACAAATTTCGCATCACCCGCATACGCTTCGACAATAGCATCGACATGACACGACGGCCAGGTATGTCCTTTACGGTCTTAATCAGATGAGCACGTAGGTTCAGAAAATTAGACGAAGGGCTACTTGACTGCACCGGGTCCGGGAAAAAACCTCTCGTGCATGAATAATCTCCACTATATAAGTAGTTTCGATTCATTCACTCATTCCTTCTGTGCAGCTCGCAAAAAGATCTGCGTCGACTCCACAGTGTGGGCCTTGTTAACTCGAAGTTTTATCAACACAACAGAAAAGCCAGTGACAAACTGAGGAGCGAAGATAAATATGAGACAAAAGTCAAACAAGTGGAGGAGGAGGCGAAGAATTCTAGTTCTTTTTTTACAGGCTTAAAAATTTTCTCCGTGAGACATGCGATACGGACAGCTGGGCTGTTGGTGTCGAATGGTGAGACTTGAAACTTCTTGATCAACAACCTCTTTCGATATTGATGCACTTCTCTGCCGTTCGCGCAGTCCAGTTTCAGTAGGTTCTTCACGGCTTGCGGTAACGGTGTCACGTCGTCTTCGGTCAGTTCTTTGATGGGAGGTTAGAGAGGTAGATGTTGTGGCGAGCAGGAAAGTGAAGTAGGTGACGTACATCTTGTGTTATGAACTAATCAATCTCCTGAGTTAGTCGAATGGTGAAGGTGTAGAAATTCTGTTTCAGAAAACACCAGAAGCTCCAATCTCACTGATGCGTGTAAGTAGACAGAGTAAAACAAAAGGATGAACGCAGCAAACATGTTGTTTGCATGACTGCTACAAATTCAAGCATAGTTTTCTCAGGAGATCTGAATATTATGTTAAGCTCAGACATCGCAGCAGGCTATCACCATAATATGGTATATCACTCGCATTCCTTCCATCCTGGTCCTGTCCTGTCTCTACTATAGACGACCCGCGTCTTCCAGGTACTCGAGCTCTCGAAGCGAGGAATTCCTTTTCGCGAGCTATTTGCCAGTCTGAGCGTGGTGGCTTGCATCTGACAGGTCTTATTCCACTGTAGCGAAAAAGGCGATGGGTTCGGTACCCTTGACTGTGTGGATACCTCTTGTGCACATTTTGCGAAAGAGGGTGCTGCGGTGAGGTGATATGATCTACCGGCAAAGACGACGATGAAGTTGCGGAAATTGTTGTCCCAGCAAGAACCTTTCCTCCACCACTTAGGCAGGGACGTGCCCGGAAGGCATAGAGGCAAGTCGAGGGAGACGGCTGGAGATGCGACAACCTCTACTCGTATATGTTGGTTGCTCTTTTCTAGTGTCACAGCACCACAACTTTTTGACGATGTTCAGAGATTTTGGCATGAACAAGTACCTAGACCCATTTTCGTCTTGGTCTTCAAGCTCAAGATCGAAAGTAAAGGTAATTAAAAAGACAAAGAAACACTCGCGGATATCCACCGCGATCTTCAAGACTAAAAACAATCATTCTCGTGACGACGAAAATTTTGAACACCGTAGCAGGCCGAAATGTTGTACGAACAAGGTATTACTCGAAAGCCAGACCTATCATATCACAAAATCCATTCTCAAACTTCGTCCAATTCTTATCCAGCATGACATATCCTTCCAACATTCTAAGTTTCTCGAGTATTCACAACAAACTACAATCAGGGACTACTTGCAGTTGCAGGACTAAGAGCCACTCTTGTAATTTCAGCTCCTCCTTGACCACTGCTAACCTGATGAACCAGGGTGTTGCCCGAGGATGGGGCGTCACTCGTACCAGCCATCGCATCGCGTCCAGCTTTTTGCTGTTTCTCCTGCACAACAGTAAGGCCACCAGTTCTCTCCGTTGCAATGGGTACAGGCTCAGCTGATGTCTCAGTACTTGGCAGTTCGGGTGCGATGACTGGCGCTGCACTTCTACCGGCTACTCCACTTGCAGTTGAATCGTTTCTCGAAGAAGAAGCGCCAGGACCGCTAAACAAAATACCACGAGCGCCTAGATGAAACACCACAATCAGAATCACGACCAGCACCAGAGACACGCCAACGAGTGCACGAATAACTGGGAACGGTCGCCGAATTTCCCCGATATCACTGCTGGTTGTCCTAAACTGTGTTCCAGGACTTGCCGAAAGGAACCGCGAAGAAAACCAGTCTCGCAAACTGCTCGGTACAAGAGAGGTGAATATACCAGTTTTTAGAAATGGTGAAGAAACTGCGGATTTACTGTAGCTTTCTTCATACCATGACTTCTTCGACTAAGTATTATCCAGAAAAAATGATCTTCAGTGTATTTTTATCAGCGCACCCCTTCATAATTTTCTAGATCTTTTCACGATCGGATTGTGGGCGAAGTCGCTAAGAACCGGATTGGTCGTGATCTTACCGTTCTGAAAAATGTCACCCACTTCTTGCACGACCTCATTTCCTTCTGCATCGATGTGGCGCAAAACGACTGGTGTTAGACGAGGCGGGATGAAATTACTTACTTTCACTTTCAGGTTGTGCTTGTCGCTCTAGTTCTCGTACTAGCAGTGGAAATGCTAAGTTATGTAAAGTAAAGGGCGAAAGCCTCTGAAGCAACAAGACCTTCCATAACCACGATCGCTGATCGCCTTCTTCTTGAAAGGGGTCTATTTCTTGCCGACGAAGCGCCTCTTCCCACACCTTGCTGCGCCAATTTTCAAATTCAGGATCGAATTTGATCCCGTCTAGATTCTCTTGTTTCAACAAGTCAGACGCCAGTTTCTCGATCCGCAAACCAAGTTCGATGTCCTGTTCTGCTGTCTTTCGGGCTTCGTCAAGTCGCGGTTTCATAGAAGTAGTTTTTGACGAGGAAGGTGTTATAAGCGGACCAGGAGAGCTTATGTTGTTCCATGATGTTGAAGAAGCAATATCAGAAGTACTGCTACTGCCCTTATTGTAAACATTTGCACTACTAGTAGTCCAATTTTTATCGTTTTCCTTAGGAAGCAGTCGCTCATTATCACCAGGTGTTGAATCCCCCTCACTGGATTCTGCAGAGTTTAGGTGCGAAAAACCAAGATGCATTTTAGGAGATACTGTAGTACTGGTGTGTTGGGGCATTAGAAGAGGTAAGACGGTCGACATGCTCGTCGCAACATAATCATTCAAGATGCTTATCTTGTAGAGCCGCTTGAGACAGAGGCGAAACTTTCTAGTTCGAGTCCTGAAATTAGACATACACATACTTCTGTTCTATGTCCTAAATCATACATCCTATGTTTAAGGCGCGCAACTGTCCCGTACAGTGGATGTAAATTTCTAACGCCTTAAAGACATGCACTGCTCCTTTTCTTCACCATCTTCAGCATCTCACCCTCCACCTCCATCTGCTTCCTGAAGTGCTAGTAATTGAACGACGGGACTCTCTTTTGCGATTTGGATGAGATGTTTGTCCAAATTTTCATCATTATCGAGAGACATTCGAGATGAACCAACGTTGAGAATTCGAAGTCAATGAACCATTTACATAGCGAAGGTGGACGAGGTTGTATGATCATTTACTTCTACGTCTATGAAAAGAAAAACTGCTTTCCTTCAGCACAGGTAATTCTTAGCCGTTCTTCTGGAACAGGAGATAGTAATCGGTAAACGGAAAGTTTATAAGTAACTGGTGTACTTCTAGTAGCTGCACATGATAGATTGCCATAATCAACAGTAACTCTGTAACGTGTGCTAGATCTCCACGCCATCTTGTCCTTATTCAAGGCACCAAAAGGGAGGATGGCATACAGAGTTGCTTCACTCTTCAGCTCGCGTTCGTCTCTCGACGTCACAGATATCTAGAAGTCAAAGTGCAGTCGAGAAGTAGAACCAAATACACAGACAGAAGTTTACACATCCTGAGCGAGGGTCAACGAGAAGATCCACTGTAGGATGACGGTCGGAGGAGGAGGTAATGTGGAATCAAAATCAAGCATGTAGTACTACCTACTACTGCATGTTGCGCAAAATGAAGGAATGCGAGCGAGGTGACACCAATTATGTTGAACACTTAACATCACTAAATACGAATATCAGGAAAATATTGATCATCTTCTATATTATGAGGACCTGAAGTTGAAGAGAGAAGACAACACTACTGAATTGAAAAATTCGCTGCGCAAAACCAAAATCTTCAGCATAAAACTTCTAGCACCATCAAACCCGTCATCAAATCAATAAAGTTTCTTCGAATAATACAAGCTACACCGTTTGTAGATTCGATGGTATACGCGATGTCGCTTGTTTCGGACGTAATAAGCCGCACACCCCAAGGCCATCAGACAACCTACGAGGCATATCATAGCAATGACAGCTGGAAACATGCCAGGCGTTTCTTCCATTCCAGATGCCATTAGACGAGATGAGTTGTAGGTATAGCTGAAGGACATGAACAAGAATGTCTTGTCTACTGTAATATAACGAAACGCCATAATTTCAAGTTCATGCCGAAGATCCCACTGACCAGCGCACCGAAAGAGAAGACTACAGCTACCACGTCCAATGTAACCTCCATACGTAGTAGTTGGTTGCGCCTAGCGTCCATACTCGCTTCCAGAAACTTAGACGTCTCGTCGATGGTTTTTAGCAATTCGCCTATTTCGGAGGATAATTCGCGGGACTGTTGTTTGATTAGAAGTGGGACTCTCACATTGTGAAGGTTGTGGAGGGTTTCAGCAGCAGCTAGGCCTCTTCTAGTATAGATTCATTTCATGATGTTCATGTTTAAGTTTATCACGATGAAACGATCAAACAAAAAGAAAAATACTTCTACTTGCAGTACCTCCAAAAACCAGTATCGGCAAACGTCTTCCGTGCCAGCAAATGATCCGAGTTGTTGTTCTTCATCTTCCCGTTCATGGTATCCGGAAAGACCATTGTTAGAGCTGCCGCGTGGCATCCCCGAGCTCTCCCTGGGCCCTCTTCCCTGTTGAAAAAGAGGCCAAGGATGGCGCTGAGGATGCTTCACCGGTACTAGCCTTAACATTGCGCAATTTGCTAACCTGATCTTGGATTTCCCGTAGAGCGCTTCGTAAGGGAAAAAGTCTCAATATAGACTCCTCATCGGCGCTAGCAACTATGTCTGCTAAGCTGCTTTCGATATGCGTCGCGAGAGCTGAAAACTGCGTTTGCAGCAGTTGAGTGGAAGCGCAGACAAGAGCCTCAAGGATGAAGGACGCAAAATGGAACGAACTATTGTTCTGGAGGTGTGATGCAGGGTCTTCTTCTTTGTCTCGTCTACCTTGTTCAGCAGCACACGGTGAAGTAGCGGAACAAAGAAGTTCCGGAGATGAGCTGTCAGTGTAATCAAGGGGACTTCCTGTGGCGCATGCGATATTTTCACAGGTTCCACGATGAAGATCGGTTTCTGAGCGTCTCTGCCGTTGGTGACCTCGCTTGAATATCTGCTCAAGCTCGCAGAGAAAAAGACCGAAGAATGAATGAATGAACTTATTCGGAATGAATGACGCACACACACACACACACAGGAGAACAAGAGACCTCCCAAGTCAGTAACCCATTCGAGTGACAACTTCATCTTGTAACCAACATTGGACCAATTGTTCAAGATGGCAATCCTGAAAAATGTCGATAACCCTCCGTCATACCAAACAAGATTCGTTCCCTCCATGTTGTACGGTCAGTTTCGTTGTTGAACTGGAAGATGTTGGAGTCGAGCTGGAATGTTAGAGAAGGAAGGTGAATGATCATTATAGGGTAAGATTGGCGACAAACGCGATACACAGTGAGACTGATGATGTGAATCTATTCGGCAGGTTGCCTAAGACCACTTGAAGTTTTCCAAATGGAAGCCACGAAATGGAAACCCTTACTATTGACTGACAAGCACAACTCGTGCTGGTTCTAGTTGTGATTGTGAAAAACTAGTAAATTTACAATAAAGTATTGCCTACAGCAGCAGGATGTGCCATAACTCGTACTGTATGTCGTGGAAGGAAAATGACAAACCGGAGAGGGGGCAAGGAAAAGAGCGCGCCTCGGTTCCAGCACACAGCGCGTAAAAGCTGTCCGGACGCAAAGGGTCTTGCAGCTACCTTCTGCATAGCAAAAATTAGAATGAGCGTTGGTTAAGAATAAAAAGTCGCCTTTCACATAAATCCAAAATCAGCCGAGGGAAGCCGCACGATTTATTACTGTTAGATCAACCTCGCATTCCTTTTCCTGCTGAGTAGTACGCAAAAAAAGTTAAGTATAAAGAAGGCTTATGTAATATGCATGGATGTGGATGCATGAGCATCCTTATCATAAGTAAGTCGAAGTCGTCGGCGAAGTCTAGTAGAAATCGGAAGTCGTGCCATTCTAGACCTGATCCTGACGCTGTGGCTTCAAAGGGTGAGCCGGCTCGTTTTTCACCAGCAGCAACATCAGTCGAAAAAGATTCTGAGCTTTTCGTTTAGATGAACGCGCAAAGAAGTCTAATAAGGTAAAAGTAAACTGTGCTTATACATCTTGAAGAATTGTCCTTTATTGTGAGAAATAATTTTAATTGGTGTTGATGAAGTGCTCGTCAAGCTCCTTGACAGCGACCAACACCAAAGCCATAAATCATATCCTTGGTAGATGGTCCTGGCCCACTGGATGAACTCTTGTTCACTATCCTGGAAGAACTGGGGTTGTTACTAGGGTACAACTCTAGGTGAACTGGGCTGGCATCACGGAGACTTCTCGCAGTTGTCTTAGTATGGCATTGGGCTCTCGTTGGGAGACAACTCGCAGTATCTCTTCTATCATGGCTGCAGTGGGGATTCGTTGGCGGCGAGGATGACGACGAAGTGCATTCCACGTTGATATTGTCGTGTTGGTGGTGCTCTCTTGACGTTGATGATGACGACGGCGAGCAGGAGTAATCTTCGACCACGCAATCTTCAACCACGGCAACTGCTGCTTCATCTGTACTTCTTGCTACTTTCTCTCTTGTAGAACCGCTTCCTCGTTCTCGTCCTCTGCTTCTTTAGAGCTTCCCATTCACAAGTTTCAACAAATTTACGTAAATCTATAATAGAATCTATCTTTTTCCCAATCCAACCATGCATCTTCACCATTACGTCCTTAAGATTTTTTGACTCCACTTTTCCACAGGTCGAATATGTGACGAGGTCTCTGAGAACCTACAGATTCGAAGGACAACACTTTGCCCACCTCGACAATGTATGCTGCTATTTTCATGCGGTCGTCTGCCTGCGCGGTCATCTGCCGAAAGGGTTAGAGGAAACATATTAAGTCACAGTCACCATCTTCAAAGAGTCTAGTGGTACCGAGCCAAAAAAAAATAAGGCAAGTAGCACAAAACATGACGACTACACTAAGGATGTTCTTAAAGAAGGGATAAGGATCTCGTCCCAGCTGCTATGGTCTCCGGATTGAGACCTTCGGAAGATAAATGCCGTTCCCCACGACCAGCAAGCAAGGGACCGGATAGCATTTTTTTGATCTTGCATTGAATTATTCACTCAGGAACTGGAGATGTAAGTACTACCTAAAAAGAGGATCGCCATCACTCCCGTTCAAAGGAGTCCTTACTTGATGATGTAAATGTAAATCTATTCGGAAATCTGCTTAAGATTTCCCTGAAGCCAAGACTTCTTACACGAGTTGCCAGCGCAATTTTCAGAGAGTACTACTACCGATGTTTTCAGCGAGAAGACTCATGCTTCTCGGGAGAAAACAGATCGACACAACTAGTAGGCACCTCCAGGTCCTGGACCCCAGCAAACGAGCTGTAAGCCTACTTTCTTCCATAGAAATATTTATGGAAATGACCTAGTATTGTTTTATTTTTTCCCAGTTATTGTTCTAAATTTCTGCTCTTATTCTTGATGTTGATCAGCGTCTGACTCCTCAACCTTATGCTTTTGTTCAATAATATTCCCGGTTCCAGATCTAATCTTTTGCATTGTTTGCCGGCGCGTTACTATGTAGTATATTCCATTCATTCTAGATAGATCGAGAAAGTCTCGATGCATTTGCATATACGCATCTTGTTCATATTCAATTTCTTTTACTTACGTAATGTTGTCGTCGAAATTCATTCATTATTATGACGCAGAAATGTTAGTACTTAAGTTAGTTACACGTCGTGAAGTAAGAAGAGATAAATATTTTGCATACAACGTCAATATTTTGAATAAGAAAGTATGTATTTCTTGTGGTCCACCAAGTCGAGAGTAGTAATGCAGATTACAGACTGTAACTATAATTAATTGGTCCCCGCAAATTCGCAACGGTATACATGTATAGTTATGCAATTGAAATATCCATGCAGTTTACGTCTAATAAATTGACAATATCTATGCAGCTTACGTATTTCAAGCCGTATTCATGTCATTCATGTCATATCGTCATGCATTTAGTCTACCATACTCTGTGCCTCAGCATTTCACCATCCATTGCGCCTCAGCATGTCGCCATTCTCTGTGCCTCGTCAGCATTTCATGATCCTCTGAGATCAACATGGTGATCCTCACCTCTACTGAGAGGATCCTCTTAGGTTACTACCTCTACTGAGATCTAGTCTATCCTTTTAGGGTACTATCCTCTTAGCGTACTCAGTCATTGTTCTCTCTCTAAGTACCTTTCTCAGTACGTGCCAAAGCCTCCACATTGCCTTCGCTCTGCAGTTACTATTTCTTCAGCGAAGAAAAATATCCGCCCATCAATCCAGTCATGCAAATCAAAGACGGTAGTATCCAAAGCGCCCTGGTTAGGGTGATGATGATGATGATGATGATGATAATGATTTTACCCACACTCACTAGAGGTGGTCCTATACTAGATAGGGTAGGAATTGGGTGTTTGTATATTTTCTACATAGGTAATTTTAGTTAGTTGTAGTTCTTGCAACAGGATAGGACGCGATAGGATAGGACGCGTTAGGATAGGACGCGTTAGGAAAGGTTAGGATAGGTTAGGAATAGGATAGGTTCGGGAATAGGTTAAGGAATAGGTTAGGGAATAGGCTAGGGAATAGGTTAGGGAATAGGTTAGGGAATAGGTTAGGTTAGGATAGGTTAGGATAGGATAGGTTAGGATAGGTTAGGATAGGTTAGGATAGGTTAGGATAGGTTAGGATAGGTTAGGATAGGTTAGGATAAGTTAGGATAGGTTAGGATAGGTTAGGATAGGTTAGGATAGGTTAGGATAGGTTAGGATAGGATAGGTTGCGTGCTTCTTAGTGGTCGTCCATTATAGGTTGCGTGCTTCTTAGTGGTCGTCCATTATATTTGGGATTCATATTGAAGATTGAGATTGACTTGAGATTCATTTGGATAATTGCTCGGAAAGAAGAAGGACCACCTCCAACTTGAAACTCTTACAGCAAGAATAGCTAACTAACGAGTATTGATAAGAATGATAATTGAAGGAAAATAAAGAAGTACGTCATGGTGCGAAACCCGACTTCCAGCACCGATGGTCGGACGCATTCCAGAATGACGATCACGAGATTCACAGCCACCGCGGTCCACACAAGTCCAGTTTTCTTAGAAGAAGTTGTAAGAGCAAGAGATTTCTCCAAGAAGAAGAGAGAAGTAGTTGAAGACTTGTAGTTCTGTAGTTCAAGAAAGTTGTAAGAGACAATTTCTTGAAGAAGTGCAAATCAAACACTTCATCTTCAAAAAGAAGCTGTGAAGGTGCCTGTGGTGCTGACTAATCTCTAGCTCACCATGTCAGATCTGCACTAATCTCTACTAGTTCAAGAAGCATGTAGTTGCTCCCTAGGTTCATGAATGTTCACTGGTAAAGTAAGGTCTTGAATGTTTACTAAAATGTATACGACTCAGGGCCGAACGGCCCCCCCTCCCCCCCCTGTGGTCTGGTCTGCGGTGGCGCGCCCGTGCGCTTTTCCGCGCGGATTTTTCGCGGATTCTAGTGGTGGAAGGCGTCAAAACTTGGCGCGGGCCTCCCCTAGGGCCTCTCAGCGTGTTCTTAAGGGCCACGGTCGCAAGAGCAGGCAAGCCCATGACCAAGGGCCCGGAGGGTGCAGGCGGTACGGCTCAGGGGGTCCAGCCCCTCGGATTTTGCCGCCTTCAGAGGCCTTCCGTTGCCGGTGCACTGCTGCGGCGGCGAAGCCTAACGGATGCACCGAGGGCACAGGCAGGCACCTGGCCGGGGGCGCAGGCAGCCCCTTGGGCCCTTTTTGAAGCGTTCCACCACCATCGGAGCCCCCTAGGGAACAGCCAGGCAGCTGGAAGGGAGCAGAGGAAGGAGCCTGAAGACCAACCGCGCACTTACACCATCTAACCCCTCAAAACTGTAGGGTACATGCAAACGAGAAGAAGGCAGCCCCTTGGCACCCCCTTGAGGCCTTCCACCTACTTCCCAGGCCTCCATGGGACCCAAAGCTCCGGGAAGGGGCCAGGGGTGGCCCCTTGGCCCCCTTTTGAGGCCTTCCTCCCCCGGCAGACGCCTCAAAAAGGGGCCCAGGGCGCCCGCCCCCCCCCGCTAGGGGGGGGCGTCGCCCCGCGCCCTGGAACATATATTTAAAAGGTGACTAATTGTCCAGGTTGTGCTGCCCGTGGTGGTGGTCGTGCGTGATGTCCTCCTACTAAGTAACCCTATGTAATCTAATTGAAGATGCATCTAATCTTCTGACATAGGGGAACTTTTACTCTTTGGAGGAAAAAAATATTTTTTCTTCCTTTTTTTCTCTAACAAACACTAACGCATACACATGACGTTGCTGCGAAGAAGAACCAGATCTCTCATCCGAAGATAACAATAGATACTGGCAAGAACTGAAACCCAGTACGCACCCGAAAAAAAGTTGTACTTCGTGCCTTCTAGTACTATATTATCAATGATCGCCTATCATTGATCATTTATACCACCAACACGTCTCTACGAGTTATAACCAGTGAAACAATACGAGAAGTTGGTGTCCTACTACGACAAGATCAAGAAGTTGTTCGTGTTCCCCCTCCGACCATAAAGTTCGAGCCGGAGCCTCCCATCGGTCTCATCGGGCCACAGCACCCGCAACATGCGATAATTTGGCAAAGCACGATCGAAACCACCATCAAAAACATGATCGACCACTAGAGGAGTTGTTGATTGTTGCTTGTTGATTAGGATAGGATAGGATAGAATAGGAAGATAGGATAGGAAGCTCGTGAACAAAGTACAACTTAAACAAATTAACATATTAACAGCGTAGCTTTCCTAAAGTCAACATCTTCATGTTTATCTTTTTTAACAAGGTTGCGAAGAATAATTGTAATACGCCATATGATGAGTCCGATGCCAAGCTCGCGACCTGGTCGAATACAGCTTGAGGGTCTTGAGCCGAAGAAGACTCAACAAAACTCGTTGCGCATTGGTTAGAGAGATTAGGTTAGGCTTAGGTACAATATTGTTGGTGGAGCATATCTAACTAGAAAAAACAAAAACCGGAAAAAGAAAAGTCAGGCAAGAACTTATCTACTACTAACTAAGCGCCGGCGCTGTCGTGGTCCTGTCAGCCCCAGAGGTCTCACCTTAGGTACAGTATTAGTATTATATTTATAGTGTTAGAAATTATTCTAAGACCAAGATTTCTCCTTAAGGGGGCCTCCTTAAGGGAGTTAAAGAATTTCTACTAGAGAAATCTACTATAGGGCTCCCTTAAGGGCAAAAAATGACCCGCAAGGGAGCTCCTTACTTAAGAAGCCCCTGTAATAAAATTGGGCTAATATTAGGCCCTTCCTGAAGGGCCACCTATTAAGGGCTCCCAGCTCCACTTGCTAGCTTAGCCATGGCTAGCTAGCTCGCTGCTTAGCCATAGCTAGCTTGCTAGCATCGCAAGAAGATGCCCCACTTGCTAGCTGCTTAGCCATGGCTAGCCTGCTAGCTGCTTGGCCCTAGCCAGCTCGCTAGCTGTTTGGCCATGGCTTTGGCTAGCTTGCTCCTGGCTGCTTAAGAACCATAGCGGGCGCGCTTGCTGTTTGGCCATAGCTAGCTTGCTAGCTGCTTAGCCTTGTCTAGCTTTCTAGCTGTTTAGCCAAATAGCCAGCGCGCTAGCTGCATAGCCATTGCAAGTTTGCTGGGTTAGCTATATTAGCCTGCAGGCGTGCCGAATTGACGCTAGCTCAGCCGCTGCCAGCTTGCTAGGTAGCCTAGCCATGGCCACCCTGCTAGCACCTTAGCCCGGCATGCCTAGCCTGTTAGCCTAGTCACGACCAGCGCGCTACCTAGCAGCCTAGCCACTCCAGCTGGTTTTCTTAGCGATAGCTAGCCAGCTGGCTTAGCAATGGCCGGCGTCCATGCCGGTGCATTCTAAGCCAGCCGCGCGTCTCTAGCTTGATGGTCCAACGGCTTGCTTCGTTTGTCTTGTATCTGTCTACTTGCTAAGCGCTTACCTATGCCCAGCGCAGCGGGCCCTTGATGGGCCCGCTTTCTGGGCATGTATCAATATGCTACAGAGGGAGAGCAGACTACATATCATACTTGTAGGAATACGATAACGCTTTTGTTGATAATCTCAACAGAATCATTGAAGGAAGCAGAGTCTTTCTAGAAGCAGAGTCTTCCGAGAAGCAGAATCTTTCTACTTACCACAAATTGACTGACTGTCGGATTGATATGACTGGCCAGAGAGGTGTTGCTCGTCTCAGTCGACCAGAAAAAACAATTCACCATCATGCATCTCTAGTGGCCATCTTGACTTCTGCCATGATTGGCGAGGTGACGTGAGATAATACTAAAAAAGAATAACTACTAGTGCCAGAAGTTTTTCACGTTAGCCAGGAAACACATCTGTCTAACTGTGTTGGGTCATGACTTTGACTTTGACTCCGTATATGTTAGGTAATCAGTGTGAGAATGACTTTGATGACTCCGTATGTGTTAGGTAATCAATGTGAGACTGAGAATGTGAAAATGAATGACTTTGATGTAGTATCATCAGCCACACGGACTGCTCTGTAACCATGAAGGTATTCACCACCAAACAACCAAAGTCTTTCTATGCTGGTGGATGCCTTAATCTTATCCAACAGATTTCCACCAGGAACAACTTGTCCAGCACCGAATGCTGCTGCATGCTGCTTTCGCATTTTTTCTAAAAACGCGCCTTGCTTTTCTCGTGCAAGGTCGCCAAGATTCATAGCTTGCGCTGCACCGAGCTGATCATCAGGTGTTCTTAGAAGTGTATAGCATCTTAGTTACTTAAGGAAATTATGATTATCTATTACTATTATATCACCCTACTTTTTAAGGAGAATTAGGAGAATGATGAAGAATCTTGATGAGTACTTACTTGGGTTAGGTTAGGTGTGGGCCTACCAGGAAAACTGGCAGACATGCGTGGCTGCTGAAGGGCCAAAAACAAAGCTACGCCCTAGACCTGGTGGCGCTACGCTAAGTCCTAGTTTCTAAGCTATACTCGATCGATCACCGTCTGTGAAGGGCCGTGTGCGGTCCCTTTTATAATTTTTCATGATAGTACTTTCGCCTTAAGAAGTTCGCCTGCAGCATCGGGGTTCCACGCATATTCGGGTGTCCGTGTTGATGAATTAGATTTAAACCCAACATCAAGAACATACTAAATTGTATATTTTTCGTCTCGCTCCTACGTGAGTAGAAGCAGAGATCCGATCTGTCAAATCAAAAACTTCTTCTTGCTTTGGAAAAGTGTGTGCATGGGTCGTATATGTATGAATTGGATTAAAGTAGATCATACTCTACTTTTATTCTTCAACAAACTACGCTATAATATTACAACGAGCTAGCAAAGACATCAGAGATTCCATCTTATTTAGATGAATCACAACTAGCGTAGGCGTACTGTCATCAAGCGGCCTGTCAGATGTTGTATTTGTCTTCAAATATTCTGATTAACAAGTGCGAGGAAGAAAGGTTGCAACAGAACGCTCACATCAGATTGGTACATAAAAGAGAGAGCTAGAAGAGAATTTAGCTTTTTATTACAAGGTGGTTGCCAACCTCCTTAGTTAGATAGTCAACAATAAAAACCATTGCACAGACATAGAAGAGGGAGTGAGTGAGTGAGTGAGTGAGTGAGTGAGTGAGTGAGTGAATGTGCCTAGCGCGATGTGGTGCAACTTGTTGCGTCTTATGTCGCAGCCCGACAAATTTGTCTACTTTTCACTGTAGTACACTAATTTGTGGATAAAAAAGCTGAAGCAACCGAGTATCCCAGCGGATAATTCCCTATCTAAGATACTCGGTTACTTCAGGTAGCTACTCGCATATTTCAAGATTTCGAATATTACATGAAGGGACTTGTAAGTTACGTAGTTTACTTGTAAATATGTAGTGTGGGCCGTAATCCCCGTTGCGCGGCCCTCATCATGTTCAGACTGTTGGCAGCTTCCGGCGTAGTAAAAACAGCATGAGCCGCTGCTATTTGGAGGTGTAGGGTCATCTCGACACAGATTTTTATCGGCAACATCACGTCCATTTTAGAGGAGGTAGCAATAAGACGAGCAGGACGAAGGAGTTATTAAAGGAGCTGAGAACAACTTCATCGAGACCACTCGTGTTGGTATAGGATTTTTCTTTATTCCAGCCTTAAACATAGCAATGTTCCCGAGAGCAACAATGACATGCCACCCACTCGACTCGGGTTTTTCGTTAGAGCAGCTTTACTTAGTAGTTAGACTAGTTGAATGCTTTCGTATGGTCCCTTGAGCAAAAACGGCTACGCGAGTTGGATAAGGTTAAGGTGAAGGTTGAGGGTCCGCTGCACCACGGCCAGGCCGCATCGGCTGGGACGATTCGGGTTCGAGTAGAACCACCTACGCGAGTGGGGTACAAGGATCATTATCATCTGGAGAAATGTATATGAAGATACTTATAATATATGCGAGTAGGCTACAAGAAAGGACTGCTTTGATATGTATGATCATAGTGGAGCCCTCCTCGACGAAAGCGAGGTAGATTGACTGCAAGAAGCAGGTTTAGGCCAAGTATGTCTATGTTTGTAGCTTTAGCCCCGTCAGTAGAATGGTTCAGCCTTCTCAGCATTATCATTATGAGAAGGAGAGACGGATATCCACAGATAGCCTTGTCAGCAGAATCATGATAGCCAAAACTTAGTTCCTTGTCAGTAGAATGATAGGCAACAGAGCTTCTACCCATTAAATGTAACTAACCTCTTCGGCCTTAGAGCTACTTCTTCTACCAATCGAGGAGAAGTACTAAGAAAAAGAAAACGTTATGTCATGTGTATGGTTTATAGTCGTGCATATGCATAATGGAGACATCCATTTGCAATGGGGCTCCCATGTCCCCTCCTTCTCCTTCCTCACCAAAAAACCTGGGTTAGTGAGAGCATGACGTTCATTTCTGCATTCATTCATTTGACTAGTACGAGGTAGTGTGTCGGGTGAAAGTTTTGCAGGGGGAGTAGGGTAGAGTAAGTGCAAACTTATTGCGCAATGTCTGCTTTCAGCACTTTTATTTTCAACATGTCCTGTATGTATGAAGACACTAACACTTTTTTCACGGTCTCATCGTATCACGATCACCAGAATGAGGCTCAACCTCAGAGGTTGTTGTTGAAAAAGATTGATATATCATGAGGCTCAACCTCAGAGGTTGTTGTTGAAAAAGATTTTAATGCCAATCTTCAAGACTTTTTCTTCATCAAGACAGGAAATAGAAGAGTTCAACAATTATATCAGGCCAAGCAACTACAGCCTTTCTTGGTACGACTCTATTTTCATCGACCAAAATCATTCTTCTCCCATCACGAAATATAAAAACAATATGATCTACTTGAGGTACTAACAACGTGAACTTTCAACTACACAAACACGAAATAGTAAGAGTACAGGATCGCATTGCTGTGGTTCTCGGGTCCTTGTACCAGAGGCTCCTTCTCTGGATCTTCTTCGAACTTTGCGAGGTCGGAGTTCTTACTGGGGGAAGTAGCGACTTACTTTAGCGCTAGTTTTTCACTAACACTATCCCTGGTGGATTGAGTACTAACACATATCACCTTCCTACTTGGTTTCCCCTTTAAATCTAGTTTTGTTCCCCTTGAGTTTCCCTTTTTCTTTTTGTTCCCCTTGCCAAGGCTTGGTCTCTATGATCCATAGGGAAGCAGTAGAGGACTCCGCTCAGCACAAAACTCCACAACCACATACGGTTTGTTTCCCCTTTAAAAAATCAACATCAAGTGAGACGAGGACCGACTCCACTCCGCATATGCATACTCCTCTCAGGATCATAGTGAAAAACTAGCCTTAAGTAGGGCTTCCTTTTATTGGCCTTGTTGATGGCCGCGGAAGGACTCAACGAGTGTTCCATCTTTCTTGTTTTGTGCTACTTGCGACCGTGCACAACTACAAATGACGACGTTAGTCGGTTCGGATTGGACCTACGACTTCCCTCAGTACAACTACAACTATTTTTTGAGAAATTGTTTCAGATGAAGCAGTACGCCTGCAAGTATTTGATGGCCTTGTCTTTCAGAAGAAGTAAGATGTTCAAATTGATGTCGATGTCCATCTCTAGTTGTTGCGCCACTACTCTAGGAGAAGAAGGCGATGACGATGATGACTCTACTGGTGCGTTTAGTTACGTATTCCAACTGCTGAAGCTGAACAAAGTCTAAGACAGTGTTCAGTTAAAATCTAGTCGAAGTACAAAAACGGGTGATGACGTTGTGTGTGAGGAAATCGTGGGAGCCAGATGAACTGAAAACGGACCAGAAATTCATTTGCGCAAATGTGAGGTTCCATTATACTCTACTAGAAAGATCTCAACCATGACCGAAGGACAACGAAATGACAGACAGACCTTGACGAAAACTCAATCCGAAAATGTTTATCTCGTTCTCCACAACGAACCGATACCGAAAACCCTTCCTCGACACATTCGGCCTCGTTCTCCACAACGAACCGACAACCCTTCCTCGGCACATTCAACAAACGGAACAAAAACAATCATCTACTCCGAGATCATAAGAATCAAGATGGACAACACGGACAGATAGTAGCAGTTTCTGACGACAGATAGTAGCAGAGACCAACACTCATTAGAGGTCTTGGACACCAGACAGGTAGTAATAGCATGTTGCCTACGGAAAGTCCATACTATTTTGACATTGACGAGATTAAGCAGAGCATATTTGCGCAAACATTTGCTCTTGCCCCAGGCGAACTGGAGGACAGAACTAGACGATCATCACCGGTGTGTTCTTGCCATCCCATAATAATGTGTGTGAAATAGGCGGCGATTGAGCAAACATTAAGAGCTAACCCTGCACTTCTAGAACATGTATAATCTAAACGAACACAACGTAGTTAAAAGAGGAGAGAAGAAGAGGGAGGAAGAGGGAACAGTTCAAAGACCAATACAGAGGAGCGTGGTCACGGTGGTAGGCTAGCGCTCGAGGCCGATAGAGCTTCGACGTTCGTACAATTTATTCATTATTTTAGACCTTTTCGCTCCTCTTCGATCATGAGGCAAAGGTGTTCGCTTGCTATTCTCATTATAGGCGAGCAAGAAGATGTTATGGCGAGCAAGAAAGTGAAGTAGGTGACGTACTACATCTTGTGTTATGAACTAATCAATCTGAGTTAGTCGAATGGTGAAGGTGTGCTAAAAATTCAGGAATATTGTTCTTAGAAGATCTGAATGTTATGTTAAGCTCAGACATCACAGCAGGCTATCACCATAATTTGGTATATCACTCGCATTCCCTCCGTCCTGGTCCTGCCCTGTCTCTACTATAGACGACCCGCGTCTTCCAGGTATTCGAGCTCTCGAAGCGAGGAATTCCTTTTCGCGAGCTATATATTTGCCAGTCTGAGCGTGGTGGCTTGCATCTGACAGGCCTTATTCCACTGTAGCGAAAAAGGCGATGGGTTCGGTACCCTTGACTGTGTGGATACCTCTTGTGCACATTTTGCGAAAGAGGGTGCTGCGGTGAGGTGATATGATCTACCGGCAAAGACGACGATGAAGTTGCGGAAATTGTTGTCCCAGCAAGAACCTTTCCTCCACCAGTTAGGCAGGGACGTGCCCGGAAGGCATAGAGGCAAGTCGAGGGAGACGGCTGGAGATGCGACAACCTCTACTCGTATATGTTGGTTGCTCTTTTCTAGTGTCACAGCACCACAACTTTTTGACGATGTTCAGAGATTTTGGCATGAACAAGTACCTAGACCCATTTTCGTCTTGGTCTTCAAGCTCAAGATCGAAAGTAAAGGTAATTAAAAAGACAAAGAAACACTCGCGGATATCCACCGCGATCTTCAAGACTAAAAACAATCATTCTCGTGACGACGAAAATTTTGAACACCGTAGCAGGCCGAAATGTTGTACGAACAAGGTATTACTCGAAAGCCAGACCTATCATATCACAAAATCCATTCTCAAACTTCGTCCAATTCTTATCCAGCATGACATATCCTTCCAACATTCTAAGTTTCTCGAGTATTCACAACAAACTACAATCAGGGACTACTTGCAGTTGCAGGACTAAGAGCCACTCTTGTAATTTCAGCTCCTCCTTGACCACTGCTAACCTGATGAACCAGGGTGTTGCCCGAGGATGGGGCGTCACTCGTACCAGCCATCGCATCGCGTCCAGCTTTTTGCTGTTTCTCCTGCACAACAGTAAGGCCACCAGTTCTCTCCGTTGCAATGGGTACAGGCTCAGCTGATGTCTCAGTACTTGGCAGTTCGGGTGCGATGACTGGCGCTGCACTTCTACCGGCTACTCCACTTGCAGTTGAATCGTTTCTCGAAGAAGAAGCGCCAGGACCGCTAAACAAAATACCACGAGCGCCTAGATGAAACACCACAATCAGAATCACGACCAGCACCAGAGACACGCCAACGAGTGCACGAATAACTGGGAACGGTCGCCGAATTTCCCCGATATCACTGCTGGTTGTCCTAAACTGTGTTCCAGGACTTGCCGAAAGGAACCGCGAAGAAAACCAGTCTCGCAAACTGCTCGGTACAAGAGAGGTGAATATACCAGTTTTTAGAAATGGTGAAGAAACTGCGGATTTACTGTAGCTTTCTTCATACCATGACTTCTTCGACTAAGTATTATCCAGAAAAAATGATCTTCAGTGTATTTTTATCAGCGCACCCCTTCATAATTTTCTAGATCTTTTCACGATCGGATTGTGGGCGAAGTCGCTAAGAACCGGATTGGTCGTGATCTTACCGTTCTGAAAAATGTCACCCACTTCTTGCACGACCTCATTTCCTTCTGCATCGATGTGGCGCAAAACGACTGGTGTTAGACGAGGCGGGATGAAATTACTTACTTTCACTTTCAGGTTGTGCTTGTCGCTCTAGTTCTCGTACTAGCAGTGGAAATGCTAAGTTATGTAAAGTAAAGGGCGAAAGCCTCTGAAGCAACAAGACCTTCCATAACCACGATCGCTGATCGCCTTCTTCTTGAAAGGGGTCTATTTCTTGCCGACGAAGCGCCTCTTCCCACACCTTGCTGCGCCAATTTTCAAATTCAGGATCGAATTTGATCCCGTCTAGATTCTCTTGTTTCAACAAGTCAGACGCCAGTTTCTCGATCCGCAAACCAAGTTCGATGTCCTGTTCTGCTGTCTTTCGGGCTTCGTCAAGTCGCGGTTTCATAGAAGTAGTTTTTGACGAGGAAGGTGTTATAAGCGGACCAGGAGAGCTTATATTGTTCCATGATGTTGAAGAAGCAACATTAGAAGTACTGCCCTTATTGTAAACATTTGCACTACTAGTAGTCCAATTTTTGTCGTTTTCCTTAGGAAGCAGTCGCTCATTATCACCAGGTGTTGAATCCCCCTCACTGGATTCTGCAGAGTTCAGGCGCGAAAACCCAAGATGCATTTCAGGGGATACTGTAGTACTGGTGTGTTGGGGCATTAGAAGAGGTAAGACGGTCATGCTGGTCATGCTGGTGGTCGCAACATTATCATTCAAGATGCCTATCTTGTAGAGCCGCATGAGACAGAGGCGAGACTTTCTAGTTCGAGTCCTGCAATTCGACATACACATACTTCTGTTCTATGTCCTAAATACATCCTGTATGTTTAAGGCGCGCAACTGTCCCGTACAGTGGATGTAAATTTCTATCGCCTTAAAGACATGCACTGCTCCTTCTCTTCACCATCTTCAGCATCTCCACCTCCAGCTCCATCTGCTTGTTCCTGAAGTGCTAGTAATTGACCGACGGGACTCTCTTTTGCGATTTGGATGAGATATTCGTCCAAATTTTCATCATTATCGAGAGACATTAGAGAAGCAACGTTGAGAATTCGAAATCAATGAACCATTTACATAGCGAAGGTGGACGAGGTATGGTCATGTACTTCTACGTCTGGCTCTACAACGAACTCGAAGAAGGACTTCTTGCAACAACAGAAGTAGACACCATCTGCATAAAAGGTCTTTCGCTTTCTTGATCAGCTCTTTCTGCTCCTTGCCATAAGCCCGGCTTTCGGAAACGATGCCCTGCAATTTCTCCTTCAGCACAGACGGATTCATTTTGATGATTATGTTTCTGCTTGAAGAAAATGGTAGACTTCAGGTTCAGTACATGTGGTCTTGGTCTTCAGTAGAGATAGAGAAAGAGTTGTAGAAGATACTTCTAGTTGTAGTTGTAGTTACGGATCAGGTAATTCCTAGCCGTTCTTGTGGAGCAGGAGATATTAATCGGTAAACGGAAAGTTTATAACTGGTGTACTAGTAGTAGCTGCACATGATTGTCATAATCGGTGAATCTGTAACGTGTACTAGATCTCCACGCCATCTTGTCCTTATTCAAGGCACCAAAAGGGAGGATGGCATACAGAGTTGCTTCACTCTTCAGCTCGCGTTCGTCTCTCGTAACAGTCTAGAAGTCAAAGTACAATCGAGACGTAAGTTTACACATCCTGAGCGAGGGTCAACGAGAAGATCCACTGTAGGATGACGGTCTGAGGAGGAGGTAATGTCAAATCAAAATCAATCATGTAGTACTACTACACGTTGCGAAAAATAAAGGAATGCGAGTCAGTGAGGTGACACTAATTATGCTGAACACTCAACATCACTAACTACGAATACCAGGAAAATATTGATCATCTTCTACATTATGGGACATGAAGAGAGAAGACAACACTACTGAATTGGAATAATACAAGCTACAGCGACGTTTGTAGATTCGATGATATGCGCGATGGCGCTTGTTTCGGACGTAATAAGCCGCACACCCTAAGGCCATCGGACAACCTACGAGGCATATCAGCGCAATGACAGCTGGAAACATGCCAAGTGTTTCTTCCATTCCAGATGCCATTAGACGAGATGAGTTGTAGGTATAGATGAAGAACCAGAAGATGAATCTCTACTGAAATATAACGAAACGCCATAATTTCAAGTTCATTCCGAAGATCCCACTGACCAGCGCACCGAAAGAGAAGACTACAGCAACCACGTCCAATGTAACCTCCATACGTAACAGTTGGTTGCGCCTAGCGTCCATACTCGCTTCCAGAAACTTAGACGTCTCGTCGATGGTCTTTAGCAATTCGCCTATTTCCGATGATAATTCGGGGGACTGTTGTTTGATTAGAAGTGGGACTCTCACATATTGTGAGGGTTATGGAGGATTTCAGCAGCCGCTAGGTCTCCAGTATAGATTCATTTCATGATGTTCATGTTTATCACGATGAAACGTCAAAGTTCACTAAGTGCAACCAAACAAAAATACTTCTACTTGCAGTACCTCCAGAAACCAGTATCGGCAAACGTCTTCCGAGTTGTTCTTCATCTTCCCGGTTCAATGTAATTTGGTCCCGTTCATGGTATCCGGAAAGACCATTGTTAGAGCTGCCGTGTGGCATCCCCGAGCTCTCCCTGGGCCCTCTTCCCTGTTGTAAAAAAAGGCCAAGGATGGCGCTGAGGATGCTTCAGCAGTACTAGCCTTAACATTGCGCAACTTGCTAACCTGATCTTAGATTTCCTCTAGAGCGCTTCGTAAGGGAAAAAGTCTCAATATAGACTCCTCATCGGCGCTAGCAACTATAATGTCTGCTAACCTGCTTTCGTTGCGTCGCGAGAGCTGAAAACTGCGTTTGCAGCAATTGAGTGGAAGCGCAGACAAGAGCCTCAAGGATGAAGGACGCAAAATGGAACGAACTATTGTTCTGGAGGTGAGATGCAGGTTCATCTTCTTCTTTGTTTCGCTTTCGTCTAAGTACCTTGTTCAGCAGCACCCAGCGAAGTAGCGAAACAAAGAAGTTCCGGCGATGAGCTGTCAGTGTAATCAAGGGGACTTCCTGTGGCGCATGCGAGATTTTGACAGGTTCCACGATGAAGATCGGTTTCTGAGCGTCTCTGCCGTTGGTGACATCGCTTGACTATCCGCTCAAGCTCGCAGAAAATAAAAAGACCGAAGAATGAATGAATGAACTTAAAAATATTCTAAATGACTGACACACACACACACACACACACACACACAGGAGAACAAGAGACCTCCCAAGTTGTCAGTAACCCTTTCTAATGACAACTTCATCATAGAAGTTGAAAGAATTTGCATCTTGTATCCAACATTGGACCAATTGTCCAAGATGCCAATCCTGAAAAATTTCGATAACCCTCCATCATACCAAACAAGATTCGTTCCCTCCATGTTGTACAGTCAGTTTCTTTGTTGAACTGGAAGATGCTGGAGTCGAGCTGGAAGGTTAGAGAAGGAAGATGAATGATCATTATAGGGTAAGACTGGCGACAAACGCGATACACAGTGAGACTGATGACGTGAATCTATTCGGCAAGTTGCCCAAGACCACTTGAAGTTTTCCAAATGGAAGCCCCGAAATGGAAACCCTGACTATTGACTGACAACCACAACTCGTGCTGGTTCTGGTTGTGAAAAACTAGTAAATTTACAATAAATTGTTGCCTACAACAGCAGGATCAGCCGTAACTACTACTGTATGTCGTGGAAGGAAAATAACAAACCGGAGAGGGGGCAAGGAAAAGAGCGCGCCTCGGTTCCAGCACACAGCGCGTAAAAGCTGTCCGGACACAAAGGGTCTTACAGCTACCTTCTGCATAGCAAAAATTAGAAGGAGCGTGGGTTAATAATTGAGGGAAAAAGTCGGGTTTCACATAAATTCAAAATAAGCCGGGGGAAGCCGCAGGATATTACTTAGATCAACCTTGCGTTCCTTTTTCATTCCTGCTGAGTAGTACGCAAAAAGTTAAGTAAAGAAGGCTTATGCAATATGCATGGATGTGGATCATGAGCATCGTTATCATAAGTAAGTCGAAGTCGTCGGCGAAGTCTAGTAGAGTGAAGCTGCATTGGTCCTCGGAACGTTCTTCTCGTGATACCTCCTGTTGCAGTGCTACACGTCGAAATGGAGGGTCCAATTCATCTTGGTGAGGGTTGTAGTTACTAGGGTAAGTACTCTAGGTGATGAGCTGGGCGGAGATCACGGAGGCTTCTCGCAGTTGTCTTAGTATGGCATTTGGAATTCGTTGCGAGACAACTCGCAGTATCTCTCCTATCATGGCTGCAGTGGGGATTCGTTGGCGGCGAGGATGACGACAAAGTGCATTCCGCGTTGATATTGTCGCGTTGGTGGTGCTCTCTTGACGTTGATGATGACGACGGCGAGCAGGAGTAATCTTCAACCACGAAATCTTCAACCACGGTAACTGCTGCTTCATCAGTACCTCTTGTTACTTTCTTTCTCTTTTGTAGGACCGCTTCCTCCTCCTCGTCCTCTGCTTCTTTAGAGCTTGCCATTCACAAGTTTCAAAAAATTTACGTAAATCTATAATAGAATCTTGTAGCTTTTTCCCAATCCAACCATGCATCTTCACCATTACGTCCTTAAGATTTTTTGGCGCCACTTTTCCACAGGTCGAATATGTGACGAGGTCTCTGAGAACCTACAGATTCGAAGGGCAACCGTTTACCCATCTCGACAATGTATGCTGCTATTTTCATGATCATGCGGTCGTCTGGCTGCTCGGTCATCTGCCGAAAGGGTTAGAGGAGAAATATTAAGCCACAGTCACATCTTCAAAGAGTCTAGTGGTACCCAGCCAAGAAAAAATAAGGCGAGTAGTACAGAACATGACGACGAAGTATGTTCTTAAAGAAGGGATAAGGATCTCGCCCCAGCTGCTATGGTCTCCGGATTGAGGGCTTCGGAAGGTAAATGCCGTTCCCCACGACCAGCAAGCAAGGGACCGGACAGCATTTTTTGATCTTGCATTGAATTATTCACCTAGGAACTGGCTATGTAAGCACTACCTAAAAACAGGATCGCCATCACTCCCGACCAAAGGTGGAGCCCTTACTTGATGACGTGAATCTTTGCGGCAATCTCCCTAAGATTTCCCTGGAGACAAGACTTCTTACACAAGTTGTCAGCGCAATCTTCAGAGAGTACTACCGAGGTCTTCAGCGAGAACGAAGACTCACGCTTCTCGATAGGAAACACGTCGATACAACTAGTAGGCGCCTCCAGGTGCTGGACTCCAGCAGACGAGCTGTAAGCCTACTTTCTTCCATAGAAATATTTATGGAAATGACCCAGTATTGTCTTATTTGTTCCCAGTTACTTTAACTTCCTGCTCTTGTTCTTGATGTTGATCCGCGTCTGACTTGTTCAATAATATTCCCAATCCCAGGTCGAATGTTTTGCATTTTTCGCCGCGTTACTAGGTAGAAGTATTACTATTATTATTATTACTATTATTATTGTCATACGTGGAGGGCCCTCAAACTATGCACCTCCGGGCAGGTACTACTTGAGAGCTAGCAGAAACGCCGCCGATGTGTCGGGCCCCCGAGCACTACGGCCAACCAGTGCCCAGACTGCTCCTGCCTTGTAGACTTTCTGCTTCATCACACCGCCGAGGAGCACACAACGATAAGCGGCGTCCCAGTTTGGCCAGTGCGGAAATTAATTGAGTCTTTTTTTTTGAACCCGGGGGATCAGGTTTGTTTCTATGCAGAGGCTTCGAGTTCATTCCTCGCTCGCTCAGGAGTGTAATCCTGGGGCTATGTGCAACCAACGGCCTTTATGATGCAGCACTCGAACCCTTAGGCGCAACGCATTAGCGCGTGGGCGCATGGTGGGTAGCGCGTGGGCGCATGGACGCGCGCGGGCGGGCGCATGGTAGCGCGGGGGCGCATGGTAGCGCTTGGGCGCATGGCAGCGCGTGGGCGCCTGGTAGCGCGTGGGCGCATGGTGACGCGTGTATTGCGCACACCAATGCATTGGCGGAAGAGGCACAGCCCGCGGCCATTGTATTGGCAAGCGGCGGAGGGGGGCGAAGCTGGCCATGTTTGTCGATGGCCGTCTGCAGTCCTGTGGGCCAGGTGTACGGCCGGAGGGTGTTTTGTGCTCGGCTATGCTATACTAGACTACGCCATGCTATGCCGACAATCCGACGGCGCTCCGTTTCCAGTCAGTGTCGTTACTTTAGTGCGCGGACGTATGCTGGGGTGTAGGCGCACGGTATTGCGCGCGTGCGTGGAATCGCATGGGCGCATGGTAGCGCGCAAGCTCGATGGCGCATAGTGTTGCGCAGCCGTGTGGGCCTATGGGCCAAGTGTAGTACGGCCGAAGTCCTATTCTTTGTCGATGTATTGGCGCGCCTATGTGTTTATGTATCTGACCGAGCCAATGGCCGTCAATTCCTCCACAGGGCCTAATGTACGGCCGAAGTAGTTACTAGGTAGTGTGTTCCATTCATTCTAGATAAATCGAGAAAGTCTTGATGCATTTGCATATACGCATCTTGTTCACGTTCAATTTCTTCTACGTAATGATGTCATAATGTCGAAATTCATTCATGACGCAGAAATGTTAGTAAGTTAGTTACACGTCGTGAAGTAAGAAGGGATAAATATTTTGCGTACCTCCACGTCAATATTTTGAATAAGAAAGTATGCATTTCTTGTGGTCCAAGTCAAGAGTAGTAATACAGATTACAGACAACTCTAACTATTCCGATAAAGATCTGTAATTAATTCCAAACTAACAGTGTGTGTGTGTGTGCGTGTGATCGCAAATTCGCAACGGTGTAAATGTTTAATTATGAAATTGAAATATCCTTATCCATGCAGTTTACGTCTAATAAATTGAAGATATCAATATCTATGCAGTTTACGTATTTCATGCCCGATTCATGTCATTCATCATGTCATATCGTCATGCATTTAGTCTACCATTCTCTGTGCCTCAGCATTTCGCCATCCTCTGTGCCTCAGCATTTCGCCATCCTCTGTGCCTCAGCATTTCGCCATCCTCTGTGCCTCAGCATTTCATGATCCTCTGTGCCTCAGCATTTATTCATGATCCTCTGTGCCTCAGCATTTCATGATCCTCTGAGATCAACATGGTGATCCTCACTTCTACTGAGAGGATCCTCTTAGGTTACTACCTCTACTGAGATCTAGTCTATCCTCTTAGGTTATTATCCTCTTAGCATACTTACTCAGTCATTGTCCTCTTTTTACCTTTCTCACTACCTACCACAGCCTCCACATTGCCTCCGCTCTGCAGTTACTATTTCTTCAGCGAAGAAAAATATCCGCCCATCAATCCAGTCATGCAAATCAAAGACGGTAGGATCGAAAGCGCCCTGGTTAGGATGATGATGATAATGATTTTACCCAAGCCAGAGGTCGTCCTATAATATTAGTTGTAATTCTTGCAACAGGATAGGATGGGATAGCGATAGGATAGGTTAGAATAAGATAGGTTAGGATACTAGGGTAGTATAGGTTAGGATAGTGTAGTATAGGTTAGGATCCAGGTTAGGATAGGACACGTTAGGATAGGTTAGGTTGTGTGTATTTCTTAGTGGTCGTTCATTATATTTGGGATTCATATTGAAGATTGAGACTGACTTGAGATTCATTTGGATAATTGGTCGGAAAGAAGAAGGACCACTTCCAACTTGAAACTCTTACAGCAATAGCTAACTAACGAGTATTGATAATGATAATTCATTGAAGGAAAAAGAAGTTGTACGTCATGGCGTGAAACCCGAACAATCGCACCGATGGTCGGACGCATTCCAGAATGACGATCACCAGATTCACAGCCACCGCGGTCCACACAAGTCCAGTTTTCTTAGAAGAAGTTGTAAGAGCAAGAGATTTCTTCACGAAGGAGATAGAAGTAGTTGAAGACTTGTAGTTCTGTAATTCAAGAAAGTTGTAAGAGACAATTTCTTGAAGAAGTGAAAATCAAATACTTCATCTTCAAAAAGAAGCTGTGAACGTGAAGGTGCCTGTTGTGCTGACTAATCTCTAGTTCACCATGTCAGATCTGCACTAATCTCTAGTTCAAGAAGCATGTAGTTTTTCCCTTGGGTCCTGCGTGTTCACCAGGAACTGAGTTACTAGTAGGATCATGAATGTTCACTAAAGTATTTCTTTATAAGGTGACTACTTGTCCAGGTTGTGCTGTCCGTGGTGGTGGTCGTGCGTGATGTCCTCCTACTAGTACTAAGTAAGCCTATATAATCTAATTGAAGATGCATCTAATCTTCTGACCTAGGGTAACTTTTACTTTTTGGAGGAAAAAAATTTTTTCTTCCTTTTTTTCTCTAACAAACACGAACACATACACATGATGTTGCTGCTAAGAAGAACCAGATCTCTCATCCGAAGATAACAATACTGGCAAGAACTGAAACCCAGTACGCACCCGAAAAAAAGTTGTACTTCGTTCTAGTACTATAGTAGCAATGATCTCCTATCATTGATTATTAATACCACCAACACGTCTCTACTAGTGAGAACCAGTGAAGCAATACGAGAAGTTGGTGTCCTACTACGACAAGATCAAGAAGTTGCTCGTGTTCACCCTCCGACCATAAAGTTCAAACCGGAGCCTCCCATCGGTCTCATCGGGCCACAGCAACCGCAACATGCGATAATTTGGCAAAGCACGATCGAAACCACCATCAAAATCACGATCGACCACTGGAGGAGTTGTTGATTGTTGCTTGTTGACTAGGATACGCTCCAAGTCGACTATTGTTGCTTGTTGACTAGGATAGGATAGGAATTATTGGGTCGCCTCGGAGAGCGAGAGGTGAGCTTCACGACTACGAAAAAAGAAAATTTTTTGAGGAAAATTTCCGCCCAATTAGAACTCTTCGTCCACGTGTGCTGTTCGTGGTTCTTGTGGAAAGTAGAAGCTCGTGAACAAAGTACAACTTAAACAAATTCACATATTAACAGCGTAGCTTTCCTAAAGTCGACATCTTCATGTTTGTCTTTTTTAACAAGGTTGCGAAGAACGATTGTAATACGCCATATGGTGGGTCCGAAGCCATCCCCGCGACGGAGTCGAATACAGCTTGATGAGGGTGAGACTCAACAAAACTCGAGGAGGATTGGTTAGAGAGATTAGGTTAGGCTTAGGGCTTATTGCTCGTATCAGTCCACCCAGCAGATGAGTCTATCTCTACAGCAGATGAATCTATCCGGGCCTAGAAGGAAACAAAACGACCAGAAAGGAAATTCACCATCATGCATCTCGGGTGGCCATCTTGACTTCTGCCATTGGCGAGGTGAGATACTACTAAAAAAGAACAACTCAGTCTTAGTCTATTTACTAACTTAAGTGGTTAACTAGAAGTTCTTCACGTGAGCAAGGACAGACATCTGTCTAACTGTGTTCGGTAATGACTTTGACTCTGACACTGACTCCGTATGTGTTAGGTAACCGGTGTGAGAATGGCTTTGACTTTAACTGTGTTAGGTAATTGATTGATTGACTGACTGACTGATTGACTGATTGATTGACTGATTGATTGACTGATTGATTGACTGATTGATTGACTGATTGATTGACTGATTGATTGACTGACTGATTGATTGACTGATTGATTGACTGATTGATTGACTGATTGATTGACTGCTTGATTGACTGATTGATTGACTGATTGATGTGCCTGGCAAGAGGTCGCTGTTGGAATTTTTATTTAATGAGAGGAATACCAAAGTGCGAGTAAAATGAGAGGGGACGAGGAATACCAAAGTGCATTATATCTTCTCAAACAAACAAAGTCTTTCTATGCTGGTGGATGCCTTAAGCTTCATCGCACGATCCAACGCATTTGCATCATGGCCAAATCGTCCTGCATCGAATGCAGCTGCATGCTGCTGTTTCATTTTTTGAAAATCTTGATTTGCAAAGTCGTCATGGCGACCCATGTTGCCGTGCTGCATTTCTTGAGCTTCACGGAGGCGTTCTCGTCTTAGAAGTGTATAGCATCTTAGTTACTTAAGGAAGTTATCTATTATAATATCACCCTACTTTTTCAGGAGTACTTAAGGATAAGATGATCAAGAATCTTCATTCTACCTAAGTAAGTAGAAGGAGAATTAGGAAACATATGATCAAGAATCTTGTTCCGCCTTGTCAGGAGAATTAGGAAATGTATGATATGATCAAGAATCTTGTTCCTCCTTGTAAGGAGAATTATTAGGAAAATGATGAAGAATCTTCCTACCTATAAGAAGAATAAATTGGAGGAGAATTTTTAGAAAGATTCTGCTGCTTTAAGATTGATACCACGTTCCCAAATCTTCCTACTTACTTCTTTAGAGTAAAATTTTTTATGATAGTACTTTCGCCTTAAGTCGAACATCGAGGGTCCACGCATATTCATATTGGGGGGTTTGATTTGCATGTCGCTGTGTTGAATTAGATTCAAACCCAACAGCATCAAGAACATACTAAATTGTAAATTTTTCGTCTCGCTCCCACGTGAGTAGAAGCAGAGATCCGATCTGTCAAATCAAGAGCTTTCTCTTGCTTCGGAAGAGTGTGCGTATGGGAATGGGTCGTATATGTATGAATTGGATTAAAATAGATAGTCTATGTTTATCCTTCAGCAAACTAAGCTATAATATTATTACGAGGTAGAAAAGACATCAGAGATTCCATCTTATTTAGATGAATCACATTCACAAGCACAACTAGCGTAGGCGTACTGTCATCAAGCGGCTTGTCAGATGTGGTTTTTGTCAACGAATACTCTGATTAACAACTGCGAGGAAGATAGGTTGTAACAGAGCGCCCACATCAGATGGGTACATAAAGGAGCGAGCTACAAGAGAGTTTAGCTTTTTATTTACTACAAGGTGGTTGCCAATCTCCTTAGTTAACTTGATAGTCAAAAAAACAATTGCACAGACGTAGATGAGTGAGTGAGTGAGTGAGTGAGTGAGTGAGTGGGTGAGTGAGTGAGTGAATGAATGTGCCTAGCGCGAGGTGGTGCACCTTGTTGCGTTTTATGTCGCAGCCCGACAAATTTGTCTACTTTTCACTGTAGTATACTAATTTGTGGATAAAAGATCTGAAGCAACCGAGTACGAGTAGCTACTCGCATATTTCAAGATTTCGAATAGATGAAAGGACTTTTGAGTTACGTTTACTTATAAATATGTAATGTGGGCCGTAAAAGTTGCCCAGCCCCCTTGGTCGGATCCGCGGCTAACGCCCCAGTCCAAACAGCATGACCCGTTGTTAGGTGGAAGGCTACCTCGACCCAGATTTGTAGCGGCAATATCAAGTCCATTTTAGAGGAGGTAGCATTAAGAGGAGCAGGAGGTAGCATGAAGAGTAATATTTAGCGGAGCAGAGAGCTTCATCGAGACCACTCGTGTTGACCACTCTCCTCATATCATATTTCTTCATTTCCATCTTGATCTTCTCGATCTTCTTCTCCACTAACATTTCATTTAGGTTAGGCTGGGCGTTGACTCGTCGTCCACAGTTTGGCCTGTACCTGAAGACCGTACTCATTTACCATTACATCCTTTTTTAGTCGTAGTGTACCCAATCAGGGGGTATAGGATGCGCAAATCAGATGGTATAAGATTTTTCTTTATTCGCAAAAAGATCGAGAAACTAGTACTCCTGTTCATTTATTATACATATTAGAAAGAGTAAAAATACTCTTTCTTCATCTGTCGAGGATGACCTATCATCGCAGCCTTAAACATAGCAATGTTCCCGATAGCAACAGTGACATGCCATCCAGTCGCCTCGCGTTCTTCATTAGAGGAGTTTGGCTAGGTGAGGTTAGGGTGCAGGGACCACAGAGGGACTGCCATACGTTAGAGCAGCGGCTATACTTAGTAGTTAGACTAGTTAAATGCTTTCGTTGTATGGTCCCTTGAGCCAAAATGGCTACGCGAGTAGGGTAAGGTTAAGGTGAAGGTTGAGGGTCCGCTGCACCGCGGCCAGGCCGCAACGGCTGGGACGATTCGGGTTCGAGTAGAACCACCTACTTGAGTAGGGTACAAGGATCATTATCATCTGGAGAAATGTGTATGCAGGTATATGAGAGTAGCCTACAAGAAAGGACTGCTCTGATATGTGCGAGTAGGGCACAATTACAATACTGGAGGCCAAATAAAGAACTTAGTAGACACATGATAGCCAAATAAAGAACTTAGTAGTTACTTGTCAGGAGTAGAATGATAGGGTTAGGTTAGGTTGCGAATCCTGCACAGAGAACAACTTACACATACACTTAGTTAATACTTGTCAGTAGAATGATAGCCAATGCGAAAAGATCTTAGTTACCTGATGTCAGAGTTACGAGTAGAATGATAGGCAACAGAACTTAGTTACTTCTCAGCAGAATGACAGGCAACAGAACTTAGTTACTCACTTGTCAGTAGAATGATAGCCAACAGAACTTAGTGTCTTGTCAGCAGAATGACTATGACAGGCAACAGAACTTAGTTACTAACTTGTCAGTAGAATGATAGGCAACAGAACCTAGTTACTCACTTGTCAGTAGAATGATAGGCGACAGAACTTAGTTACTTGTCAGCAGAATGACTATGACAGGCAACAGAACTTAGTTACTTGTGCTTGTCAGCAGAATGACAGGCAACAGAACTTAGTTACTAACTTGTCAGTAGAATGATAGCCAACAGAACTTAGTGTCTTGTCAGCAGAATGACAGGCAACAGAACTTCATTACTTGTCAGTAGAATGATAAGCAACAGAGCTTCTACCCATTAAATGTAACTAACCTCTTCGGCCTTAGAGCACTTAATAAAGAAACGACTCTCCTACTTCTTCTACCAAAACCAATTGAGGAGAAGTACTAAGAAAAAGAAGACTTTACGTCATGTGTATGGTTTAGTATAGTCCTGCATGTGCAACATAATGGCGACATCCATTTCTTGTACCGTGGCCTGACCCGCCAAGTAAGTTGATTCCTGCCCATATGCCTGAGCGGACTCAGTTGCGGCGTATCCTTGCTTTAGAGGAGAAGTAGGAGGAGGCTTTTTTCGAAAGTTGTATCACATAGAAGTTCATCTGAGTATTCATTAACATAATCTTCATGCTAAAACCATTTGAGTATTCATTAACATAATCATGCTATAGACGAAGTCTCAGAGATAGAGAAAGTGTCAGAGATAGAGTAAGTTGTATCAGAGATAGAGTAAGTTGTATCAGAGATAGAGAAAGTTGTATCAGAGATAGAGAAAGCATCGGAGATAGAGAGAGAGAGAGTTCTTCGCAACATGTTTTATGTGGTGATCCTGCCTCTTCTAACTTTTTAGCAGTTGTACTACTTGTACTACATAGGATAGTCACCTAAGTAATGGGGACAAGCGATATGAAGATCTTCACATAGAAGTAGTTCGTCTGAGTGGTCTTCATCTACCTAATCATGTTAGCATGGACGTGCTCAGCGTTTGTCTGTTACGCGTTCCATTCTTTCATCTCCTACCGAGTAGCATGATCGTAAACGTGTACGGTCTGTGCATTGAATACTATTTCGGCTGTTCCGAAGTCCCTCTATTTCAATTTCATCGGGTATTCCGAAGTACAAGTTAGTAATTGTACGATTCTGTTCTTCCTACTCTCAGATGCTGGAAAAGTTCCCACTCTAAGATATTAACGCACACGAGCAGATGTGCATAGAGCATAACTGCTATCTTTATTCTTCTCAACCTGTTCTATACCCTAGCGTCTAAGTAGTTGTTGCCATAACTCCGATCCACCTGCAGGTGCTCCTGTAATCTGCAATGGGGCTTCCATGTCCTCTCCTTCCTCACCAAAAAACCTTGGTTAGTGAGAGCATGATGCGCAATCTGTCTGCTTTCAGCACTATAATTTCCAACATGTGAGTCCTATGTATGAAGACACTAACATTTTTTCACGGAAAACTTGGTCAGAATGAGTATCCTCAAAATGTATCATGAGGCTCAACCTCAGAGGTTATATGTTGTTGAAAAAGATTTTAATGTAGTTCTAGTTGATCCTTTTTCTTCAAGTTCTTGAGGTAACAACGTGAACTTTCAACTACAAACACAAACACCAAATAAAAAGTACAAGATCGCATTGCTGTGGTTCTCGGGTCCTTGTACCAGACGCTTCTTTTCTGGATCTTTTTCGAACTTTGCGAGGTCGGAGTTCTTACTGGGGGAAGTGGCGACTTACTTTAGCGCTAGTTTTTCACTAACAGTAACACTATCCCTGGAGGAGTGAGTACTAAGAACACATATCACCTTCCTACTTGGTTTCCCCTTTAAATCAAGTTTGGTTTGTTCCCCTTGAGTTTCCCTTTTTCTTTTTGTTCCCCTTGCCAAGGCTTGGTCTCTATGATACATAGGGAAGCAGTAGAGGACTCCGCTCAGCACACAACTCCAGAACCACATACGGTTTGTTTCCCCATTAAAAAATCAACATCAAGTGAGACGAGGACCGACTCCACTCCGCATACGCATACTCCTCTCAGGATTATGGTGAAAAACTAGCCTTAAGTAGGGCTTCCTCTTCTTGGCCTTGTTAATGGCCGCGGAAGGACTCAATGGGTGTTCCATCTTTCTTGTTTTGTGCTACTTTCGGACGTGCACAACTACAACGGATGACGTTAGTCGGTTCGGATTGGACTTACGACTTTTCTGAGTACAACTACAACTATTTGCGGGATTCTTTCAGAGGAAGAAGTACGCCTGCAAGTATTTGATGGACTTGTCTTTCAGAAGAAGATGTTCAAATTGATGTCGATGTCCACCTCTAGTTGTTGTACCACTACTCTAGGAGAAGAAGGCGATGACGATGATGACTCTAGTGGTGCGTTTACGTATTCTAAGTGCTTTTATGAATGCTGAACAAAGTCTAAGAGGACTATCTGGAGGACGGTGTTCAGATAAAATCTAGTCCAAGTACAAAAACGGTTGATGACGTTGTGGGTGAGGAAATCGTGGGAGCCAGATGAACTGAAAACGGACCAGAAATTTATTTGCGCAAATGTGAGGTTCCATTATGCTCTACTAGAAAAATCTCGACCATGACCGAAGGACAACGAAATGACAGACAGACCTTCACGAAAACTCGTCAATCCGAAGATGTTTATCTCGTTCTCCACAACGAGCCGATACCGACAACCCTTCCTCGACACATTCGGCCTCGTTCTCCACAACGAACCGATAACCCTTCCTCGACACATTCAACAAACGGAGCAATCATCTACTCCGACATCATGAGAATCAAGATGAACAACACGGACAGATAGTAGCAGTTTCTGACGAGAGATAGTAGCAGAGCCCAACATTCATATATTAGAGTTCTTGAACACCAGACAGATAGTAATAGCATGCCTACAACGAACTAGAGGACAGAACGAGACCATCCGGTGGTCACTGTCACACGATCATCACCGACACCGGTGTTTTCTTGCAATCCCAATCCCGTAATATTAATGTGTGTGGATTAGTATTTGGCGATTAAGCAAAGATTATAAGAGCTAACCCTGCACTTTTAAAGAACGGCATAAATAACCTAAACGAACACAACATAGTTAAAAGAGGAAAGAGGGAGGAAGAGGGAACAGTTCAAAGACCGATACAGAGGAGCGTGGTCAGGGTGGGGGGCTTTAATAAATGGAAATTCTTGCTGAGAGAGTAGTACAGCAGGGCTTTGGATTTGGATTTGGAGCTTTCAGAAAAAGTTTCTGGCCACCAGTCGGGGCACGGTACGTTTCGCAGTCAACAAACATGAGGGAGACAGCATGAAGGACTCACCACACAGAGAAAAAACTTGAAGAACTTTCTTAGCAACCACCGACTACCACTTTCTGGATACCTGACCACGGTCTAAACAACCTAAACCACGGACCACCTCATTTTCATCGTGCCGCATCACTTCTTCCTTTCTACCACTTCAGCGTATAAGAAAGGAAGAAGTGATGCGGCACGATTCAGCGTACTTCTCCTTTCTTCTATGGTACAAGGAGAACTACCCGCATATGATCACACTCATCATACGAGTACCACTTCGGATGATTTCGAACACTTACAATACAATACAACCAATCTCGCTTTTTTTTTTGTAGTGCGAGCGAGTTCCGATAAGTCAGAACCTACCTGCGTATTTTCCGCGTAGATACCGGCGTAGGGGGGAGTTCAGTGCAGACTGCCTCAAGGGCGTCATAGAAAAAAAAGAGAACTTCTTCTTCACTTGTTGGGGATGATGATGATGATGATGTACCCAGCAACAAGGGGTATTAATTTACTTGTTGTTTTTTATACTTGTTGATGTTCTATATAATTTTATTTGGTGGAGAGACACGAGTGAGACAGAGACACGACATTGCTGGACATCATGATAATAATGTTGATGTGAGGAGGACTAGACTGCGATTCACTGAGGACACGGATTAGATTCAGCTTTGCTGGATATCGTGATAATAAATCCTTGTGAGCTCTTCTTGCCCATGACATGTTTGGTTACCACAACAACGAACTGCGCTAAAATCTCATCGCTCAGAGCACCAGGTGAAACAAGTTACACTTAGAATGTCGAACATACAGATCAAAAATTAAAGTTCTTGGACGCACTAGAAAAACTTGCTCATCGTTCATCTATTTTTTTCTGTGATGTAGACCTTAGACATCACAGAAGACGGTAGCAGTATGCTTCGATGCCTTGATAGTGGTCTGCGGTAGACGTAGGATGCTCTGGCTTGAACTTGTGACAGGAACAGTCATCAACAGAAACGCGTACGCAGGTCGTGGCCTCTCATTTCGCCAATTGCGGATTCTCTTGGAGATATTGCTTCAGGCTTTTTTTAGAGGTAGGGCTAAAAACTGACTCCATTCTTCATCTACTAAGAACATCAACATGTTCTTGATATAAATCGTAAATGTAAAAACCTAATCTGTAAAAAACGTACTTAGTTGTAGCTTGTGACGTGCTTCCTTCGTTCTCCTGGCTGTGGATAAGACAAAGAGGCCTTAACATCTGCAATCACGTCATGGTCGACAAGATTCCTCCGCTTCGACGCTTTGATCAATGACTCCTTTTCTTCGTCAATGTTAGAAGTCACATCAACTTCGGAAGTTCCATGGATCCGTTGATCCGGTTGTATTAACCAACAGGTGAGCAACATGAGGCTAAATCATCAACGCGACCCAACATTGCTTATCGGTTATTAAGTACTCAACGATGTCAACGCAGAGGACGCGACCGATCAATGCTGAATCTACTTGGTTGTACTTGTACTCAACTCATCATCCTCTCATAACAGACCCTCGCAAATACTCGGTTGCGATGTCTCCAACACCGTAGACGTAGTTTTCGTCACTGTATAGCTTTCGGAAGTTGTTCACAAATGCAAGGTCCATTGTCCATTTACGATGGTTAGAAGAGGAGGCTATACTCATACAACTTACGCTTTTGTTTTCAAAAAGAGTAATGAAGACGAGCTTCCATCAATCTTGCTATTCGCTTCTTCTTTTCTTCGGAGGTACTGTACTCAATGCTGTGAAATGGATGCTACTTATCAAAAAATTTCTCTCGAGCTGCAACATGGCCATTCTGTTCTAGTTGAATAGTTGTAGTACTTCTTAGTTCATTGTCCACCCTTAATTTTATCCTCCTCTGCCAGCAAGCGACGACCTTTGGAGTACTTTCTCAAGGATTCCACAGAAAGTCGAAGCAGTGGTGGCGTCTTTGCTTCGTCCATCGTAGAGGCTCTGAAAACCTCTATATTCGTGTCTAGGATTAGAGTGAGTAAAAGTATTTTGAAAACCTCTATGTTCGTGTCTAGGATTAGAGTGAGTAAAAGTATTTTGAAAACCTCTATATTCGTGTCTAGGATTAGAGTGAGTAAACTTTTTCCCCTTGAAAAAGCTTCAGAAGCAGCTTGACCCCAGCAGCGGACTGACTAAAGAAGTTTGTAACTGTAGGTGAGGTCATCTTCAGGCGATATGAAGGGGGCGATGCGTCAGATAGATCTTCACGACCTGTTCCTCATCAAGAGCTTTTGCTTCATCTTCATCTACTGCTTCTAAAACCTATGCTGTATTACTGCTATACTTGCGGTTACTAGCGGGGAACATAATACCACTTCATCCTCCCCGCATGTGAAGATTCCAGTCCGCGATTCTTTCTCTAGCACTTCATCTCCATATAATGACGTAGTAGCTAGAGCACGACTACCTGTTCCGCCACCATCCTCTACTTCCCCAGAAGTCTTTGAGCTCGTCTTTAAACTTGACGAAGATGAGTTCAGTCTCGTTGCAGTTGCGCCCTCTTTATTACTCCCTTTCTTAGCGCCAGTCAAACAGTCACACTCTCCGTGGTTGCCCTTGAGTGGGTTCCACCCTTGTTTTCTCTGCCGCCCGTAACTTCTGCTTAAATAAGAAATCAGTATACACTATAGTACTGCTTCAATGGAGGTTCTAAAGAGAACTCAGACTCACTCAGCATATTCTACAGTAGATACCAGAGCAAGTGTGAGTGACTTGTTTCACTGACTAGCCTTACCTTCAGTATTATTGTCTTCATCAGGAACGATGGCCCAAAATTCCCCTCCATCCGGGTCGTGCTCGGGAACGAACCCCGTGCCGTCAGCTGATGGGACTACAGGGAATTCGCGTATCGTTACCTGAGGAAAACCGTGTTCGTCAAATCCAGCTGGCTCGACTACGCGACTAACGAAACGGCTATCTGGATCTACTTTCACTGTAACATTTGAAGCATTGCTGGTCTTGTTTTCTTTGCGGAGAATCTGTTAGAGGCCTGTCATCTGTAGTCGGAAATCTTGTTTTACTTTTATCTTTTATGATGTCAATGTGAATGTTCTGTATAATCTTTCTTGTTTTATAATCACTTACTTATCTCAATCTCAATGACAAGGTAAGTATCTACTTAAGTAGTTTGTTGTTGGAAGGGCTACACGCTAGAGGTAAAAGCGAACCGGTTGTTTTCTCAATATAGTGTTGTTATCTCAATGTATCTATATAATGTTGTTATCTCAATGCATCCTGTTCCTGTTGCATATCATGGATGTTGAAAAAAAGTCCATAAGTGTATGCTCTTGACCCAGAAGCTACCGGAAACGTGTCCTTTGCATTCTCAGGGGTCCCTAAAAGGTCATCGTCGTCTGCAATAGTTTTCAATAAATTCTCCATCAATGCCTTGCTAACGGTCTCCGGTATCTTCTTCGTGTCACCACTCGACGTCGCAGATCCACTGCGGGAATTAGAGGGCACTATGAGGACTATGACGAGTACAATTATACTAGCGAAAAATATTATGAGAAACCAACGCCGGCGAGAAAAGAAAGAAGATAAGAAGAAAAAACTCACCATGACCATCGGAAGCTAAGTGATTCCCCATACTTGTTCCATTGAGCAGTAAATGCTCACACTCTTCTAGTACTCATCTTCTTTGAAAAAATATTAGTCAGATGTGGAGAGTCAGTCTAGCTGGCTCTGTCATTTATTGAAGATTCATTATGCTCAACAAATCTCTGATACACGTCATACCTCCTGTTGAAGCTGTGTTAGGGTGTGAGTGTGCTGTTGTGAGTGTCCTGTCATACCTGCTAAAAGCTTGTTGCCTCTCGAAAGAAGAGAGACATCAACCTCGAGATGACAGAGGGAACGGGTCTCCTAGAACGCCTCACCAGGTCTCCTAGAACGGGGGATACTCACCAGGCCTCCTAGAACGCCTCCACTAGAAGAACCCTCCACCAGACCACACCTATCAGGAAGTGTCGCCCACGAGCAATCCACCTAGGAGGAAGTAGAGTTCCCACTTGTTCTAGAAGAAACCGTCCTTTACGTTCTTTGACGCCCCCTCTGCTCCCCTTGAAGAGACAGAAAGGATGGAAAATTGAGATGAGGCCACCGAGACCAAAATCCAGCACGACCATTATGTTCGGTGACATCACATCCAGAATCAATTAGAGCTATAAAAATTCATTATGTTTATAACAGAGCAATTTATAAGGTTTCACAGCTCGCATGGCCTGGAGTGCATGGATCACATGGAGTAGCATGGAGCTAAAGGGGGAGCTTCTTGCGCCCCTTAAAGCTCTGCGCTCCATGCACTCCATGCTACTCCATGCGCCATGCGTGCTATAAACTACTCTGTTATAATTTCATGTTTGCACCATCCAGCCAGTGAGAGCATCCTATTTGACGGTTGCGATCCTACTCATCCAAAGTTCTTGCACAAGGTTTTTTCTTATCGTTTGGCTCGATGAAGATGATGAAACAGGAGAAACACTGACCACGAATAAATTCGAATATTACAACGAACAAGTTCTTCGTCTTGTGGCCTTAAAATCAAAATCGATTCTTCAGAAATCTGGTTTCCCCATAATGGACGAGTTGGAAGAGAACTCTTCTAGGGTTGCAGCCCGGTTTCCGACGACTTCTGCAATTGTTAGAAGAAGGTCTCAGATGACTTGATCTTAATGTTATCTTTTTATCAATATGAACTTGAAGTAGGATGCAGAAATATTAGTAAGTCAGATATTAGTAAGTAGGATTCAGATATTATGAAGTAGGATTCAGAAACCCGATGATAATGAAGAATCGTGTGTCGAACTCTTCTAATTAGAAGATGCAGATACACCAGCTCCTGTATGAACATGAAGAAAGAAATGTGCAGAACAATCTATAAGATTTGGCAGGTCGCATGGCGTGGAGTGCATGGGTCGCATGGAGTTGCATGGAGCTAACGGAGACGCTTCTTGCGTCCCTTAGGGGTCTGCGCTCCATGCCCTCCATGCTACTCAATGTACCCTGCGCGCTATAAAGTGCTCTGAAATATTAGTTACAATATAAATATATCTTCACTAACATCACCTACCACGCTCCATAAAATTTTCCTCAGCTGTCTTGTGGTGCGACGATCGTTGAGCGGCCCAAATTGCTCTGGACCGAAGTATTCTCCCGTTATCTCGCGGGAGATTAACGCTAGACGCTCACTATCAATCTGTGGCTCAGTCGTGTTGAGGTGGTTTCTTTCTCGTTGGATTCCCCTTCAAATCAAGGGGCAAGAAGCCAGTCAGAATTATACCTCACGGTAGATAGTGTTAGTGAGTGCTGTCTCGCCTTAAGAAACGCTGCGTCGCCGAAGTCGAAGGTGCCAGGTCTTGGGCAAGCTTGTCCCATTCGAGGAGCGTTTCTTCCAGCTTCAGACTCCACTGTTGTAGCGGTTGCGGTTTTCTTAGCCTACGGTGATTAGAAGGGGTGGTGGGGGAGTGGGAGGAGGAGACGAGGGGGAAGGGACGACGGAGAGGATGAAAAGGACTGACACTAAGCTGGAATTAGAGAGTTAAACTGGAAATACTTAAAGTCCTGTTTAAATCCCCTTGGTGCATCTGCATCATCTACATACTTATAATTGTGGCAGTTGTAATATGTTGATGAACCGAGGAAGACCAAAGACATGACATTTCATTAAACAAAGGAACTCGCAGAGCCCGATCTTCATCTTGAAACACAGGATAAACAATTGTAATCTATAGAGACGTCTATAGTATAGTGAGTGAGTCGTGCCTTAGCCCGTTTCTCGCCCATCAACGCGAGCAAACGACTAAGGAAGGAACTGCACCAGTTAGGAATACCAATAGTAGGCAACTACTTCAAAGATGCAGAAACGTTGGAGGAAAGTGCCACATAGATAGTATAATGAGTGCGTCGTGCCTTAACTTGTGCACCAGAGTCAGGGAATGTCGAGTTAGTCAGTTCGTCGTCCGTGTAAAAGTACTCGTCTAAGAGTTGAATCCCTGTCGGCAAGCAACGGTCGCCATTATACGAATTCCCTAGCGTTGGAGCGCCTCTTGCTAGTCGTGCGGCATCTGCTACAGTTTCGGAATCTGCGTAGAACGACTGCGGTACGATAAACAACCTGCCACCTGTGGTATTAGAAGAGTCATGCTTAATACTCTGATGAAGGAAACAAGATGAAAAAGTCTTTTGTATGTTGTAACTACAAGGCCTCGAAGATGGTTCTAAATCCATTGATACTAGGAGCGTCCTGTTCTCCCTCGGCTCTGGTTGGCCGAAGGCGCTGGTCTAGTTTCGGAACCGGCTCAACTTGGGGACCATGGTCGTGAGATTCTGAGCCAGCAGGGGGGTCACGGATGGCGTTGTTATTAGAAGAAGAGAAATCTTGATAGATATGAATGTGAAGAGAGATGACCTAGTAGAACGAATTCTTGAGATTTTTGAGACTATAATGTAGAGTTACAGAAGATTGTGCGCGACTACAGATCATAAGGGTGGCACCATTCAGGTGGATTCAAGGAGTGACACAGACATTTTTGAAGTCGCTTGAAAAGCGTTGAAGCAGAGAGAATGAGAACAGTGAAAAACAACGTAGAAGTACTACATTTTAGTGCTGTTCAGCTGGTTTCTTGAAGACACACAGTCATAACACGCGTCTCCCACTTCTCGGTCTCCTCGTTGTAAATGATTTCTTGCCTCCCATCTCCATCGGCGCCCTCTTTTGCGGGTTTTTTTGGATCGGTAGTTAGAGGATGGCACAGGTTCCGTTAGGTTTTGACGTCTACAGCTTCAGGAAGACAAGGATGAAGGGCTACTCTCCAGCATCACTAGACACAAACTCCCATAAGGCGCCAATATCCGTATCGTTGCAGTGTTTCCACCAGTATCTGACTGGGCAAACGTGCTCATGGCAGTTCTGAAACGGTGACAACCCGAAGGCGCGAAAGCTCTCCGTGGGTGGTATTTCACGAGGGCGTCTTCGTTCGCAGCAATCAACCAAGTCCCCACTAAGATAAGCATGCGCAAGCGAATTGGCGTAGGTCATGCTGTTTGTGTGGAGGAGGTTGAGGTTCTTGGGGTGATGAATTTGCGAAACAAGGCTTCGTTTTCATGAAACACCAACACCATCGCTGACTTGACTATAGTCCTCGGGTGAACGGATGCATCAGTGGCCTAGGAGAGTCTACCTGTCCTGCATGTCCTTCTTGTAAAAGCTAAGCAGCTTCTGCAGGAAAGCTTCCAAAACTTCGACCCGAAAAACGTCGATCCATGCTTTTGCCTCATTCGTATTACGCGGCGCTTGAAACGGCCTCTCGACTACTATTGGCACGTATCGCTTGAACGCGTCCAAAAGCGGCATTTGCTCTCCTCTCTCGTAAAGTTCTTGGTCGGCTAATAGTTCGTATACCTGAGGATGATTCAAATAGAAGAATGAATGAGCATGCAGCAATGTATCTATATATAAACATCAAACGGCATGAAAGAAAAAAGTGCACTCACACTCAGAAAAAGTGGCTATTTTCCTACTGAAATCCTAGCCAATTTCGTGAGTGTGAGTGCACTTTTTCATTTCATAAACGGATGAGTCAAATAAATCGTCGGAAGGTAAACCATGATCAAATTCGTTCTCGAAAAGAAATACACTCGCCCTCGACCGCGAGCAGAGCGATTCGAAGGGGGCTAGGCATTCTACTCGGTAGAAAGGCTTTGCCTTTGGAATTTCTAAAGTGTCTGACCAGGGCCCGAAGACGAAGGCCAGGATGATAAGGAGAGGGACGTAGGCAGCAACCGGAAGCGGCGGCGCTTCCGAAGACGAAGAGAGCTTCTGCATTTTATGTTAAGAAGTTTGAAAAGTTTGTGGTTCTTTAATCAGGAAATACTGTTACCTCAAGTTCCAATGTTGACTTTTCACGTTTCTTCTTTTAGAAACAGAAGTAGTGAAACATCTCAATTAGTGCTCGGAAGTGATCAACAATGCCGACTTTCAAGTTCTAGGTTTGAGATGGGAATTTCCAATGAGTACATGTGTCCGAATGCAGCTCAAAATCCACACTTGAAGTTGAAAAAAAAGTGACCATGTACTATAGAGCAACCTCAACACCAACAGTACCAACGGAAGACTTCGAACGAACAAATACAACAGTATCAATCTATGAGAGGCGCAGGGGGCCAAACTGACAGATAATTTGTAAAAATGAATGAATGCATGAATGTACCCACTCCAGGGGTGAAAAAGAAGACACTCTATTTCGTACAGGAAGAGAATAAAGAGCTGCTTTTGAGGAGCTTCTTTACGGTTGTGGTGGATGATGATCTTCCCCTGAGACACCTAGAACACAGGCTACCATCTCTGTGCAGCCCCGTCTGGACTCTATAAGCACCTGACTCACTCCTCCGTTTAGACTTGCTACAGATTCACCAGGGGCAAGAATGGTGCAGTCTCTTGATTATAATCGTGCTGGTGTACTTCTTCTTCTACTATGTTGTCGCCGTGACAATTACAAGCTGCTACGGGAAATTTTGCCTACACGGTTATCATTATTTGTAACTCGGTCAGTATTTTCCTGTATGTCACACAGGGAAGAAGAACTTTTGAAGAACTACGCATAACTACATGAATATGAAATCAAAATGACACTAGTGTACAACTCACTAATCGCGTAAAGATCATTCATCACAACTCCCAAACTCGACGTCCCACTCCACCTCCTGCTCCTCCCACATGCGTCCACGGGTATCAAGTCCTCACTATTTCTTCGTAGGCATCTTCGTTTCGAATCGTTGGACCATGCTAAAGACTTCCGAAACGATGTTGTAGGTTCCGGATTTTGGATGTATTAGAAGAGTCAAAAAAATAGGATGCGAGTTCATTTTCAAGGTAACTTCAGTCGTGGCTGTATTGTCTTGGCTGATAGACTATAATCATGCCTTTCAAATCAACGACATACGTCGATGCAATTATTCACGAGAATTTTCGAACAATCTATCATGCCTTAAATTCACCAGTGAAAAGACATTGGTTGCGAACTTTGGGGTCGCCTTCTTTGCGACTAGGGAAGCGTGTAAAGCCATCAGTGCGTTTTGGGATCGGCCACGAGGGCACAGCTTGCCCATTCTCGCAGGTAAGAAGTCTGCTGATAACACGGATGCAGGGTAGACGTACCTTTTAGGGTGGTGGATTCTGGGGAACATAAGCAGTTGAAGAGAAATAAACGCATGATTCGTTGACACGGTAGGCTAGAGACGCCTTCATTCAGCATCATATGTACTATTGCAGGGATAAGCCATGTACGTTCTGAAGGGACGACAATAAACACTGATAGTACAATCGACATCGACATCGACATCGACATCGACATCGACATCGACATCTTCACTACCACTACCACTACCACTACCAACATCTCATCTCCCATCTTCAACACTAACACTACTACCAACATCTCATCTCGGCCAAGTTCCCGAGCACATGCGTAGCCGTTTTCTCAATCCATTGTCTGGTATAAACTGCGAGATCTCTGGTGACCATATTTTTAGGCCATTGCAGGAAGAAATTGTAGCCAGGTTTTATCGCCGGTTGGGCTCGTCTTTTCTCATTGCCATCCGGAAAACCCGCAGCGCCAGCAGCATTTTCTGCCCACGGTGAACTGCTTTTCGATGTCCTGGGCTTGTTGCGCAGGTTAGAGTTGCCAAGGATGCGAATTTATAATTCATGACTAAGCAGGTTGCTGTTCTCTTCCTCTTGCCAGTAGCACTGGAACTCTGGCAATTTTTACGAGTACTAAAATGGGTAACTAACATTTTTGTTTAACTTTCACATTCTTTCCAGGCGTTGCGCTGGTGATGAACTGCTGAAAAGGCATGCGATAGTCGTCTTCGATTATCACTGGGACGCAGCCGGAAAAAAAAGCCCGCGTCACGTCAAGCGGCGGCGCAGTCAAATAGCAGAACTTGCCGTCACGGAAGGGTAGATTGAGCTGTTGTTTTGATTGGCGGGAAAGAACAAGAAGATGAAGATTCCTAAGAAAGTATCTAAAGGATATTAAGAACAAGAATTCTAATAGAAGTTTTTTGTTATTTTTCATCGAGGTCGACTTGATGGTATCTAGAAGCACATCACCTCCAGCTTACCTGTACAGAGGTAGCAGATAATTCATGTGCAAGACAGACAAGTACATTTCCAACCTCGCACATTCTAAGTAAATACCTCTTCCCTTCCTTCAGGCCTATCGATGAGATGCATATCGCCGAAAAATTCCTTGCCCGATGATGGTCGCCCAGCCGCAATATGGCGAACGTTCCAGGACTTCAAGGCGGTCTCACCGTACTCTTCGGTCGTTGTAATGAAAGAAGTGATGTGGGTCTAGGCAAAAGAAGGGTCGACGCGGCAGGGTGTTGTTTTCTTAGTGCTCGTTTTATTATCTTCTCCTCTAAGAAGTGGTCCATGATAACATCACGACTAGGTTTGGGACCCTACAACTACTAGTTGGGTCTCATACATAAGTACTTTGATAATTTCACGACCCCTTGTTGAATCATACCTCCTGTGCCTTCTTCCTTCCCCGTGAGGAGTGCAACACCTGTGTGCTTGCGCTTTCTCCAAGGACGGTCTCGCGGTGACAAAAGATTATCCTGATCCAAGCTCAAGACAGCGCCGTCTGCACTCTGAATACTGTCAGGACTGAGGGCAAGCGCATGTTGCTGCACTAACGTGTCCAGACATTAGAGGTGATCCGCATACTTCATCTTTTACCGTCAACATCTTCCCAGGATCCACGTAGGAAACCGAGACAGAAGATCATCTGCTGAGAGATGTTGACCTATGTGACGAGGTATTGTGAGTTATTGTGAGTCCTCTTAAAGACGCTCACGCATAGGAATCAGGATGTCCTTCGCAAAATGGAACCAAGGTCCAACATGGTCGAACAAGAGGATCGACTCTTTCAGTTTGGACGAAGCAAGCGTGGACAAGTGAGACCCGCTGCCGGTGCTTAGAGGTAGAGAGAAGATGGATATACAATACAATGCAATACAATACAACCAATCTCGCACAAAGTTCAGTGCTGCATACTGCGTGGATATTAGGTGTAAGAACTACTTCTGTTATCCTTCGGGAATGCTCTGCTCCTGCTCTGAGAATCTGTATGATGCTTTTCAGTCGTACTTGAAAATAAATGGGCCATAAGGTCAGAGCAAAGATATGGTCTCTGCCGTTGGACCGTGCGAAATACTTCAACTGCGGAATCAGACGCTCGAAAGCTTCGACGATAACATTCGACATCTGCTCATCCTCGTGATTAGACTCTTCAGAGTGAAAGTTCGTATTTACAAGAAAAGAATGGCAATGGAGGAGGATGAGTTACAACTTAAACTTTTCGTAGACATCAAAAAAAAAAACTAGTACTCTCATCTGTCGTGTTGACAAGTTGAAAATGATGTACTTCCACTCAGACTTACTCCTTCAGGAATGTTTTGATACCACTTTTCTTATCTTCTCCCTGTGAAGTTGCTTGCAACAACTTCATTTGCTGCGCGAGGCAACCACTGTATTGAGGGACGAAGAAGAAGTCGGCCTCTTGAGGATTGCCGGTACGGCAGTAAGTTAGACGAGAAAGAGGCTTTTGCCTAGCACAAATCGGTGTAGAATAGTCGGATCATCGCACGTGAAGATAATACAACAAACTAAACGCTCGCATATAATTATAAGTAAGGCGTCTGCGAGCTTGATCCTATTCCCAGTTTCAGACCAATATCCTTTCAACTTTCAGTGGGTCATGATACTTTCAACTTTCAACTTTCGGTTAGTTGGATGCATGATACTGTTGGTGGAGCATATCTAACTAGAAAAAACAAAAACCGAAAAAAGAAAAGTCATACTAGTATTGAGCCTTAACTGTGGACAGGACAGGAACCAATGGTGCGCATCGACCTCGGCGCCTGTGTCAAACCCTCGACAATAGCTTGACCCGGAGCGGAGCATTGTGCGCAATTCAGGCACCTCCAAGGGATCGTAGACGTAGATCGAATAAGCATTCCCAAGGCTTTCCAATGGCGAGAAATAATTAGATGAATATAAGTATCTTCTATGTACATGTTTGTCATATCTCATACACTTACACGTTTCGTTGTCGTCTATTTTCTAAAATTCTTGAGATGAAATGCAAGTAATGAGAGATTAGAATCTCTAAGTAGAAAACAAGTTTAGTTCTCTTTTCAAATCTGAATTTTTTGCTACTTTAGACTTAGTCGTCTATAAGAAAGAGCGTCAACAGCACTAAAAATGATACCAACGGAGTGAGAGGGCAGTAGCTTCTTCATAAGTATAGAGTTGTTAGACCTAGACGATAGTGGACATAACAATTTTTCTTTGACTTCTTCATAAAAAGAGTGGCTTTCGACGACGTCCAGCTTTTTTCAATGGAGTTGTCCTCCATTCCTGCTTGGTGTGCGAGCGTCGCGTCCGTTGAGGGTAACAGGTCACTAGGCCACACATTGTACCTTTTGTCCACGACATCGTCGATGCAAGGTGAGGTATAGGTCGTATACTTCTTCGGGCCTCCACTCATATTATATTAAGAATTCCTATGACTGAGCGCTCCTGTTCTAGCGTTAGCAAGCTGGAGGAGCCCATCCCTCCGATATAATCGTAATCCATCTCCATGAGATAAGAACGGGCAAGAAATTGAAAAAATAAGATGAAGCAATAGTTTAACTATAATTCTTCTGTATAATACGCATTCCCAATCCAGATTGTCTCTTGCTTTTCTGCATCGTACAGAGTGTTCGTTTGCTTTGCGCCGCTTCCCAGTGCTTTCATCACGTCCAATTCGAATTGTGCGAGCATATGCGCCGTTATAGGCCAGTGGTAATTGTCAGACTCTTGAGGAGTCGGAGCAAGGCCTGAAACGTCAGTTGTGTTCTGTCCTATACCGAGGACATCGTCGAGATTAGAAACGGACTAGTCTCACGCGATAGTAAGTGGAAGAAACAAGAACACCCACGACTCAATATAGTACATACATAGGGATTCATCTATTTCTATGTACAAATCAGAGAACCTGTAGTAGTTGCTGCTTCTGGTGCCATGTTCGGTAACTGGATACAGAGCTGCTCCAGACGAAGATACTCATACTCATACTTCCTTCAAGCTCAAACATTTCGAAGGTCAGTTAACTAAAATTATATGGCCTTAACAAAAGGCGACCCAGAGGCTGTTTCTTCTAGACCATTGTATCGGTTCATGTGGACGCCAGGCAAGGTCTTCAATATCGCGTCCAGTGGTCGGATCACCTGCATAGCCAATTCAATGTCCTGCAGTCCATAGAGCTTCCACCTTGCCAAGTAGAAGAAGAAGGTCACTACGCCGTGGGTTAGAAGTTGATGATGGGCGACAGGAGTTGCATGCTAAATAAAATTGTGGAGAGTCCAGATTTTTCAACGACCATGAGCTGGAAAAATAAAAAGGAGACTCAGATGAACTGGAGGCAGTGGTGCCTCTGAGTCTTAAAAAAAGATCAAGATGTAAATTTTACTGTTCTTACATCAAAGAAAGGTGTATGTGAAATATTGTTGTTCCAAAACCCATGATCTTTTCTCGTTGAGCATGTTGTTCAGGCAGACATCGAAGTAGCACCTCTCAACACTTCACTCTCGTGGAAATTTTACTGTCCTTACATCAAAGAAAGGAAATTCTATAGATGATCAGCTGACCGCTTCCGTAAAAGATAACAGCGCTCCAGCAACCCAGGATCCTGCACAAACATCTCGAAGTATCCTCGTGACGCGTCTATAACCTCTGCGCCATACATCCTGCGCCAGTCTTCATGCTTTTCCACCTCTGGAGAGTGCTTTATCGCTTCTTGGTACATGTCTGGAGTTATGTAGTCGTCGGTAGATTAGAAGGGGTGCATTGATTGATTGATTGATTGATTGATTGATTGATGTGCCTGGCAAGAGGTTGAGCATGAGCGTGTACGCACTTGTTCGCAACATCATCGTTGCACTGGTCCTCAATCATGTGGTCAAACAACAAAAAATTATATTTCATTTCTCTTCTTCATCTTTGAGTAGACACGGGATTTAGTAATCAGAGAAAGGCCTAGGTCAGACCCCCTCTATGCTAGGAGCTGCAACTTCATTCATTCATAAGGTAACGTCAAGATGTGACGCAATTCTTTCCAGCTCGGTGTGTCGTGGTCGCACTTCGGGTCTTCGCTAAGCCATTTGTGCACATCCTTTACTTCTTGCCCAAAAACTTCCGAATGTGCAGATCCGGCTCCGGAAAGGAGTACTGCTAGAACTGTTGAGGTTGACCCTCCAAAAGAGGCCCTCTTGGAAGATCTTCTAGTACTTGATGACTGCATAGTCGTGGGCGTCTGTGGTTCTCTGCTATTGTCCTCGTGATCCTCAGCGTCAAGCAATGATCGTGGGCGTCTGTGGTTCTCTGCTATTGTCCTCGTGATCCTCAGCGTCAAGCAATGATCGTGGGCGTCTGTGGTTCTCTGCTATTGTCCTCGTGATCCTCAGCGTCAAGCAATGATCGTGGGCGTCTGTGGTTCTCTGCTATTGTCCTCGTGATCCTCAGCGTCAAGCAATGATCGTGGGCGTCTGTGGTTCTCTGCTATTGTCCTCGTGATCCTCAGCGTCAAGCAATGATCGTGGGCGTCTGTGGTTCTCTGCTATTGTCCTCGTGATCCTCAGCGTCAAGCAATGATCGTGGGCGTCTGTGGTTCTCTGCTATTGTCCTCGTGATCCTCAGCGTCAAGCAGTGTTGGACGTCGGGGTTATTTCAGCCTAGAGGGCCTCGCGCGACCCACTCCACTGTCAGCGACGACACCTGATGTTAGTTCGCGGGAAATAAACGGTGGCGAGTTGTAGTACGGTGTGAATTGCAGATTTGTTGCGGCGTTGATTCCACGTATCTCGTGCACAGAAGAAACTCGGAATGTTGATGATCTACCCCAAACGTAGATGATCTTCACACACCACGCAAGCCAAGCTTCGCACAGGTAGAAGGCAGAACGGACGGAGTGAATGCCGGTCCTAAGCCGTAGTAGAGCAAGCACTGGTAGTACAATGAGATGAACGTGGATATTCTTATAGTTCTTTGATGCTTTAGTCTTTGATGCTTTAGTCCTCTTAATAGTACAGTAGGTTAGTTATAGTTGTAGTTGCCAATACGATCGTGTCGGTTTATTCACTTTCATGCTGTAAGCATAATCAATGAATGCAGATGAAGAGAGTGATCCAGACCCACCAGAGCGAAATCAGGCAGATCCAATATCATCATCTATCACGACCGACCGATTTATCTACCAGTATCAGCAGCTATCACACCAGACTTTCGCCAGGAGTTGTCTCTTTGCTCTCGCGTGTTGCTGCCTCGCTAAACTGCACTGACGTTTTCTTTCAGAAGAACAAGAAGATTCTAACGAGAATGCAAGGACTGAAGAAGTCTTGTGACCCGTCTACAGGACCAGCATTTTGCAATCCCTTAGGATAGGATAGGAGTTGGCTCACCTGCGACAAGGTAAGCGTATATGCATGAGCTGGGTTCGCATCCATGCTATTGACATGAAAATTGCAGATGATTGTGAGTTGTTCATCTCAGAGACAAGTCAAAAGGCGAAAACGACTTGTCTCGTGGTCATAAATTGTAGTACAAGGAAGATTCTTCAGGGACAGATATTATGCGTGCGTGCGTGCGAGGAATAAACATCAGGGTGAGGGATGGTTTAATTACATCACGTCGTTCAAGAGGTTCCTTAGATGTGCAAAAGTACAAGTTCAAGAACAATGCATAGTCGGGACAAAATATAGGCTATTTCACTCAGTTTTCTTTACCTCCCACATATATTTTCTTTGAAGTCGATCTGCTGTAGGTGCAAAATAACGATGTCTTCTAGGATCTCTAAATCGGCAAGCGTGAGCGTAAGTGTCATTGCGTTCAACTTCAAAATTGCGTTTCATAATCTTGATAGGGTCGTAATTCATGACAGACTTTAATGAAGTACAAGTAGGAGGTACATTGACTAGTACGTGATCGTCTTTTGCATCGCAGTCGCTCAGGTCATTTTTATGTGTCCATCTCTCCATAGGGGAGGCTTACTTTTATTGATTGTGTTAGCTGCAAAATCATGACAGACTTGAGGTTCTTTAACTTTAGGTTTCACATCACACTAGTTCTTTTCTTCAATTATTTGTTCCTTCCCCTTACCGTCGAGGTTGAAGAAGATCTGATTAAGTCAGATTACTAGGTTGTAGTACAACTAGTAGTACATGACCTAAGTACTAACACCGTAATAATATATTATTAAGCTATACTTTTTCATCTTTTTAAAGTGTAAAAACTGTAACGTGCGCGCGCGCGTTACGCGCGCGGGTTACGCGCGCGCGCGCGTTACGCGCGCGCGTTATAACGCGTTACGCGCGCGCGCGTTACGCGCGAAATAAGGCGCGCGCGTTACATGCGCGCGGCGCGCGCGCGTAACGCGCGCGCGGGGGGGGTGCACTCGCGACCGGGCTCGCCG